GATTTTTTTTGGGGGGGGTGGGGGTGCGAAATTTGTCCCTGTAATAGCAACTTTGCTTATCCTAGGCGTTTTTATGAGCAATTTTGTGGTTTTCATGCTCTAAGAAGTGTGGGGAAATGTACCAGTCGCCATCTTTTTAGATACGGTGGATTCAGCTGAGAGTGACAACGGTTTTTCGCGAATGCGGCAAATGAACTGGAATCCACCCTAACCCCTGTATCAAGTGATATCAGCAGAGAAAAATTTAAATTAAACACAATAAAATATTTTATTTGTTGGTTTATTTTCAACAAACTCCAGTCCAAGCTCCATTCAGGGGACACTTGCCATAGTTGCAAGGGTGTCCCCGAAAAGAAGTTCCAAGGTAACTCACAGAGATGTTCGATGGTTAGGGATTCACGCAAGACAACTGTCCGCAGACCTAAAAGAGAGTTGCATGTCGAGAAGGAGAACATCTGTTGAAATCTTTTGAAAATTAAGAATTAAATAGTTCAGTGCAGGATATGGGCTCCTCTTCAGTGACATTCTTTGCGAGTGTAACTGATATGAGGCGGAAATTAAGCCAGTTAGTGTGTGAGCCTTCATATTTGATTTCCTCAAGATAATTTTTAATTCTCTCATCAGTAATAACGATCCTAGCCGGTTGCGGAACAATTACATATAACTCTGCTGACAACAAAAGCAACGAAACAGGTATATGACTTGTTTCGATCCTTAAATTTGTTAGATAGTTTATCATTTTATGGTCATAGTAAACATTAGATAGACTAACGAGAGGTCAAAATTTTTTCACGTGACACATATTTACCCAAGATAGTTTCCGCGTGAGCGACACTACTTCCTGGCTTTTAAATCAGATTGTAAGCTGTTTTTGCTATCCTCGTTTGAAAGAATGAATAGGTTCTACGGAGGGTTTTGACTACATTGACATACACAACAGGGAATTGAGACTGAGACAATCAAAAAGCCGGCCAGGTACGTACGTAAAGGAATTCCTAATTTTATTGTGGTATCCAAGGCATCTCCGGCCTCTGCGAAGGCCTTCGTAGCTAGGACATCTTGGGATCTAGGACTGATCCGCGGGAAAACATTCACTGTGATTTATCGCTCTTTTTATAACATAGCCAAAGCAACTTTTTATGTAACATATTTAGATATCATACATTACGTAAATTCTTTATTTTCAACTTGATGAGGCGAGGAGCTTGTGCCCAAGCCGTGCGAGGAGATCAAACTCGGCTGTCTGGGTTGCCATGACCCCTGGAACAAAGATGGCGTACTACTTCACGACAATTTCATTTCATTTTTATTTCATTTATTTTTATTTGCCATTTCACATACTTAGTACAGAATGATATAGAATAATAATATACCTGAGCACGAGCTCTCAGCAAACCCTTTTGTGCTTTACGAGGAGAGTCACCTGCACAAGTTTACAAGAATGATGTTATTTTTAAGGTCATAAAATGCATATAATCCGATTGTAAAATTAATTCCAGCACTTTTCTTTTCAGAAGTGACAAAACATTGTGTGCTGGTTGAAAAAACGGAGCTTATTGAGTGTTTGTTAAAGCTGCGAACTAAGGTAAAACATTTTCAGTCAGTTAAGCGAATCAAGATCTAAAATTATTACCGGTAACTGTATGGCATTGACAACAAGGCAAATAACGCCAGCTATCTAAATAAATGTTCTTAACCAAAGGAGAAAAACGCACTAATTAACAGACCAAGAAGGTCTCTTGTGATTGTCCTAAATCTCGATCTAACACTTTGTCTTTAGGTATATGGTAAAAAGGGTAACAAAAAAAACATGCAACTTGTCTTGCAACATTGCTGCAAAACCAGTTGAATAGCGATGTTGCGCGTTTTACCATCCACACCAAACCTGTCTTGCAACAAATCAGGTAGTTAACTACAGCTTTAAACGAGGGTGGTAAAACGCGCAACATCGCCGCTTTTCAACTCGTTTTGGCCAAATGCTGCAAAACAAGTTGTACGTGTTTGTTGACCGTTTTACCGAAGCTTTAGTCTCAGCATCGCAGATGTATTTTTCGACCCAGGCTGGAAAGTGATTATATTTTAGCTTTTTAAACCGAATGCAGCTAAAAATGACAGATGCGTATTAGAAGAATTTGCAAAAGAACCTTTTACTAACGAGAAAATACTAAAGCAAAAAAATCAGAGAAAACATTACAATCATTATTTAGTGTTCATTTAGTTCAAAAGCATGACGTCACTTCCTTCGGGTACTTTTAAGGGTAATAACCTATTAACTCCCGGATGTTTGTACTCTTGCAATGGAGGTATAAATCAATGGCCCTGCACGTTCGATACATTAAAATTCTAACTTGACTCCGAGCCTTTATGGACAAAATTGCCATTTTTCGTGACTCCATTGTCTCCCAATTCCCAGAGGAGATTTGAGCACAGAGAAAACCAAAGCAAATATAAAAATATGACCAGAAAGCCTCGGAGTCGTCTTAGAATTTTAATATATCGAACGTGAGCTATCAAGATCCGGGGTATAACGTTTCACTGCAGCCTGTTCGAAGATCGGTGTTTTATAAACTTAGAACTGAAATATGTAATCTTTTGTTGGCAGGTACACCATTCCGGAAAAGAAAAGCATTCTTCCAAAGTTGGAATAATACACTATACAATTCACGGTCATAGTGACAAGCATTTTCTGATGGAAGACCCGTTGCGAATCCTCTCCTATGTTCTTGTAGCTCTGGTAGCGTTACTCTCTGTCGTGGTTATCATTTTGGTGAAATCAGTGCAGCAGCTTGGAAATCTTATCACCGCCCTGCAGAATACCCGCAGGGTTTCCTGTTCGTACAAAAATCCTACAATTGCGATAGAGTTCGACGAGCAAGGGATCAGCGGGGCCAAACCAGCAAGACCTACAAGCGCCTTTTTAAGGGGATCGATGGAAAGCATTATTATGGTACCTTCAAGGCGAGCGTCCCCTAAAGAAAGGTCCTCCAATAATAAGAGCAGCACAAGTGACAAGGAAAAGGTCCCTTTTGGAACTTTTCAGTAAAAAAAATGAACCAATGAAACCCTCGCCATTTCTTGAGTGGCTTTCTCTCAGGCTATTTTCCGTCAAGTAAATTAATGGGTTAATGAAGGTCTATAAAGATTTATAGACTGCCTGTCTCCCGTATATATTTGTGTGTCAAAAAACTAAAAACTATTTTCAAGAAAAACAGAAAGAAAAAGTACTAGAAACGGTCAGTGTTCAGTTAGAATCTATTTTTTTTTTGGCGATACTAGGTTGTTGGGATTGAATTGAATTGATGACTACGGCTTTGACTCTTTTTACTAGGGCTATATGTAATAAAAAGGATGCCAGCTGTCTGATGTATGCTGTCAGTTGATTGTAGGGGACGTAGACCCCATGGTGTGGACAACCTTTCATGGCTGGGTGGGTGATGAAGGTGCTGACGCAAGCAGGTTTTTAGCAAGGATATGCCAGGATACTCCCTATGCCCCCCCTCCCCCCGAACTAGCCCCTTCCGGATTATGCTAGCATTTTTTTGGCATTAATGGTTAGACAAACATTTTTTTTCACACTTTTTCTGTGAGGTGAGGTTGCGTTGTTAGTGCTTTTGCGCTTTTACTGGAAATGCGGAAAGGGCGTACGTAAGTTGTAAAGTTCTTTGTCGCCTGTTGCATGTTTGGGTTCATTAACTGAAGCGCGTCAATCGCTTCCTGTATTATGAATAAAGCTATCAAGCTAGAGGTATCTCAGACTTATATTTACAAATGAGTGTTTTCTTACCGCTGTTTGCCACGCTGTCCCTATGTTCCCTACTTCATCTACTGCGAAGACAATAGTCGAGGTTGCTGTGAGGGTCTCAATGGGGTGGTAGCTTTGACAGTTGACGGTTAACCCCATTGTGACCCTCGGCTATGTGTGCTCTATTTTCCAGCCTTTTCTCTAAATATATCATTAAAGACTGCGTACTCTGCGTACAAGTAGCAACGCCCCTGCTAGCAAGAACCGTTTGATCCCCTGTCACCCTGTTGATTTCAACCCTAGAAGGCGGGGCGGCTGGTTAGACGGTTCCAGTGGTGTTAAGATGCGAAAGTCGGAATAATTTCCATGATGTGCATTACCTGAAGCCACTAAGAGCATTTTCTTAAAAGGAACGCTTGATCGTCAAAAGGAAGGTCTCCATAACACGGTGTACGAACGTAACTGAAAGGTTCATCAGGAGTTATTTAAACAAAAATCCAACATCCCATTCAGCATATTCCCCGCCATTATTTCTGATCGAGGCGTTGCGTATATTCTATGACATGCAATGAAAACACGTAAGATAAAGGCATTTTTCCACTGAGCCCCCCTCCCATATGATGCCACTCCCACCCCTACTAGGGTACATCAACGAGTCAAGTGCCCGTGTTTGGCCAGGGTCCGGGGGGGGGCATATTGGGGTGTCTATTTGTTCGATACAGAACACCGAAATACTTGGGGTGGAGAAAGTTCTGGCGTGTCTCCTGGCATTCTACACCTGCATGAAAAACGTTGATAGCGTAGGTTTCAACAACGAAGAATCCTGCAATCACCACGGTTTTATTAATTAATTATTAATCATTTATTAATTCAGTGAGTTTAAGGGAAAAAGATGACATGATATGGCTATTTGGGGAGGACACGGAGTTAGGAGAAGGGGCGAATTTTGGGTCCGGGAGGGGTACGGGGGACGGGTTGGAAAAGGCCGCGGGAAGTGAGAGTTCTAGAGGGGTGGGAAGCGGGAGAAAAAGGGGGAAATGACGCAATAATGCTTGATATTTTCTATTCGAAAAAGGGCTAAAGCGGAGGAAGCCAAGCCGGAAATTCAAAGTACGGGAAGAGGGGGGTTTGGACCCCTGTCTGTCCCCCTTATTTTGTCACCCATGCAAGACAGGGCATTTTCGTGACGTCGTGACTGCTATGACATGGGAAGGCATATCTTCTTTTGTATTCTTAGTTAAAAATGTGTTTACAAAGACAAAATCAACAAACCGCAATTTCACCATGAATGCCTGCTTTATTACGGTTTTTCTCATCGTTGCTACCAAAGAGATCTTAGGAAAGAAGAACTTAACCAATAGTGAGGATGTTCAAGCGGACTGCAAAGGTAAGAAGAAGCTTTATTGTGGACTAAAACTGTAAACCTTTAAAACCTCCAGCAAAGGTGGGTATCAACTTCAGAAACCCCCTAGTAGAATGGCAAATAAGAACTTAATCTAAGTTCTTTTTTAATGCTATTTAATCTTTCTAACGTAAGGTATATTTTTAAAAATCATTTTATAACCGCTGAATGAAGATTTTAATTCATTTTTAATAACAAAGAAAAATTGCAAGAAGTGGGTACGACGATTGTCTCCCCACGGATCAAAATAGATAGATCTTTTCTACATCAAAATACTAAAACAAACAATGTCTGCAACAAACGGATGGAAGGGAAGAAAAAAGCGGCTTTTTGAAAGAAAGAAGGCCTTAAAAAAAGAAGCAACCCCACTGAAGAATGCATGAACTGGGGCGGATTAAAATTTCCCAAATTTGATGTCAAGAGACTCAAAAGAGACGTTCTTCAGTTTTCGCAATTATGGCCTGACATTCATTAATAATTGTAAGAGCTAAGTTCGCTTCCAACTAAAACTGCGTCAAAACTCTTGCGTCATTTGATCAGCATTCCAACTTAGAAGTTCGAGAAAGAGATGCCGAAATATTCGAATAAGAATTTTGGTCGCATCCGCTTTGCCTTTTGTCTACTTTTTCTATGGCGTGAGGTGTGGTATGACTTAGATTGAATATCCCTTGTCGCAGTTTGAAACATTTACATTAAAAACAAACGATGGGATTATTTTTTTCAGAGTTTCAACTTGACCTCAAACGCATCAAATTTGAATCGGCTCCTTACAGAACAAATTTTCATACTGCCTTTTTAAAAATTTCTTTGCAGTTTTGGCTAAAATAACCATTGGAGTCCATAGTTTTTCATTATTTTTTTTTTCAAAGCGGGCATCGCGTTGAGTATACGGTACAAGACTGCATAATTTGGTCCTTTTATGGCTTTCGACTTCCTTTTGACGTTTTCATTTTACGAAAACAAAGGGGAAAACAACGTAAACTGACACTCTTTAGTAAACTCAACTGACACCCAATGAATGGTTTGCTATTTATTCAACGAAGAGGGCTTTATATCTTATGGGGATAACACCCCACACTGACTCTCAGAAATTCTAAATAAATCAACTACTAATCCCCACATGCCTTATATGAAAATAAACTTACATGTAAATTGAACTTTAATTTCGTGTTACAAACAGACAAAGTCTACCCCAAAATCGTTTGGATGTAAGTCCGTCGTTGTCGTTGTTGTTTCAAGGAAACTGGTTTGGGCCTGCTGTTATTAATCAAATCGAAGCATTTGTCCCGGGGGGTGGGACTCCGCATATGAAAGGGGTGGGGATGCTCGTCGTCTCGCTTAGGGGTGTAGATTTGGGATTTTGGTCTCGCTTAGGGTGTTCTGGGCAAAACACCATCATATTTAGCCGTGAAGGTCTCGTTTAGGGTTGCACGCGACAAAATATGAAAATATATATTTGATATGTATATTTTTAATTCGTTTTATTTACGCCATTCATTTAATCCAAGTTTTCTTATTTGTCTTTGTTTTAACATGGTCTCTTTTAGAGGTCAAAAAGAGCCCGGGCCACGCCGAGATCGGTCTCCTTTAGGGGTTTAATTCAAAATTTCCCACGAGCATCCCCACCCCTTTCATATGCGGAGTCCCCCTCCAGGCATTTGTCTTGGCAACACGAATATTTTCGACAAGAGAGATAAAAAATTAAGCCCCAATATCAAAGTCAAACATTTCTTCTAAAGTGCCACAGCTAATCTAATGCAACATTTGAGCAAATGAAGCTAAGTGACGGTAAAATTGTGTTGGGCCCATAGAGTCCAGAACCGGATCCTCCGTATATATCTTAGTTAAAAACCGGGACAGAGATATTCTCTTATGAGTGCTAAATCATGTAAATACACGTTAAGTTTGTGACTCGTATCATTTTAGCATAAGAAACACATATCATAATACACTATAATTAATTATCAGTTGTCCAATACAATTCCAGAGTTTTGATTCGCCTAACGCAAGTGCCCACATTGATTGGCTCCTACTTTTCACTCCATATAAGATAATCTAAGACAGTCTTGGATATTGGACACCATGCTGCGGATTCCGGACTCCAGTCGAGTACTGTATTCCGGATTCTTGGAACTTGGATTCTGCATCCCAATAGTTAGCGGGATTCCGGATTCCTTGAGCCGAGGCCCAGGATTCCAGATTTCACAAGCAAAACTTTCCTGGATTGGGGAGATGCTTTAATAGCAGCGATGTTGTAAGAGGCATTAGTGGACTTACGCAACAGGACGGCCAGGGAAATTAAAGAAGAAGGCAAACCTTGTGTGACAAGCGTGACAATAATTTTGCTTGAAACAACTTTTCAGCAAATTTCACTTTCTTTTAAACAGATCCTTTTGTAAAGGACCAGAAAACATTAGTGTTAAGTGAAGGTAACGACAAAACACGTAACTAGTAACCTTGTAGCGTTTGTCACACAAGTGTTTTGTCGTCCTCTTCTTCCTGCCGTCCTGTAGCGTAAACTCACTATTCTACCATGTCCATGACCCCGTCATTTTTGCAAACAAGTAGAGGCCAACATTGTTTGTTTTTGTTTCTCCAGTTCACGTCCGTTTGAAGGGGTCCACCCTTTCATATGCCGGACGAGTGGAAATCAGCAAAGACGGTGAGATCTGGGGCACAATATGCGACAAGGGCTGGAATCTAAATGACGCCCGCGTTATTTGCAAACAGCTGAGCTTTTCTAATGAAGTCGCCGCCGTTCCTATGGCAGGGTTTGGTGCAGGCTCGGGCGCAATATTTCTTAAAGATGTTGATTGTGAAGGCAATGAGCGATCACTGCTTGAGTGTGAACACGGTGGCTGGAAGAATCATGTCGTTGATAGTTCGTGTGACCACAGCATGGACGTTGGTGTCCTTTGCTCTCCACCCAAGAGAACTGGTAAAATTTATTGATATTTTGCATCGCTTAACACATGGTGGGGTAACGTTTGAGTGAGTGATACCTGCAGGGGCCCGTTTCTTGAAAGTCCCGATAACATTTCTGGCCCGGAGAGTTGTCTTATGTTTGCCGTGTTTTTACTCGAGATCAAAGTTTCAATAATTTTGAAAATTATACAATGAAACTATAAAAAAAAAGAAGCAAATTGACTGGTTTGTGAGGTAGGAACTGTCCTACTACTCAAAAGGTTTTCGTTGATTTTAAATCTTACTCTCGGGCCCGATGGGGAAAAGTTACCGGGCCTTTCGACAAACGGACCCTAGTAGGCACAATAAGGGTTCCACAAAAGTTAGCATCTTCCATCCGACCACTGAAAAAAAGGCAAGGGATTGAAAATGCATTCAGAGGTTCAAGACAATAATATCATACAACGACCAAATAAATAACAGGCAGGTAAATATGCACACCTTGAAATTTTTTTATAGAGAGCTTAAGGAGGCACTGCACGGACGTTTAATCATACGAGGCCTGATAAAAAATACCATAGAAATGTATTGACCCAATGCAGGAGCCGATTACTTGGCGAAAGAACGCTTTTTGAGAATTTTGTTCATAAGATCGAGCATCAGGTTCGCATTGAGTATCTTAACAGGCAAGCTCGAGTCGTTAGTTTCTCAGTTACTGGCGGGAGGTCGTGTGTTCAATTCCCAGGGCCGGACCATTACTCAGGGTCTTAAAATAACTGAAAAATGAACGTACTCCCTTTGCACTGCAAGCGGTGAGACCTTCGCGTGGCTCGGATGACCAATGGCGGTCCCATCTCCAGTTGGAGACTTAAAAATAGTGTTCGCAATTAGCACTTTCATGCTAGATACATTGACACTCAAATAATTAAAGGGCATAAGCAAACTGTTTTCTGTTTCAGTATTTGAACCAGTGATCGTGATAATATTCCTGGGTTGCTTGGCAGTTGTCTCTTTCCTTCTCAATGTTTGGTTCACTTACTACATTTGCTGCAGAGTAAAGCGGAGAAGAACAGGTCAGCTGACCACTATTGAGCACGGGACCCTGGGTCGCAAACATACTGGTCAGAATGGATTAGAAAATTTTGCTTTGGACATAGACACTGTTGAAAGTTGCCTTCCGTCAGCCATTCCGGAAGTTGTTACACTCGATGGTGTGCTTCGTGGGTGGAGCGGAAAAAAACGTAAAGAGGATGCGCAGTCTAGTGATGCCGCTTGCCAGCAAGAAGAAGAGCCACATGTGTACCAGAGAGTAGAATCGTGCATGTTAGATCCACCCTCCTCGGACTACCTGAAGATTTTAGAATCTGTGGGAGATGGGCAGACTAATCAGCATCCCATTGAAAGATCTCGAAAAAAGTCAAATTATCAGTTTCTTTCGCCGCGTCTACAAGAAGCAACAAAGAATGCTGCGACGGAGATCAAAGGAGATCAAGAAGAGAAGCATTTGTATCAAACGTTACTGTTAAGAAGTGGGTGCCCGGATGTAACTCAGGTCTCCCCTGACAGAAAACACCCAAATGGAGCTGGGAGTTCGAACTTACGAGAATCAATTCCTGATTACGTAGAGATCATAAGTGATGAGGAGTTCGAGGCAAACACCAAAAGAGATCAGAAAAGCACACAAATGTCACAGGAAACTGCAGCCGCTGTCGATAGCGCATATGAAACATTAAAACCACCACCAGTTTCTGTTCGAAAAGAGGAAGGCACAGAAGCAGCCTCCACCGTCTTCCAGGAGATTGACCAATCAGTGAAAAGAGAGGACACAGATGAGGCGGATTATATTGAGCTGTTGAATGAGAACGAGGCTGGTGAGAAAGAAAATGCAATAACTAAGAGCTAAAGGAGAGAACCGCTGACCGCAAGAATTGTTATTTAGAACTAGATTTTGCTAATCCGATAAAGTTTAGCAACATGGACAAAAAAGCTTAGCAAATCATTAAACAACATTTTCGGGAAAAATTTTCCAACGGTCCCTGAATGATGTTAAGAAGCTACTAATAAAAGACAGAGCTAGTTTAGAAACCGGTCTGTATTTTATAGTACGGGGAGTTGATCGATGGGGTTCTTGACTCCTCGTTATCCGAACAGGATCCAACAAATCAACCTCGTTCCCATGGATTCTCCCGGAGAAGCCCTGGGCACGAGATTGCCGAGGTTGAATGGTCCATGTCCTGAAAGAGTTTTTTTTCTTTTTTTAAAAACGATGTACTGGGTTCAGAAAATTCAAAAATTTGCCTGATGGTAGCTGATGGCTCATCTTTATGAAACACTAACTTTGTACTCGGCTTCGCGAACTTTGTACGAAACAAGATGCCCCTTCCCAGTAAGATAATGGGTGACTCATCAGTTGACCTTTGGCGAATGTTAATTACTGTCTCTCTCTGTCAAAGGCCGGAATTTGTTTACTCTCGTGGTCTTTCGTCCAAACACAAAGCAAAACGTTTCAGTCAGTAGTGTTGAAATTTGATTCAAATTTTATCCGTTTCTTGTTGTGGTCCTTTCGTCAGTTTTCCGAAACAAATTCATTTTCCTGTCTACCCACACAAAAATTAAAGGTTTATGAACCAAATAAGAAACAGGAACGGCAGCGATAACCGCGAGGGAGGCTTCTTATCTCCTCGCGCGTGTTCTCCTCTCGCGCGCATCATTTGTCTCGCGACCCATACTGTTCATTTTCGCCAACCACGAAGGCTCTTTTCTATCAGCACATAACTGTTGACAGCTGGCAGCTGGCCTATTTGCGTGTTCACCCACACGGAACAGAGTTCGTCATCGGATCGACGCAAAACACCAAGTTGGAGACTGAGGGGGTCTGCATTTGCGGGATAAATTTTGTAAGTAGATGTAGATAAATTAACATCGGGTATCTGAAAAGCAACGTAGTGTTTAACATTTGCTCTTGTAAACAGAAGCAAAAAATAATTCATGGAATGCAGTTTTGACGGTTCACGGTTTGTACGTACCCCACCTGAATATCGCATGTCCCTGACTGTTTTTAGAAGACCAACTTTCCCTAGGAGGGTATATGGCCTCGCTAATGGTTTATGTATGTTTAGATAATCGATACCTCGTTAGGATAAACGTTCCACAGTGATGACCCTTATTAAGAAAAGATCCACACAGTTTACAAACCGAGAGGGCCCTTTGGAGTGGCCAGCGAGGCGATCAAAAGATTAAAACTGTTGATCTTTTCTTTCATATAAAGCGGAAAGCACTTCATTTAAGCTGCGTGTAAACAAGACAGTCCTACTAGTCCTCAAGCGTGTTATTCAGTTTTCGAACAGTCACAAGCGTCGTTAGTAAAACTATCAGCTATGGAATAGGGTTTAGACATTTGAAATTTCTTTCTACGCATTTTATTTTCGTTATTGTCTGGCTCTGTGGATCAGTGAAGCTAGTATGTCACTATGACCTTAAAATTAAGTATCTGAATAGTAATCCCTACTGGAGTTTCAAATTCCTTGCATAGCTTCTTAGACATCAAAGACAGCGCGCTCTTCTATCTCGGCGTCGCAACAGTTCAGGTAATTTTCAGTTTTAGGCAAATATGTTTTACAAAAGAATGACAAAATTCCACTCCCTTAGGATCATTCATATTGTTTCTGGAAGTATGCATGCACTCCAGTTAAATGTGAAAAAAATGAAGATGACCGCAAATAAGTTTATTCCAAGCACTCACTTTTCTCCTGCTTTAGGAAATTGTACTAAAGTGAACTAAACAGCATATATTTATACTTGGCCCAACCCTGAAGAAGCTATGGGAGTTAGTTTATCGTAATTGTAAACGTTGAAGTCAAAAGACCTCTTCAGCTTGCATGTTTTGTATTCTCAATACAGGCCATGTGATAATACTCTAGAGAACTGTTAATCTACGTCTAATTCACATGCATATGTATGCATAATTTATGAAGAGACAAAGTTCAAGTTCCCCTGGGACCTTTTTGGGAAAACAAAACATACAAGCCAAAGAGGTCTATTATCTGCCTTATCTTGGAGTCCGTTTCCCGCAACCCGTCTCTTCAAAAAAATATTCATTCTTGATAACTTTCAATAGTACACCTTGTTCCCCTCCGCCCCCCCCCCCAAAAAAAAAAAAAATTGCCTAAGTATTGCTTTTTTTGCTTTCACTTCCCAGAAGAAATTAGAAGTACAATGTTAAGGGTATTTAATTTTTTTCGGGGTGGGGGAGGAGTGGAATAATTTGTTTTATGGGCAATCTGAAAGTAGCTAAAGTGTTTTTTAACCACAACCTCATTTCCAGGGTTCCCAAATTGTTCTGGAAACAAGGTTGTGTTTAACGATAGGAAAACACGGTAAAGTTATAGTACTAACATGAGTAAGAACGAAGAGAGGAAAGACCAGGCCGCGGAAGAGGAGGATGACGACGATGATGAAGAAGCTGAGATCATGGAGATCCGAGGTGTGGTGATGACGCCCGGAATTCACTGGAGCGTAGCCTGGGAACGACATGTGGTGAATGTATATACGGGGATTGAAATTTATCAGAATCTCAAGATACCCCTGGGTCAAAACAACCGCGAAGTAACACGGATGTTAGAAGAGAGCATTGAAGAGAACAAACGGATGACTATTGATTATAGAATTGCTGATAAGGAAATTCTTGAGGTCCGATATCGTTAGATATCAAAACTCTGGACGCGCACAAGTCAGTTTAGCCTAAAACGTCCCAATTTCTGATGCTTTTTAATATTTTGTTATAAATTATTGCTAACCTAATTAATAATTGACTGTAGTGGGCAATGTAAACAAGTATTAACTGTGGGAAGACAGATGATCCACAAAGATGATCGTTAAGATAAAAGCTACCTGAAAGTTGACGGTCCTTTAGAGTTTTTTATTATTTTAGGGTGCTTCCAACATAAACTGCAGCACTGTTGTTTTTATCATTGATGTTTGCCGCTTTTCATGACCAGTCTCCTCTAATAACTGTGGTTTGAGTCTGTGAAAGAAGCCCTATCTTGTAATCTTTCAAATGAAAGCTTCTGAGTGGTACTTTCCTGTGGTGTAGTATACAGCTGTATTACAATTAACTTTGCCGAATACTGGCCTTCGCGACAAGACCGCACAGGAAATTGGGTACTAGCCAAACTCAGTGATGAAGCGACCCCTTCGCCGTAAAATCAGGCGCGGATCCACACCGGTTTCCACCGTTTTACGGAAATCGGTCAGATTTTTCACGATAAACATTTTTAATAATAAAATAACAATAATAGAACTTTCCAAGTTGAAATCTGGACAAATTTTTTCTTTTTCCAATTTCCGGGCATTAGACAGAAACCCGGGAAAGGGAACTTTAGGGACTTTAAAAATCAAAAAAAATTCCCGGGGGCTCCCCTAGAGGCTTGCTCCCTCGGCCCCTCGTTTAGGAAATCGGTCAGTATTTATCCTAGACCCGTGCCTGAAAATCACAAGGTTTCTTGAGCTTATCTTATGCACTAAAGACCACGAATTAAGGACCGAACTATATTAGCCTGCGAAAACATCCGTTTTTCCTCTCTCTTCGTCGCTGGGGACGTTTGTTCCTCCGCGCGAAAAGTCCCCAGCGGCGAAGAGCGAGGAGAAACAGATGTTTTCGCAGGCTAGAAATATACAGGATTTAAGGCTACCCAAATGACCTTGCGGTCTTGCCGCGTAGCACTGTACTCGTGGAGTTAACCAATGGTGGACAAGGCAAGGAATTTTACTTTATAAGTTAATGCTCTCAGCTCTTATTATCCATACAATACAAACACGTTGTTGTAAATGAGTTTTGCTTGATCCTAACTATTATCATTGACGGTCAACAAGTCGCTGGAAATCTGATAAGGAAAAAGATAGGCAATAATTAATGTTTCATTTGTTTCTAGGCATTTTCTTCCTTTATGATGGAAAATTGTGCGTAACGAAAGTTGCTTGCTTTGTGGTTCAATTTAGCACCATTTCTCACGGGGGCCCCGTTGTGTTTTACACGACGAACCAAGAGTCTACCCACGTATGACGTCATTCTCTTCCAGGGTGATATGGCAATTGCAGCAATGCGCACATGAAGCTGGCCATACCGAGAAAATAATCACGAGCGTGATCATAAGACTAATCCACTCACCCTGAATTTTAACTTTGCCGTCTCCATCAGGATCAGCTTCATGTAAAATATCTCGCAACTCAAATTCTTTCATCTGCGCACTTCCCGGCATGCTCCTTAATGCCACTTGTAGTTCGTTCAAGCTAATATAACCTCGTTGATCCGAGTCAAAAACCCGGAGAGCGTCAATGCAACCATTTTCCTTGCGTTCTTCATCTGTTATCAAAGACTCCATAACTCTTATGAACTCCACAAAAGTTATTTTTCTTTGTCCTTCAATTGAAAAACAAAAGGACAAAGAACAATTAAAGCGAATACGGCGAATATCCGTCATCTCAAAACTGTTGAACATCTACAGACAGGACTGTTTTGAAGATTTGTGGGCCAATATCGAGTCCTTCGAATTGCTTTCGTTTTATTCTTTTTCAACCTGTTTTTTATTTGTAAAGTCTAGGGGAGAGGAAGAAAGAATAACCCACCGCCAACCCCTATCCCCGCCCATACCCACAAATCGCAAGGGAAGGGCCGGCCATAGATAAACTGTTCCAGCTGACCTGCTAGGTCCAGTTCGTTCAAGTAGCACCACACTGCAGCCTCAACAGGATTGTGACCAAGTGAGCGAATGAGGGGGAAAACTTCTCTCACTTTGATTTTGCCATTGCCGTTTGCATCAAACACAGAGAAGGCGTCTTCAAATCCTGTCAATCATAAGAGTTATACCAAGGTTACCATTTAAGAATTTGCTGAGTGCAGCGAATAAAGCGAAAGGGCGATCAGTTAAAGAAAGCATCAAACAGAAGTAATATCCTTCAGTTATACTTCGTCCATCCCTTTCATTGGTATTTGTGGTATTGATTGGTCATTTACTTTCTGTAACGCTTTAGAACACAAAAACTGTCGGCAGTCGTGTGTGCAATAAGACTGTTTATTATACATTCAACTCACTACAATGTTTCTCTTTTCTGATTGGCCGAAAGTGCTCAGTGGTTTTCAAAATCAGCGCCTATACAATAGTCATGTCAAGGACACTCAAAGTCACGGGTAATCATGTCATGTATGACCGCAGTGCATGATTTCGAAGGGTAATCATGTCAAGTTCGCGCGCTTTGTGTTGCTTGCCGTCAGTGAAGAAGCAAAAACATGACTTCCAGGTTTGCTTCGTTGACTGAGCAAGACATCGAAAAATAGTTGAAGACAAGGACTCTGAAAACACAAAAAAGTCGACAAAGGTGGCAAAGGAGCTGTTTTCTGAATACGTGAAAGAGAAAAAACTTAGAGAACCTGAGAAAAAAAAAGAGTTGGCACAAACTTTGAAAACATTTTATGTCGAGGCGAGAAACATGGAAAGAATTCGTTCAATGTATAATAAAACAATTATTAGATTCGGTTTTTTTGATATCCAGAATAATCAAGGTCTCGGTAAGGGTTATCAGCCTCAGCCTTCGGCTTCGGCTGATAACCCCTACCTCGACCTTGATTATTCTTGATATCACAAAAACCTCATCCAATAATTGTTTATAACAATTTTCTATTTTTCCCTAAGATTGTCGAGATGGAGCGCAGTGCGTTACAGGCGACCATCTTGGAGAAGTGTCAAATCTACTTAGGGAGCGGGGGACAGTTTGAGAGGAGGCGGGAAAAAAAGTCGAGAAAACGTTCTGTTAATATCATTGATTCCTAAAAGACAGTGCAATTGCAGCAGTTAAAAGGAATGCAAAGTTATTAACAAGGTATGTGAAAGGGGTACCATTTGTTAATAGATTTAGAAAGTATACGAAATGGGTACTTTTTTCGTGAAAAATGGTATATAAAAGGGTAAGAGGTTGAACCTCGGGGCAAAGCCACCCCGTATAAACATTTGTTGAGAACTCCCCCCCCCCGGTATATAACCCGAAGGACCATAGACTGAATGGATTTGCTGAGTGAAGAAATGGTTCGTTATAAACAAAAAACAAAAAGTGCCTTATTTATAAACTAATAAGAGCAGCTAAGTGCACTTCCACGATAAACAAAGCATTAATTATTTTTACCTTCAATTTGCTCGTTACAGAACACTGGATTCTCTAGTTGGTATTCTTTTTTAATGGCTTCGTTTATTCTTTGCTGCCATTGGAAAGAAAATAGAAAGAATCTGTTTCTATTCAGAAAGTCTGCTCATGGTTTTCTGTTAGTTATTTAGCCACGGCAGGCAAGATTTAGCTGTCACGCATACCAGCCTTTTTATCTTCTCAGTGACTGCCGTATGGGAGTTAATACCCATACGGGTAGGCACCACGTGAAAAAAGCCTCGCATAAAAGGGGAGAATGCCCGGGAACATCCACTTGCACGTAGTAGGGTCATTCTTTGTCTATTTCACTATGTCCCTTTTTTAAATTAAAACTGAAAATCTTTGACCAGATTAAATCAGTTCATGGCCGACTTAGTCTGCTTCACAGCTGAAAGTAGAGTCGACTTGTTCTAAAGGCGATCGGCTAAAATCTAGAGCTAGTTGTCATGACAACTCATATGTCCTGTTCGTAGTTTATCCAGCATAATCGCTGACGGGGATTCGAACAACTCTGCCTAGGTGTGAACATTGGTCGTTACAAGCAGGAGCAGTGTTGTAAGCGGTTTTAAATCGACCTCACCTGTCTTTTTGGTGCTTTCCTGATTTCAAGTCTCACAACATTTTTGGCTTTTCTCACTGTTTGACGTGCATATTTCACTGGAACGTTACTAACGTTAATTCCGTTTATCTACAGAAAACAAAAAGAAACATCCCTGAATTTAGTTAAGAGGGTAGCTTTAGTTTACCAACATAACAGATCTTTTTAGTAATAAAATTTTGCTCATGTAGAGCTTGTACGGGTTACTGAGACGAGTTTTTGATCTTGTTGGTAATTTTGATTTGTTTATATAAAACTACTTCTAACCTCTCTTGCAGCAATCTCAGGGGAAAAAATGTATGAATATCTTTGTTGTTTCATTCTAAGTAATTTTACTCGCAATTTAAATAAAGGATCATTTAAACCCGTCCGAATTGCGAAAGTGAGGGTTAGTTCCATTTAAGGTTTTGACAACTATCTATTCCAGGAGTGTTTTTCGAGTCAGCGTGTCTCTGGAAGTCACCTAAAGCGCGTTACACAGAGTTTGAACTTACTGACAATACTCTATCCCCGGGCCTCAGCATTCTATCTGCAGAACTCCCAGATACAACGTGCTTGATAAAAATACCCGGATCACCAGGAAAGCGAGGGTTATCGTTTCCACCGTGTAAAGTGAAACCCAGATCTGCTGCATGATCTGCCAATGGACAAACAAAATCATTTGCTTTACCAAAAGATCATGGTGTATTACAGAGAGTACCCTCTAAGGAAGCTGTCATTACCCACAATGCTTAAAGGAATAAAGTTCTTGTTGAAAATCACGATTACGAGTGTGTATTGTTTATTGTGTGCCTCATGCAGTATGGTTTCGCCCCAGTGTAAGGTAATCCAATCCGCATTTTAGGATCCGGCGAATTTTTGCTCGTGGAACTCCCTGAATCCTGGGCTATGGATATCAGGAAATCAGCTCAAGGAATCTGGAATTCCGCTAACAACTGTAATCCGGCCAATCCAAGTTCCACTGGCGATGAATCCAGAATCCAAGACCTGCAATTCCGAATCTACATCGTGAAAACCAGATTTGGATTAACTTGCATGGGACGAATGGTTACTTTATTACACATAAATTCTTGCTTTCACTTAGACTCTAAAACCAAGAAATGAGTAAATATTATCATCTAATTACCTTCAAGTCGTTTGGGAAGTTCCACCGTCAAGTAATCAGATTCTTTCTTAAATGAAGGGAAGAGCTTTTTGATGGAAGACAGCTGTCGAAAAAGTCCGCGGGTAACAACATTCAACGGTTGGCCTTTTGGGTCCAGTTGCTTGTTCAGAGTAATATTGTTGCTTGGGTTATTAGTTTGCAAAACATTCTTGCTCTGCGGCAATTTTTGCATATTTTGTGCCTTCTGGAATTGGTTTGGACTATAATCGGTATAAATAAAAGAATATTATCGGCGAAAAGTAGGTAGGAAAATCAAGTCGCTAGTAATTTCTATTAATTGACACGCCAATCAATGGCAGGGTTTGCTATAGCTTCCCCCCAAGTACGTAAGGGAATCCGGATTCTGGAATCCAGGAAATTTTTCCTTTTGGCATCAGGAATCCGAGAAATGTTTGCCTGTGGAATCCTGAATCCAGGACTTTGGAATTCGGAATTTAGCTCAAGGAATTCAGAATACTGTTAACCATTATAACCCGAATCCAAGTTCCACGGACAACGACCTCGAATCCGGTATCTGGAATTCCGGAATTCATGGCGTGGAATCTAGAATTCAAGACTGTCTTGCATTCCCTTACATGGGTTGATTCGGTCAAGTCGTGGGTACAAGAACTCATATGCAAAGAAGCAATTAGCTGGTAGAGAACAGGCATGCATTATTCCACCCATCCTAATATTTTAAAAAGGCTCTTTGTGGGTCATGTTAACTGTGTGTTATCTTCACCCCTTTTCCGTCAAATTTACACAGGATAAGAAACACAGGCATTAATTAATGCAACAACAATGGTGAAAAGAGGACGGTCACCACATTTTGTCCCCGGGGTGGGTACTCCTGGGAATTCTTGGTGGGAGTGTGGCGCCCGGTTCTTCAAATCCTGACCGTATTTCAGACCAAAAAATGTCATTTTTCACACCCGTTTTCAGACCAGACCTCTAAAATCCATACCCGTTTTCAGATCTGGCCTTTGTATAGGTAATAGTATGATTTGTAGTGATATTTGGCATAAATACCACGCGTGATATTTCAAAATTGTTATACGTAATTTCACGAGCCGTTAGGCGAGTGAAATTTGAGACAATTTTGAAATATCACTCGTGGTATTTATTCCAAATATTACGAACAAAATTGTCACATGTAGGTATTTCAAATTAAGTTGAAATACCACTGCTCTAAGCCAATCAAATTGCAGAAATTTCTCACGTAGTAGTATAAAGGCAGAAATTATGTCATTATTACTAAGATTAGAGCGGAAACAAAAAATGCTTCAAATCCATTTAGAATTTGCATATTTCTCTCTCTTTCTTACTCATTTGGAATTGAAACGATAAAATAAAATACGTTCATACACTCCCGTAGTTCCCTCGAAAACGATCCCCCATTCCAGACCAAAATGGGCAAAATCTATACCTGTTTTCGGATCAAAAAGGCGCAAAAATCCTAACCGATGGGGCAGCACATACCTATATAGCTTATATAAGGGAGTACCCCCGGGATTTTGGCCGTGTAGTCCATTAAGCTACGGATTCTATTTTCCCTTTTTTGAATGAGTTCGAAAGACTGGGTTGGTTATAAAAAAAATTACCAATTTTTTAAAAAACAACTTTTATGAAGTGCCGAAATTGGGATCCAAAACGTCTAGCAACTCTGTCAGGTTTCATGAATACAAAGTCTACAAAGCAAAGCAACTGATACGCACGCAATGACCTATGGAGAGGTGCGCTGTACGTGGGTTGACGTACACCTTTTTTTCCCCAAGTATAACGGCTCATTACAATACGCCAAGGATAAAAGCGAGTGTGGCTTTATGATGATGGCATAAAACTACGTGAATTTAAACAATTATACGCAATGCAGAGCTGTTGACTCAGGCATGGAACGGAATTCAGTACTAACGCATCTTCACGAATACAGAGGAGTAGGAAGCTGTTCTTAATTTAGCGATTCCAATGCGAGATGGGGCTTTGTGTTAGGGACTGAAGTGTTTTCGATGTTTTTCACTTACCATGATCCAAAACTCTTTGCTTTGAAGCTTCCAGACAACGAGCATAAACATTGGAATGTTTACACTGGAGAGTATGATTAACAGAAACAATTATGCACCTATCAGTATCAAACCGGCGGGGGGTGGAGGGCATAGGCATTTGCAGTCAAATTCCCTGCCCACGGGGAAATCATTCCAGTCAATTACAACCAAATTTCCCTACCCCTGGCTGCACATTGCTGTCAAATATCCCAAAGCAGAACCCAAGAAAGGCACAATAAAAATATCTCCAAATAAAACTCTGCAATCTTTATCTATATTACGTTGCTGCATCACCGAAGATACATGTTCCGTTGCAGCTGCAATTATACGTTTTAACCACAATCCGTGTTACATATTGCGTTGAATACAGAAACCTTTTGGAGAAAGTCTACATTTTGTAAGTTTTAATATACTGTTCTTAGTAAAGGGTATGAAGAAAGTCAATTTTATAAGCTTACAGTAATTGTAGCGAATGAGCCATACACTGATCAATTGTACTTGCAAAAATCGACTTGGTTTCTCTTTACTTCCGTTTACTTTGATACCACAGCATCTTAAGAGGTTCAATTGATCAAAAACACGCTAAAACAAACGAATTTTGGAGACAAAACAGTGAAAAACACTCAGCTTTCGCTTGTTCTCGTTGGCCTCCATGATTTCACATCTTTCCAGACCGTACGGCGCATGCGTAAAGTGTGGAAGTGGGAAACATATGTTCGGTCTCAGTCTTTTTCGTCTGAGTCGGCAGTCAAATATCTCCACGTCGGGCGAAGAAAGATTCAAATATCCCCTCCGCTGGGAGAACAAGATCAGTCAAATGCCCTGCCCCAGGGCCAGCAAAGACAATCTAAAGAGGCCGGTAATTTCAACGAGTTCTGAATGGGACGTATGTTTGTCAGCTAAGGGGAATGACTCCTGTCTAACAAAAAGCAAATTGTCAAGAAAAGTTGCTCCACTGTGCCTTCAAAAAAATAATTTTATTTGCATAAAAATAAATATGGTTATAAAAATTACTTTAAAAGTAAGGTAAAAGGTATATAAACGCTGTAAAATTTCGAAGTTTCATTAACGAGCTATTAAGTCGTTGATTTCGCCACCAATCTGCATTTTGTTTATGAGGTTAAGATTCGGGAAAACTCCCCACCTTCCCTTCCCTGACCCCCTAACGATAACACCATGTCCTCTTTTAAGGCAGAATGCTAGATTAGGGGTGGGGTATGGGCAGACCTTTCCGATTCGACTAACATGGCGGTTAAGAAGGGACGTTTACGACGGGATAGCGTTGAAGAAAGAACCGCAAAATTGCGGAGAAAACACATGAGCGGCAATCCTACTTTACGCTTACCAAATTTCATGCAGTTATACGTTCTGCGCATGACTGTGAAACTCAGTAAAATCTACTTTTAAATTCAGGGATGCACTATCAAGGATTGTCCTTTCAGAATCGAGGAACATTTGTTTCCTGACAAAAAATGTTGTCTCAAATAACACCGATGTCGTTATTGCGGGCGTTACTGCTGGATTTGCCGATCCACCTCTTTGATGACGTATTAGATCACAGTAGTATACGCCATGTTCTAAACGAGTGAAAAACCGGGTACAATATGCGATCAAAAAGCTTCTTGGGATCGCTTGACGAGACGGCATGAAGGTCAACACTACAAGTGTGTGATGTTCCAAACTTCAATTGTAGTTTCAGAAATGGGACTAATCTTCACTTTTGCAGAGGGGGTGAATTCCTCCGTATTTAACCGCCATGTTTTTGCTTAGTCCCTCAGAACGACTCCTAGAGCCTTGGCCAAAAAGAACACTGCTTTTTTTCCTGAGTAACAACACTGCTCCATCCTCGTGGCTTCTTTCCTTCCCTTGGAACAAGAGAGAAACCCTCCATCTATGTCTCTCAGCTCTAGAGGACAAAAATAAGAGAGGCACTGGGGACGAGGTTGGTGCACTCCGGTGATGAATGGGGTTGTAAGAGTAATCAGTGCATGATCTTTTCCCCAGAATCCTGAAGGATCAGTACAAGTTGAAGATGGGCAAAACGAGGTCTTGGAATTCTGCAAGCAAGAAAAATTTGTTTACAAGAAAACCTGCCTGTCAAGAAAACCCATTTGTCTCTAATTTGGTCTCACTATCTTGACTGGATTATCGAGAGTAGCGCAAGGTAGTTGTGATGTCTTTCCCAGCATCCCTTTCCTGTTGCGTTGTAGGCTGGGCCTTAACTCGATTTCGCCGCTCTGGCGACTTCGTGTCCAGTTGCAGGGAAGCGGCTCATTATACAAAACAGTGGCTTAGCTGTGATTGAACCTAGATCATCCCATTCCTATTTTTAACCCGTTGTTGTTTTTGTATATAGGTTCAATTATAATTAGCTGGCTCTGCAAGGAGTAATTGTTTTCGACTCGGGTACTCTGCAGTTCAAATACTAAGCACCGACTAGTCCCCTTGAACGTCTCCATTTCTTGGATGCGGAAATCACACATGGGGGACGGATTGGAACGCCAGAAGTGTGCTCGAAAAGTAGAAGGAGGTGTGATGGAAAAATCCTTAGCGCTACCCTTGAACGCGTCCATCTCGTTTATATTTGTAGAAGACTGAGAGAAGACTGGGGACTAGTCAGATTATGCACTGCAAATCGTCACAGTTTGAGCGATAAACAATAGCCGTATGATAAAAAAAGAAAAATCATGAAGAAGGCGCACTCCTCCGTCCCTCATCCTCTCTTGAAAATCCTCATTCTGGGGTCAATTTAATAAAACTTTTACAAATGTAATTTACAAGTGTTAAAGTTTTATCAAATTTACCCCTGATCAGCAATTTACCACAAACCTTGAAAGCTGACGTTGCCATCTCCATCGGGGTCTGCAAATGCAAGAATGTCTGCTATTTCACTTTCTTCCAAGTTCTTTCCACCAGGCATTTCTTTTAAAGCATGCTCAAGTTCGTGAAGTCTAAAGAATCCCTTTAACTCTCTATCGAACACCTCAAACGCGTTCACCAAGTCTGAATCGCTCTGCTTTGATGTTGTAATTCTCGTCATTAATTGAACAAAATCCAGGAAAGAGATTTTGCTCTCCCCTATTCATAATGAAAAGAACAGTTGTGGTTAACTTTCGATTTTTCTAGACCACCCGTCCTCATCACCGGTTTAAAGTAATTGATGATAAAGAAAATATTTGAGAGATTTCCAAAATGCACTTTTTGGTAAAATACAGTGTGTCGTTACCTGCCCAACATGTGAAAAATAGCCTTTGCAAAACCTATCCTTGAAGAGTATTGCTTCGAGTCGGCATTACTGTGCCAGCGCAATAGGAGTTGTGTCGCTTTAAAAATACTTCACATAAAACACTTTGTTTGCACTTTCTGACTCGCTGATTGAACGTACACCTCATTCGTTGGCAAGGGTTACACCTCTGATGAGCGTTAAGTCTCAGTGTTTCAGGTGTGAAGTGAAGAAGGGCACGAAATGGAGTGCTGGAAAAAAGGCGGAAGAGGGGAGGAGAGAACTTCTTTCGTCCTCTTTACCCACCCCTCTCACTGTTTTTTTTCCCACATTATTGGGATTGCGGACGCAGCTGCAGACACCTGACAAATTTGAAGGACTTACCTCCTAATTTGAATTCAGTGTCGATGACGTCTTTGTCTGTTGCTGTGATATTGTGTCCAAGTGAGCGGCAAAGCTCCGTCATTTGTTTTTGATTTATTCTTCCGCTTCCTGATCTGTCGTATACCGAGAATGCTAGTTTGAATTCTGACAAAAAAAATTGTATAAGTTTAAGTAACACTTCTGATTCATGAAGAAATTACTTTTGACGAGAGCTCTTGGTAGGGTTGGCGTCAGTTTGTTGAAACTTTTTCGTATATTTAGACAAAGATTTTTGACCGTCTAGTGTCACATCAAAATAGGAGAAACTCATCTTAGATCCAACCTCCCATGAACCAATAGGTAGATCCCAACTTATACTGATGCCTGTTTACATAGATTACAGGGGACACGCAAACCTTGTGCAAACTTGTAAGAGGATCCCTAGTAGGATTTGTTTGCGACAGTCACTTTATATTCCTTTGTAAAAGAATAAATCGCAAACTTAATTATTAATAGTAGTGCGCCTTATCCCTTTCTTCAGTGGTTTTGGGTACGTAGATAAGCTTTCCGCGATTTATTAGGTAATATGAATGGATTTAGCTATTCAAAAATATTTATTGACGACTAGAATAGTAGGCCGACCTTCTAACTGTTCATCAGAGAAGGATCTTGCGGCTCTCCATGCTCTTCTTGCACGATCTCTCTCAGAACTGTCATGCTACAGAGTGAAAAAAAAAAATTAACAGTGGTAGAGGACATAGTGAGAGCCTGGAAGAATAAGGGACAGGAGGGGTTCGGGAGACGGGAGAGAAACTGGCGGGGGTGGGAGTTCGAAAAAGGTGGGAAAAGGGAGAATTAGGGGGGAAATTACCCAACAAGGCGTAATATTTCGCAATCGAAAAAGTGCTAAAGGAAGGAAGCCAAGAAAAAAAGATGCCGGAGCCAGTAATGCAAGGCAAGTGGAGCGGAAGGTTTGGACCCAGGCCTGTCCCTCACCGCTGGTTAAGTATTGCTGAGCACTGCTTAGCCTGAGAGAAAAGGGAAAGGAGAGAAGCGTAAAAGGGAGAGAGCTAAAAACGCCTCTCCCCTAGCCCCTTAGGAAGGCCTCAGTGATACTCAGGCTAAGCACTGCTGATCAACAGATGGCAGCATATACAGTATGCACTGTGTTGATTTTAAAATAGATAGATATTTCACGCACAAGGCTTTAACGATTCTTTCGGTCTGTCCCTAAAACCCTAACAGAGACCAATAACACCTGCAATTTACATCCCTAAGTAAGAAGACGAACATCTCGGGGTCTCTCCCTTCTCGACTCTGAGGGCAGTCTTGAACTGACACTGCTCAAATATTACACGTCTTGAAATTTTTATCTTTGACTGAAGTAAAATGTCAGGAGGTGTATTTTGAAGAACAAACCTCAGTATGATCTGCTTTCTTTATGTGTAGTCGCACCCTTCTATCTGCGGCTCGGATACGATCCAAAGCAAACCTCAATGGAACGTTACTAACGTTTGTACCATCAATCTGTCAACAAAAGAACCTCAGTTTAAACTCTATCAGGCTAAGGTCGTGTCCTGTATTTCGAAGTTGCGCAAAGTCACTGATTGATTGTGATCGTAATTAGGAGGACAAGCAGGAGCCGACAACAGCAGTCGCTTCTTGGATAAAGCAATGTTCAAGCAAATAACGCGCTCGGCAGTCAAAGTAATTCAAAAAATGGCCAGTAGTAGCTGGTGTTTTCCTCAACTCGTTCTGAAGCGGGAATTGGTCATTATATGGTGTACGAAGGGTAACGACTGAGAATGGTCATGCGAATGGTGGGGTTTTGCTGCTTCGGCTCCCTTTGTCTCTAAGTCCATTAATACTGATAGACTCCTAGCACGCGTGCTGAAACAACCGGTACCTTTAAAATCTTGTCCCCAGGCCCCAAGACCTTGTCGAACACACTTCCTCTTTTGACCGTTGTAATAAAAATCCCCGGGTCACCAGGAACACATGGTCTATCTCGACCGCCGTTGATCTTCAAACCAAGTTTACCAAGTCGTCCTACGAAAGACCGTTCATTAGGTTTTTTTCTTCCGAATTCATCGCTTACTTCATCGCATACTTTTTTCATTCATCCTGATTCATTTTAATGTTTTACCTACATGTTTTGAGAGTGTCTCACTCACGAGTGAGACTGGTTTGTTCACTACTTTTGTCCATGTACAACAATTAATTATGAGACAGCGTACAGGTCTGTTAACATAAGGCCTCCTTTTTTGTTGTGGCACAGGAATTTTAAAACCGTTAAGAGTTAGGTCAACAAAATAAAGACTTATGAGACGTTAATTAAAAGGCCTTAAAAAGAGTCAGGACCTTAAAGTACTCTTATCCCAGTGGGTGAGCCCTTTGAATTGACCTGGCAAGTTCTTTGATAAAGTGAGCACAAGACAGAACGTCATAGACACAGGCTGCGACAGTAATGAAAACAGTGTGTTTGGTGTTAGGGGAAACATTGTTTGATATCTGCCTCGTACCCAGACGTCTCTCTTCGATGTCTGCGCAAAGGAAGGCGGGAAGGAGTACGCTTCCCATGGTCCCTTGCGGTTCATCACCAGTCACTCGCGTTTCGCGCTCGCCTCTGCCATGCAAAAAACGAAGCGCCTGAGGAGGAGGCTGGTTTGATATTGTGTTGTATTCTGTAGTTGCGTGTATTTTTCAAGCTTATTGTGAATTGTTATACGTTATTTTGGTGCATGCTTGCACCGCCCTCAGCAACCAACAAACTCCCGTAAAATAAGCATAAAGCATGTTAAATATTTTTTGCTACCTTTTGGACCCGTTGAAATTTCAACAATTTTTTCGTTTTCTCCTGCGTTTTCAACCTCAAATACTCGAACTTCTGTCTTGTCCTGAAACAAATAAACAAAAGAAGACTGAGACAAATAAACAAAAAAAGTAACAGTGAGACAAACAAAAAATTTATAAATGACAAAAAGCTTAAAAAGACTTTGTAAAACCAAATATCAGTTAATCTTTTGCCCTGACGATCTCCTTTTTTTGTTTTGACTTTTTTTTTGGCATTTGCTTCTCCTTTTTCCCACTTCACTGCCAAAAACGAAAACGGAAGAAAGAAGCCCTGGTTCATTGTCAGAGAATCTAAACCAAAACCTGATTTATGCACAGTGAATCAGTCATATTTTCGCATGAGTTTCACAAGAAGACGTAAATACTGCAATTTAGACAGCAGTGAATATTCATACTAAGTGAATCAGCTATATTTCACACCTGATCGACATCAGTGTCAAAGAAATAAATACAGTAACGTACAACAGCATATATATCATACATGTTCACTTGAGCGGAATAGACGAAAAGTATGATTCCTTTGTCTTATACTGTAAATAATCTAATAAACGACCAGGCCGTCTAATTTTGGGAGCCAGAGAGGGGTCGTTTAATAGGTGACGTTTAAAAGAGAGAGCGTTATTCTCATAACTGTAACAAATTCCAAAAAACTGAAATGCATTCAGCGAATATATCACCACACTATATATAAATAGCAGAGTTGCTGAGTCCGTCCATTGTTACGACGACGCCGTATAGATCAAATGTGTTTTTTAATCCTCAACTTTCGATGATAGAATCCTTACTTTCGCGTTTACGTTGAACGAGATACAATGCGCAAACTCTTGCTAATCAAAAAAGATACTTAAATAAATTGAATGGTTTTTCTCCTTTTCGCTAATACCTAGACTGACTGAAGTACTATCACGGAGGGCGTCTATTATACAGGGGCGTTCAGGGGGTAGAGAGGGGCGCCTTTAATACACACTTAAAGGCGTAAGAGGGGCATTTGTTAGACAAAATGCGTTTATTTGAGAAAGGCGTCCATTAGATCATTTACTGTGCTTACGAAATATGATGCCACTGCATTACCGGTGAACTCGACAGAAAAAGGCGAAATAGATTTCACCACAGTTATGAGATACCTCGTGATCTGAACGTCAGTGATGAAAAATTAAGGAATGAACAACAACAACAACAACTACATCAAACCTTTGAAACAGGTATCTTCAAGATTTGGATCTTGGCAACTTTTTCCGCTGCGCGTAGCAAATCGAAAAACATTTGTTGCGGGACATCTGTCACGTCAAATCCGTTTACCTGAGGAGAAAGTAAATCTTTTTCTAATGGTTGCGAACTTTTTTGGTGTTTTAACAGAGTGGTATCAAAAGTGGACATGGGTTGCACCCCCCCCCACCGCCTCTCCACTGACCCACTGACAGGTAAAAATATCGTAGATGTAAGCGCGCCCCGTATCACCCCATATAAGGAAATCTAAGGCGGACTTGGATTCTGGATTCCACGCCGTGGATTGGATTTAAGGAACTGGATTCCGGATTCTTTTTCAGTGGAACTTGGATTCTGGACTTTAATCGTTAGCGGGATTCAGGATTCCTTGAGCTGAATTCCGGATGCCAAAGCCCAGCACTCCGAAGTTCAACAAGCAAAAATTTCGCGGATTCCTTGTCACGGGGCGCGAGAAATGATTATAGGGGAATTAGAGTTGAGTAGTTGCGTCACTTTCACTTTTAAGTAAATTAAAAAGTTTATCGGATAAAATATTTCCTCGCGAGGCAGTGTTAAGTAAAATCAAATCAAATCAAAACAACAAATTTATTTTCACACATAACAAAAGCTGATTTCCAGGTGGGGCGTAGGCAAACACACATAACCTCCCCTACCCCCTCCCCCCCTTCCACCGATGCAATTCCACAGCTTCCTTAGAAACTAGCCCCCGTTTTCAGGTTTTCAGAGTGATGGACTGTTTAGTTAGTATGTCCGTGTAAAACTGTCTACATTTGTACCAGTCTTTTTATCCATAATTATAAACCGGCCTACCTTGAGGATATAGTCCCCAACTCGGACATTGTACATGTCCAGTAAGCTACCGTCTTTAATTTCTTTAATTACGATTCCAGAGGAACCACCTGTTGCACCTTCATCCTGACCACCTTGTATTTCAAAGTTAAGAGGTACAAGCTTTCCTGCATGTGGGAGGGGAAAAAAGGAATACTCAGCTAGTGCGCGTTGAGGAGCATTTCACCATTTTTTTAACAAGAATGAACAAGGGAGTGCTGAGTAAGCGATTTGCTTTTCGCTGTTATTTAATATTAAACGCATCGCTGTTGTACTTAGCGGCAAATGGCCGAAAATGAATGAGCCGTATAGCTGAACACGTTCTCTAAGACTGAGCTTTTCAAATAAGCACTCCTAAAATCTGTGCTAACAGGTTGCCTCATGAAATTACCGTAAAATTCCGAAAATAAGCCTCTCCATGTATAACCCCTCCAAATATAAGCCCCCAAACCGGTAACACAAAAAATCCTCTGTTAAATCGCCCCTACAAATATAAGCACCCCGGGGCTTGTACTTGGAAAACTGCCCTCAAATACAAAGTAAAAGAAAGCAAAAACGGTAAATTTACTTCCAACTATAAGGCTAGCCAAGTCGATTTTGAAACGCAAATTTCCCTCCGTAGGTAAGCCTTTCCGAATTTAAGCCCCCCCCAAAAAAAAAGCCCCCCAAAAAGGGCCTTTGAAAAATGTAAGCCCCGAGGCTTATTTTCGAAATTTTACGGTATTTTAAACAAATTCGAAAATTAAAAAAAATAAAATCAGAGTAAATCAAAGAGGAACGGCGCCCGATGTACAAATTAACAGAAATAGAATGGACTTTTTAAAAGCAGCAATAGGATACATGTATCAATATATGATGCTAAAACACATCACACGAACTAGCCGCCGGACCACGGCTATAAGGGAGGTTATAGCACTACGGCGACGGCCATGAAAACGTCGCTTGAAAAGTGATCTCAATCGCGATTACTCCAACTCATCTACTTTGTCAAATGCAGGCGAACGTTTTTTGAGCGGAATTCCTAAGAACCATATTCAAAGTCAGAAGGAGAAAGAAAACTAAGCCGTCGCTTGATTACGTCCTCCATAAAACGTGAAATTAAGCATTTTCCCGTCGTAGTCGTGCGGTGACGGCAAAGAAATGTGAAATGTACAAAAAAGCGTGATGCACGTGCAAAGTCGTTGTTTTGCCTGTTCGATCAACCTATTGCTTTTTTGACGTTCCCATTGTCGTCTCCGTCGTGGCATCTTAAAGTCCCTATAATAATCCTCTAAACCACTGTTCTTCCCGTTAGTTACCCTACCCGTTGCTCCGACAGGAACTTTAACGCTGATCGTTTCCCCTCCGTCCAGGTTAGGTTTATTTTCTTTCTCTATAATATCAGTTCCTCGTCCTGAGTCGCTGTTGTTGTCTACCTCGGAGTCAATGCTTACTCCGCCCCATGTTACCATCTTAGAATTTGACGGCACCTGTGATACCTGGAAAAGAGTCGTAAAAACTGATTCGCATCTGATTTTTCATTGAAATATACATGTCTATGTCTCCCCATGCGAGGAAATCCAAGATAGTCTTGAATTATGCCTAGTCCACGCCTTGGACTGGTTCCGGATTCTACTGGCCATACCGCAGAGTTGGTAATGTGTGCTTCGATCCTTCCTATTGGTTTTGTCTGTGGAACTTGGATTCTGGATTCCAATCGTTAATGGGATTCTAGATTCCTTGAGTTGTATTCCGGATTCCAAAGCCCACGGTTTCCGGAATCCCCTACATAGGCCGATATATGCGTTATTGATCAAGCGTGAGGTCACAGTGGCTGTATATTTTAGTTTTCAGTGGACCTAGCCTGCGTGCAGACGATAACTAAACTCTGATTAGTACCGTCTGCGAAGCAGCGCAGAGATCCTTGTTCTGGACCCCCAACGGACTCAACGAATTACCGGAAGTGCGTTTCGAATTCCCCTTCAACCTGATTGGCGATCACGACAAACAAAACAAAGGCCTTTTTTAACTGGCCAATCGTGGCGCGTACTCAAATCTGGGTACACAGCTGCAAGTCCAGAACATGGATTTCGGCGCTGTTTCGCAGACGGAGTTAACCAGAGTTTAATTTCGTCTGCGCGCAGGCTACAGTGGACCGAGGTCAATAAAAACGCCAAAAAGAATTTGGACATAATTCAGCCATCTTGACCAAACAAGCTCGGTCAATAAGGGATTCATTATATGGCCAGAGAGAGAACTTCTTCCTTGCGGGACCAGCGCGGGAAATCCCGAGCGGGCAAGGTGGTCCCATCTCGCCCGCTCGGGTAGCTAATCAGAACGCAGGATTCAGCTCATCTTGCTCGCTTGCAGATTCAGCCATATAATAACACTGCCTGCTTACTCAAACATAAATGTGATGAGGAGAAAGGCGACGATTACCTGTACTGTAAGTTATAAAACCTGATCTTGTTGGAGAGCGGGAATTATTGTTCTCACCTACAGTCCATTACAACTAATTCATAACTGATTAAATTGATTTAATTGTTCTTTTGGCTTTTTAATCGCATTTCAACACAGGGTGCCGCTGTGTTGGAGAATCAGCCACTCACCTCATCTCCTTGCATTGTTAAAGCATCTATCTCAGCGTACTGATCGGCAAAACGAAGCAGATTTTGGGCCGTCTGACGGGAAACATTCCGCACATCAACATCATCGATCTTTAAAGGGAAGGATAGGGTGACAAATGACATAATAGTAGAGGGCTGGTTATTCATGGTATAGGTACCATTTTGACATTAAAACCTGACCTGAACTGGCATGTTTGCATGACCCTTCAAGACCGAACAGGAAGGGATGGTTCGTTGTTAGTTCCTTACTACCTAATAATCCCAGAACGACTTCCATTTACGACGCGGTTCTCCAACAACAATGACATGGGATCCGTTTCTCGCCGTCCCGGTAACTTGGCAATGCCGGGCTGGAGGCCTTATCCTAAAATAATGATCCTACCGAGAACTCTCGCACACAAACCAGTCCTACTTTTAAAACATTACTATCAAAATCTAACACTTGGTTTGTGAATATACTGCAAACATAAAATAGCTTTTCTAGGCACAGTAAATACCGGAACTCTCCTAGAGTCCCTGGTGGCTATAAAGTCTGCGCGCACATGGAGACTAGAAGAAATGTGGTCGGGCATTCTCCTTACTCCGACTCGTGCCTTTCTTGGGCGTGGGAGACCTGGGTACGGTGCAAAATATCCGAATGTCAACAGCAACTGCAGCAATACAAGACCCACAATCCTTCACAATCATGTGACACAGAAGATCAGCCAAACCAAATGATCACCTTACCCGCCTCTTGCCTTACCTTTGTTATTTGACATCCGGGTCTTAAGACTTTATCTGCGTCACTTCCAGGCTTTATCCAGGATACGAATATTCCTGGATTTCCAGGTATGTAATGTTCGTCATTACCTCCTGTAATTTCTACATCCTGTCGACTTATTTCACCTAAAAAACGAGAAAAATAATTCAAATTAACGAATTTTAAACCGAGATGGAAGGCCTTAAGGCTTCAAAACTTCAGCGATTTGCTTTGTCATTAAATGGTTATTAGATTACCGTATCCAGAGCAGCTCTGGCAAAATTAATGTTGTCTTCGACTACGATCATACGGCAATGTTTCAACAAATTTTCGTAGGCTGTTGGTAGCACGATTACACACGATCATCCTTATAGGTCAAAAACAATGACGCCCAATTGAATCGCTTAAAACTCAAAATACAACTAAATAAACAGAATCTTAAGCTAATGTTTTGTCTCTAGCTTATTGAAAGAATAACATTTAATTTAGTCATTAATTAAACTACCTTTTCATGTACGTCAGAGAACAAACTAACTAACCTTTTGGTCCTACTGCAATTTCCAAGCTGATTTCATATTCATGAGAGTTTGTGAACGAATTTCCATCGTATCCTTTGTTTACAGTCGAATTCGTTGGCTTCAGGAAGGCTCTGAATTTTCCTCTTCTTAGAGCAAGCATAGTTTCCTAATAGGTAACTTGGTAATTTTGTCTTGACTCACGCGTAGTAACAAACATTACTGACAGACCAACTAGAGTTAAGTCAACAGGAATATTACTCAGCTCATTGTGTCGTTTTATATTCAATAACAATTAATGAAATACCGATAAATGAATAAGCGAGCACTTTACCTTCGCTCTAATTCTTTCCAGAAATGACCACGCATCGGTCACTTGGATCGCATATTATCGTCATGATAAAATTTCACTTTCGTCTCGTTGCAGAGCAACGTCTATTGAAGTCGTCCTATGACGCTAGTCGAGGGCTGTTTTGCGGAGTTAATATCATAAATCTTTTGTGCAAATTCACGGAAGCTTGACTTTATATTGTTGTTATTTCTATCTTGCTCTTTTATATTTCGCCAATCGAGTTGCGAAAATGAAGGAGCCGCAATTTGCATATGTTCCGCTTCTTTGAGCTCAGTCAACCAATTTTCCCGCCACTCCAGCCGCTTCCTTTCTAAAGCCATTGCCGGTCCTGTTTACAGATATGTTGAAGATAGATGGTCGCTGAAATACTGAGAAATGTCTAAAGAACACTTAGACAGTATTTGTTTTGGTTTTGAAGAAGGTGACATGAAAGCATGAAAAGTTTGAACTGCTCTAGCATTAGTTCTGTATTATTTGTTGAGACCGCTCTTGTATATAGCTCAACTTCGGCAGCTCCACTTTGCGATCATTGATCTGAAAAACCTTACAAATATCATGTAAGGACATATTAGAAGAACACAAGATCTCTAGCAAAGTTAAATGGCTTGGCTTCTACTCGGGAGGGAACATAGACCAACTGTTTCGGACTCGTCTCATAAACTGTATTAAATTTGGGCGAGCCAGTTCCCTTTTCGGCTTAGGCGGTAAATTTCAAACAATGACTAAGACAGAGTGCTGACGGTACAGTGAAATACAACCGACATTGATAATGTAATGTAAGAATTTTTATTGCAAAAAATATTGGGTAAATTCTACACTTCATGAACTTGAATAGCTGATACAGAAGGTACAATCACGCGTTAAAACTGTTATATATTTCAAGCGCTTACGTGTGATAAAAAAATCACTCCTCTTTTGTCTTTATTTAGTAAATAGTTTTTCCTACGTTTACTTGCATTTAAAACGCTTATTATTGTATTTTATTTGTAATTTCTAAGTTCGAATTTCTGCCATGACTAGTTTATCCAACCTCGTTCCCATGGTCCTATATGTTTCTCGGAGGAAGACAAAGGAGCCTGGGAACAAGGTTGTTGATTATCCAGTGTTACAGTTATAGGGCATCCCGCGTTTTTGGCATTCGTATTCCCAAAACCCTAGTGATAAGACTATGAATATCACTAGGGTTTTGGTAATGGGGATGTCCAAAACGCAGGGATGCCTGTGGCACTGTACCACCGGTCGAGTTACAAGGAGAGAGTTGGTCCGAGAGTAGAAATGGCGTCATTTTCTCACGAGAACAAAGTTGAACTGATTCAAATGCGGCTAAGTTAGTAAGAAGAACGTGAGTTTTGAGCCTCTAAACAAATTCCCGTTTTGCAAAATATATTAGCTACATTTTTATACCTCCTCCTAAGGTAATATTTATATAATTTAAAACTGCGACAATTTTCTTTTTACGAAAATTCTTACAGACTATCATAGACCTTTTAGGTAACTGGCAAAACGGGAAAGACTCAGGCTCATACCTTAATTAAAAAATAAATTTGGTTTGTAGAATAATACATGATTTGTAGAGAATATATGGGAATTTGCTAATAAAAATGAAACAACAACGGTTCAGTCTCCATTCCTCCCAAGTCCGTTGTCAGCAGTGATAGCATCCCGTCGACTGAAGAGTCAGTGGGCCAGCGGTCAGTGGGCTTTCATTACCTCAACTCATACAGAAGGGCAAAATATGTGATAACTACGCCAGTGACCTGAAAGAAAGACAAAGGAATAAGTCATCAAAGACATAGCATTGCTATTGAAGTGGCTTAGTTTTCTGCGAATCTTTCCAATACGAGTAGTACTAAAAGCTCTTGCTAACATTCGATTTCCTCTATTACTTGTCTGATAACAATCGGCGTCCCTTTGATTTAGGAGTTGTTGGCGTTATTGTAGCGCATTTATATCTCTACGTTTGGATTGGAATTTTGATTATTTGGCCGACCGAGAAAAAAGTTTACTTTCCTTATTGTACGTCGTTACCTTGAATACCCTAAGAATGTTCTAGCAAGTACAGATATATCAGCAGTACCGTTACAATCAGCGGCTTGGTGATGGGCACCAGTCCTCCAGCAGTAATCGCGACAGGATCTCCGTTTAATTTTGCAATGAATAGCATCAACTAAGCAAGGAAATAAAATACATAGAAGTTACAGGTAAGACCAGAAAACGAGGAATGTCATGACATGCGACAACCTTTACCGCTATTAAACGATGAAATTTGCAAGGCAAGCTAAGAAAAATTCTTCAAAAAAGAAAGCTAAGGTAATTATCCGAATCTCCCTGTTATCCCTTTTACAAAAGTTAACTCTTAATTTCCCAAAAAATCTGTTTAAAGCTTACGAAAAAAAGTTATAAGTGAACTTATACATCCAAACTATGGAATTGTCAAAGCCATCCCTATTAAGCCTTGAATGAATGATTTTGCCTTAGCGAGAAAGGTTATTAGTGAGCGGAAGCTCAAATTTTGTGTTGTTGAGCAAGTACAGTTGAAAAGATAGTCACATTAACAAATTCTTAACATCCTGAAATGAAACCTCATAAAAAAAAAAGAAGCATGACCGCGGTGGAACGAGGGCCTGGTATTTTCCCCCGAAGTTTCGGCTTGTGTCACAAAGAACGTAAAAATGATCCCTAGCCCTTACACAATAACACAATAAACTTCGCACAAGATAACGCGAGACAATAGTGCATATATTGACTTGGTATATCGAGCATCACGCAAAGTTTCGCTGTTTTCGTTCCTTGGGGCTTGAGCCTCCTTGTTTTATTATTATTATTATTTATATTTTTTTTATCTTATTGTAATTTGTTTAAAACGACAACCTCCAGGAAGGAGGATCGTATTTATAGGCGAAGGGTTTTGAAACATATCTAGTATTTTCGAGTACCTCGGTGTGTGTGTCCAAATCAACATTGGAAATTTGAACTCTTTGAACAACTTCTGTAAATGAATGAATCTGAAAAGTAAAAAGGAAAATCATAACAGTGAGATGTTAGTTGAATACAATCAAAGCAGTTAAGTTAGGTAGCTCTAGCAAAAAGAATCTGAGTTATGAGTCATTAATTTTTTCTTCATAAGAAGTTTTAGTGTATAAAAATCTTGATTCTTTCTTATTCAGTTATTGCAAGTAAGTTTCTATTCTCAAGCAAATAAAACTCATTTTCAAAAGATCGGTTTTAATTGATATCATTTTACTCTGATGCAGCAAATAGAAGTCATTCCTTACACTCTGACTCGTTCTGAAAATAAGAGTTTTGGATCTCACCGAGGGGGACATGGGTCGGGGGTTTACGGTATTGCGGTATTGAGCTTTTTTTCAAGCGGTATTTCGGTAATTTTGATTTTAATGTGCGGTCTTGCGGTATCATCCAGCCCTTCCGTCTGCGGTTTTTCATCCCTCTGGCTACGGTATTCAGTAAAAGAAGATCCTTCACGGTATTGCGGTACTGTTCACTGGGCTCTCCTGTCTAATGTATAGGTCAATATCAGTGGAAGACTTTAGACTTAACGGTAACTGAATACACAATTTCTGACGGTTACACTATGATGAAATTTGTAGGACATCCAATGACCTGGCTTTTCGATCGTTGTACCGATCAATTCGAGATCTTCTCACGTTTTCTCGCGAAGGCTGAGGTTGATTTCTGGCGTATACATGCACACACGAGGTGGATACAACGTTAAGTAAGCGTCACCGATCATAAATACGGTACCGGTATTTCATCCATTTTCGACACGGTATTTCGGTATTTGCAAATTTATCGTACGGTATTGCGGTATTGGGTACCCCCAATGTCCCCCTCCCCACGCTGTGGATTCCGGAAACCAGGTACCGGATTCCAGATTCATTATCAGAGGAACCGGGATTCAGGATTCTAATCGTAGCAGGGATTCGGGATTCCTTGAGTTAAATTCCGGATTCCAAAGAGCAGGATTCTGGATTCCACAAGCCAAAATTTCCCGGATTCTGGAAACTAAATTACCTGCCATAGGACTTAATACCTACAATTTTCGTCAAAAGTGTTGGGAAGGTTGCTTTTTTACCTTTTTTTTCCTTTCTCCTCCAACCCCTGGCCCAATGTTGAGCAAAACTTTAATGTTTGTGCGCGTAATTGTTCAGTTATATCCCAACATTAGGAAGTTTTATACGACGACGGCAACGGCAGCGAGACCGTCAAAACAGTAATAGCTGTATTAAGCAAAACAACAGGTTTGAAGGTGCATCACGCTTTTTTGTACATTTCTTAGCCGTTACTGCACGACTACGACGTGAAATTGCCTAATTTCACGTTTTATGGAGGACGTGAACAAGCGACGATGAAATTTTCTTTCTCTTTCTTAACTTGAATGCGGTCCCCAAGAAATCAACTCTAGAGAAATTTGCCTACTTTAGACATTTTCAGCGAATTGTAATAAACGCGAAATTCCTTTTAAAAGTGACGTTTTCGTTGCCGTCGCCGTCGTCGATGCTAAAACTCTCTATTGAAGAGGGGTGACGGGGGATATTTAGCAAAAGAGAAAACTCTCGTCTTTGAGGATTAAAATGGACTACTGTTATATTGTACAACCTTCCCAACTACTTTTGTCTGTGATTATAGATACCTTGTAGCTTACCTTACTGTTTAAATGCGCGCCAAGGAATGACACGATGATCATTATCAAAGCAACAGTGACAAACCAAAAACTCAAGGTCAGTTGAGTTGTCACGCCATTGGGCCTGCTAAATATTAAATCGAAGAGAAGAAAGCACACCAATGGAATGTTTGTCACATAAACAACAAGCGTCAAGAATTTAAACAAGTTGTCGACCTTTCTCACGGAGCCACACAGGGACGAATGCTGCTGCCTTAAAATTTTGATTCTTCTTATTTCATTGGCGGAGGCTGTTAGTCGTAGTGTCTTTCGCAGACGATGGCACTGGTGAATTAGGGTCAGGCACACAGCGGTAAAGATTCCAAAGGGCATTAACCAAGCAGCTGAACAATACAGAGAGAGGAAAAAGAAAATGACCCGGCTGGCCATGCTGTCAGGGAGCGGGGAGATAACTGAATCGGCAAGGGGCTGTAAAGACTCTGAGGGAAGGAACAGGATTAAACCATAAAGCACTGTATTGAATGCCATTAGGAAATAAACCGCAAGTTGAGTCCTTTTGACACATTTTATCATATACGGTTCAGTGACTAATTCGTCGAAATTGGGTTGCGTGTTCCAGTACATCAACAAACTTTTCAAGTTTGATTTCTTCCCTGTCAAATGCATGGTGAAAAAACATATCGTGCCCTGCAGAGCGGTCTGGAAATTCCACAACAGCATAGGAACATTAGATCGAGAGGATATGATCCAGTGAGCGCAGGCCTTCAAAAAATAGCCCCATAGAAGCGCCAATACAAAGCACTGATACGCACGCTTTAGATAATAAGGCCTTCTTCGACTTGAAAAGTCTTGTCCACAGGCACTTGTCGCTTCTTGGATGTACAATCCGAATAGTTTCATAGGGAATAATACACACTGTAATTTAGCAATGATGCAAATTTTCCGGCAGGAATCTTTATGCACGGTGGTTTCACTGGACGATGTTGAATCACTGAATAGTTCTAGACTCCTCTTCTTCTCATTTTCTTCAAAGTCGCTCATAACTATCCCAGAGAAACCAGTTTCGCGTACCGTTCTAGATTCTGTAGCTCCTTTATCGGAATTCATAATGCGCGACTTTCACCTTGGTCAAATTTAACAGGCTGGACAAGCCGATAAACGCTAAGATAGACAGTGACTCTATCTATACTGACATCCGTTTGCTAATAAGTCTGATGTGCACAGTCATATCAATTTGATCAACCGCTTGAAAACTTTCCATATATAATGAGCTTATCATTGTTCACGCGTACCACGTGGGACATAGTTGTGTCATGCCAAGGTATTTATTGTTATTCTTTTCACTTAACCTGAAACAATAACAAAATGCGATAACCTGTCAAAAGACCCGGCTAGAAACAATGATAAGTTTCATTAAGAAAGGTCCACAAACGGAAAGTCATTATTTGCATATCTGTTTCTCTTAAAGAAAACAATCTTTCATTAATCTCATTTGAACCTTAATTCCACTGTCTCTGCACGCAACACAAAAATTAACGCCAGAACTGAGCGAGACACAAATTATGTAAGTTACCGTTAATGGGCCAGAATGGCCCCCAGATAAATGAGCTTCAGACGAGCGAAGTTGGCCATCAAGTGAACAAAATTCTTTGCATTTGCCAACTTCATGGGTATTCTTTTCAACTATACCCAGTTGAATTTGCTTATCTGACGTAAATATGCATGAGGGCTGTGTTCCTAGTCTTAACCAAATTGTACGGGGTTTGGATCAACCGATTTATTATGGCGGGCAGGGTCGTGGAGAGGGGAGAGTTCCCCTTTTTGTATCTCATGGCTGAGAGTCTCATAAGCCTTCCCACTTCAAGGTACTTGACAGCGTTCCGCTTCTCCTCCCCCCTCCCCTGTCATTAAAAAACTTACCTGCATTAAAAAATGCCTCTGATTCGTTGCATTAAAACGATTTAGTTTTTTTATTCAAAGGTCCAGAAAAAGAAATAAAGATGCCTTAAGGCAATGAAGGCTGTGACATGGTTATTGTAATTTTTAGAAACAATTAAATCGGTATAATTAGAACTGCGAAGTAATGATGATGTTGTTGGTATACTTTTCGGATTAGCACGAAATATCGTGTACGTCTTACATGTCTCGACACTGTGTACTAAAATATTAAGGTGCCCCGGAAACTCGTTCTCGTTATGTTTTTTTAGATTATTCAGATTCGCCAATTTGCCTCTGGTACCGGCTGTTCAAAGTTTGGATAACGTCATTTACGGGACAAATCGCCATCTAGGGGAAAAGAATTATGGAAACCAATTGCAATTTATCCAGTGGATAAAGATTTATTCTGCTTGCACACACACAGCATAAGAACGGCATGATTTACAAAATAAAACAGTAAGGGTCCGGTTGTATTAAAACAAGGTCAACTCCAGCCTCATTTCCACCTGTAACTGTATGATAGACTAGTCGCCAGATGACAGTTCGCCCTGAACTTCAGTCGATTCGTACGACGTGCATTATATGTTACTGAAAAAACTGCCAAAATTTGACTATAACAATTCTTTTTTTTTTCTCCTACTTATTCTCGTGAAATTCTATTACCACTACTACTGAGTCCGATGTAACTAATACTTCTCCAGTGCATTTCAAGTTATAAAAATAGATCATCTAAAATTCTTACTACACTGAATGACATGTTTAGTCCTGTACACAGTTAAATCCATTTCTGCCCATTATAATTAAGTCCCTTACAGAATTGTCATGAAATAAAAATCTGCCTCTTAAGAGAAAGTTAAATATAGTCATAAATATTGCACGCCCTGGGTGGGTGTTAATTTCATAATTATATTTGGCAGATATTTTTCTCTAAATTCGAATTTTAAGAAAATAATTTTTAATTCCCCCCGCCGTCACCACACTTGACATTTCTCCGATGGATTCATTGGCGTTCCAGGTTTGCATTGAAAAGCCTCGGCAAAGTGAGGATGGTTTTTCAGGGTCATTAACACACTAAGGAAGGAAAAATGCATAGAATAGTTAGTTCAAATATCAAATAAGTCTTACAAATATGTCATCAAAAACCCGAGACTTGAAAATTTTATTTCTGATGTTTTGATAGCATTTACTTCTTCTTTTTGTAATTATCGTACTGTGGATGCATGGGCCCGCATACGAAACGGCGCTTCCATTTTCGCGGGAAAAAGTGCTCAAAAATGATGCTAAAAGTAACTTAGTCTGTGAAAGCGCCGTTGCCATGGCCGTTGCATATGTATGCAAGTAAGGGAGATGCGCGCTCCTACTTATAGCCTCCTGACCATACCAAGTTATCAACTGATAATTCTGTCCTACGCGTTGGGGCGCTCTAAGGAAACTCAGCGCTTCTAATTCTCAGAGGAAGGGTTCATTTATGGTCACATTTGGCCATTCGCCACTTAACAAACGAGGACGGAGCTGGAGCCTAAGGGGCTTCCCGCAATTTTTTCTGCATGGGATGGTTACTGGGCAAGCACCGGTCAGCTATTTTGGCTATTTTTCCGCCCTTTTCCTAGTCCCAGAAGTCTTGTGAAAGTTAACTCGGCTCAATTTACTTCTCGCTTCTAATTTGGTGAATTGTATTTTTTTTAAAAATTTATTTCATTTATCTTTTTAGTTTAAAACAGACAAATCCGACGGCTATACACGCAAATTGCAGATGAATCTACCCCCAGTGTCTGTTTCTCAGTGTCTGCAAATCTTGTGAGACACTCCATCTGGTTTTGAATATTATCTTACCGCCATTTTCCTGGAGAGTGAACATTTGTTGCTAATTCGCTTAAGGCATAACTAGGAGTAGATTCCTCACACCAGATCTGTAAAGCGGAAAAATACAATACATGTAAAAATACTGAAATCTGTATCATGGCTTGTAGATGAGTTAACTCTTGCTTTCAACTGACTACTCTGATCGAAGAATTAGCCATTCAACTTCGGGTTAACATAAATAAACGTTTCGACTTTAAAAAATCAACAACAAACACAGCAAAAACAACCAAGAACAAGACAAACAGAGGAAGCACTTTCTGTCAGTATCGTTACCAAGGATACAATCACAGTCTCAAACCCTCTTTGGGCAAAGAATTGTATCCACAAAAAGAGAATCCTCAACATAAAAAAGGTTGTAGTCACGTACAACCCGCAGCTTGCGCGCTTCCTTACCTGAGCAAAAGAAAGGAAAAAGAGTTGACGTGAAGTGAGTTCAAGATTAGGGAGTGTAGTGTCGTGATCTTTGTTCTGAAGCCATTTTTGATAAGCCTGTCAGAAAACGAAAAAGTTGTTATTAATTTTATCAATCCATATGTGTTGGAGCGTTTCTCGACAATCAATTTTGCGAATACCTTTTTTTTCTTCGTAATGTGTAATGTGTTACGCCCTTTTCACCTTGGTTTAAGCCTCAGTAGAAATTTCCTTACCATGTAGGCCAGTTTTAATCCTCCATTGTCAGCTGTATTTTCTGCTAAAGTCTTCATGCCACTTAGCTGAAAGAGATGCAAAATAAAGGTAACTTACGTATCGTGAATCATTAACAAGCAAAGGCAATAAGAAGTCTAAGGTCAGGGGTGCTTCCTTTGAAACTTGAATAAAGTTTTGCGCACATTTCTTTTCTTGTTCTGGACTGTTACGAAAAAAAGGTAAAACTAAAAGCCAAATGTCTCATCAAACTGAAGCCAGGAAATCGGCCTAGCCATACGATTTGTCAAAGTTTTTAGAGTAGTCTTAACTTGAAGCCTAATAATTGTGTAGAAAAGTGGCAGACTCGTACCCAGTCGCTATTTAAGTATTTTTTGGGATGAGAGAAGAGTGAGGATTAGGTTGTGGCGCGCGCGGGGTCTCATGGGAAGGGAAGAAGTGAGACCCCGCGCGCGCCACAACCTAATCCCCAATCTTCTCTCATCCCAAAAAATACTTAAATAGCGACTGGGTACGAGTCTGGAAAAGTGGCACGTAACGCTCCACTCCAAGTCGCTAACTGACTGATTGTTATAGGTCAAGCCAGCATTTGGCAATTTGAAAGAAAATAATTTTAAAACACTGTATTACTCACGTTGTGGCCTTGCACTTTGCACTGACTGTATTCATTTACCAGGCATTTCTCCCTATTCATAAAGTGTTGGAGGGATTTATTACTCCACCAATTTGCCAAGTTTCCTTCTTTATCGTACCTGGCACCTATCATGTTAGACGTATTACAGTTAGAAAAGTAACCTATAATTTTCCTAATTCAAGTACGAACAGGGCGAGACAACGCCCATGGGCGAGTTATGAATAGCTTTAAATGGTTAACTAAGAATGTGGTGCTATCTGTTCGAGATTGTATGGATGGCGCGAAAAATAAAACACAGCAGAAAATGCTTATGCTAGCCAGAATACTTGATTTTTCTTTTTTACAACGCGAGCTAGATATAGCCAACAAGCAGCTTTCGCTAGCTTTTCGCTCGTCCCCAAAATACGCTTAAGCCGTAGCCATTATCTTTGATGTTTTTACTCAGGAAGACTGGGGAAAGTAGAAATATTAACCCTTGTGGTAGGCTTTAGGAGTTTTTGGGAAAACGAAAATGACGGGGAAGGGGAAAGGGATCTTTCTCTTCTGTCACCCCTCCCTCTTTAATTCGCCCCCAACCCTAGATGTTTTCGAATTAAGCACTTTCTACGCGAGCATAAACACTCACGCACCTTAAGAAAACACTGTCATTAATGGCTATATTTTAATGGTTTTTTTCTTCTAGTATTAGTTCAGTGTAATCCCAAAGGCTACTAAGTTTGACATACAACTACTAGCATTTAGAATAAATTACAATAACAAACAAACCTGACGTGTCAAATCCATGAGTTAGCTCGTGTCCGACCACAAATCCAAGGGCGCCAAAATTCTCCGCGCTAAAACGAAAAGCAGTGGTTATTTATTTGGTCTTTCTTAATAAAGGAATGTAGATTAATAAGGAAATGAATAGTTCAAATCAGCAGAAGGTAATGAAGATTTTCCCTGTTCTGTCATGTTCATCAGGTAAAGAAGAAGACAAAAAATGATGTCGTGCGCTTACTGTGGATATTCAACGTGATAAAATGGTGGCCGGAGAATCCCTGCAGGTACAACTGAAAGAGGAATTTTAAAGTAATATGAATTAGAATCTACAGTCCAAACAAGAACAAGCCCTTTGGTTTTCGGCTGCATTTTCAACAGTGACTGTCTCACAACAATCTGTCTGTCTGTCTGTCTGTCGGACTGACTGTCTCAGTATGTACCTATCTGCTTGCCTTGTTCCCAGTCGCTTGCGACTAACCTATTAGGGAGCTTTAGCAACGACTACGGCGATGGCGACGAGAACGGCAAAAAAGCAAAGGATTAGACAAGCAAAACAACAGCTCTGCACGTGCAGCACACTTTTTTGTACATTTCTTTGTCGTCGTTGCACGACTAACTTCACGTTTTGCCGAGAACGTGAAAACAAACAACCGGTTTCTTGACCTTTTTCTTTTCCTGAGCTTCGATACAGTCCTTTAGAATTCAACTCCAGAAATATTCATTCTGAACAAGATGGAACAAGCGCGATAAAGTTTGAAGCAGCGCAAATTCACTTTTTAGGTGACGCATTCGTGTCCGTCGCGGTCGTTGTTGATTAAGCTCCCTACTTATTAATGATTGCGGGGGTGAAAGGTAATTCCCTATTTTCCTTCCCATCATCCCCCTCTTGCGCTTCTCGCTTGTCTTCAGCTCTCACTTTTCTCGCTTGTTCTGTGCTCTCCACTAAGCCTTGGGAAAGCTAGTAAAGGAGGCAGCCTATCTGTTACCTGTTCAACCTGTTCGTGTCTGCGACTGTCCTTCTATTTGCAATTTCTGCATCGTTGGACTGACCCAGCTGACTGCCCATCAGTCTCTATTCCACGTTTTTTTAATTTTCACTTTTGTTCTACGTCTTAATTGCTTTTCATCTTGTTGTACATCCAGCAGTGCTGCAGCACTATCAACCGTGGTGTGGAGTGGAATGAAGACTTTATTTAAATGGGGTAACACTAGACATTTATCAGTTAGCCTGCGTAGCACGGCGGTTTTGGCTCGGGTGCGCGAACAAGCCAAGAGCCAAGGAGGGCGAAGTAGGGTGAAGGTGGGCAAGGGCAGTCAAACTGCCAGGAGATTTGGGATGGAGTAACGGCGCTCGTTCGCGCGTACTTGGCGTCTTCGCGGCTCAGTAGTGGGCCCGACAAAACCGCCATGCTACGCAGGCTATTTATCAGTGATTTTTTTTTAATGGGAACTGATAAGCTGATAAACTTGTGGTCCTGAAACAGTAAAACGTATGTTTACGAGTGGATAAGCAAAATGTCTCAGGCTTGCCTTTCGTCAGAAATCATTTAACCGGCATCATTTCCAATCAATTTATAACAGTTCATAATAATTAACCCACCTATTTTATTGTTGTTTGGTGAATAGTAAGCATTAATCTCCGTCGGACGCATATCCCACTGAAGACGGTTCAACGGCTTGCCTCTAAATAGCAGTGTGTTTTTCATTCTCAATCCACTCTCCCTCAGTCGGTTTTCAAAGAAATTTTTTGGGTCAACTTGTAACTGGAGTAAAACAAATAACAGCTGAAGTGTTACATGGCTGCCAAATACATAGGCCGGTGGTCTAATAGCGGACCTCCACGCACTCGCGAGCTGAGCCCCATAGTTAAGAAAATTTGGTTATCTATCCATCCGATAAATTTTGGTATTCACGTGACCGTGCATCCCGCGGGTCCTCACCACGGGGAAACCAACGTGAAATATCATACTTTCTAGATAGTGTGGGAACCTGGGACCTGATATTGCAAATCTACGATGTGATCAACGGAAAGCTGTCAAACAAGGGGTCTGCTGGCCAGTATCACATGACCATATTGCGGGCTCAGGTGCTGCCCCATCGAGGCAGCGTGTTTTTTAAGTTATCCGATGACAAGTTACTAGTTTTCAACTGATCGCAGGCTCAACTCCAAGTGGATTTCTTTGTGATGATTAGAAGTTTATACATTTATTAACGGGAGCTTTGCTTTTAGCCTTGGTTAAATCTATGTATTGAATTTAAATAGCTCAGTACATGTTGTGAAGATCATTTGCAGAAAAAAGACACAGGCGAAGACATGCCCTACCCTGCCCTTTTTTTTCAGAAATAACTGCCAGCAAGTCAGTTGGTTTACTATAAGGGACTTTCGCTGAACAGCTTGCTAGAGTCTGTGAGTTGCTATGGCTGTTATAATAATTGTGATAAATATTCTACATTTACCATACCATAAAACAGCCAATGCGGGAGCAAAGCACAAGTGGAAAAAAAGGGCCCCTTTCGGCTTCCCACAGCTTCAAGGTACTTGAATTTAATCAGAATATTAAAAAGGTGGAATTTCAAGTACAACCGAAGTAAATGCCAAATAAAAAGAATAGTAGATTAAGACTTTTGGCGTGAAAAGGGCTGAAAATCACTTAAAATTTGTACAGGCTTAAATGGAACTTACCCCCGCGAAATACTGTTCTAGTCGAGTCTGATTTAAGATAAAATCTGGGTAACCTATTTGCTGAAATATTGCTTTAGCCTACGAAAGAAGAGAATACCACAAATTAGACAAATCATGCAGTCCGGCACACATGCACTGTTGATGAGAAACTGCGGTAAAACAATTATTGAAAATTTTGCTTTGCTTTTTGTCATTGACATTAATTATCATCCAAAGGCTTTGTAATAAGGTTAATATATTATATGTAGTGTTTCCTAACAATTCTCGTTTGAAAGTATAAACCGACTTTTTGGCAAGCGTAACACCATGAAACCGTGAAACTATTTTAGTTTTGCAAGAGGTCGTGCTACTTTGTTCAGCAGAGAATTGTCTTCAACCTCTAAATGCAACATAGTCATTTCATAGGCTAAAATAGAAGAGTACTAAGTTGAATAGACAATCTGTTCTTTTTTTAAATAAAAGAGGAAGCTCCCTTCCTCCTATTTTCTAGGAATATATCTTTTCTGTCTTTATAAGCCTCAGTCTGCTTGCATAGTCCTAGCGATTTTTAACGAGCAATCAATGTTTCCTTACAGTCAATTAATAACCCCATGTAAGGGAGTCCTGAGTCCGGAATCCACACAGTTTTCTCGTGGAATCTGGAATACAGCTCAAGGAATTTGGATCCCACTAACGATTGAAACCCGGAATCCGACTTCCACTGCGAAAGAATCCGGAATCAATGGCGTGGAATCCAGAATCCAAAACTGTCTTGGATTACCTTACGTGGGGTGAAATGAACGTTACAATGGTTACGCTTTCGGATGGGTAGCCTGCGAGCAAGCTTTCCAGTTATGGCGAGCGAAGCGAGCAGCAAGAGAAAGCGAGACCGAGCGGCGAATATTTCTTTCCTCCCCCCAGGCCCTCACACCCGCGTCTCCTTTCGCGTGCGTCTCTCGCCTGACTTCTCGCAACTCTTCCAAATGGCATGGAGAGAGTGCTCGCAGGCTAGCGGATACGTTAAAGTTGTTACTGATCATGCCTGTTACCTTTTCCACTGCTGCCCGCTTTGTTTTGCTGTCCATCCACTTGACATCCTGTAAATTGTCCATAAAGGCACTGCGTATGTGTTGAACCATATCATTCGCCTAAGGAATAAAAAACGACCGTTGAATGAACAAAAAGAAGGGGTGGCTCTAACGAAACACTCTGCATTTTGGTAGAAACCAACTTTAACACTTTACTTCAAATCCCGCAATATGACTGGCTATTAAGTGTACACACTACTATTTATAACGAGATAGATTCATTGTGCGTAGCACGCCCGCGTTTTAAACTAAGAGAAAACAATGACAGCGTCAATAGCAAATCGTTTATGCAATGTTTCTAACACAAAGAATTAGATCGGATTAATGAACGGCTCGCTTCGTTGACTGAGGTAAAACATTAAACAACTTCAGTCTTGGCTCAGTCTCTGTTCAAAACTACACGTTTGCTTGAAAAAAAAACGAGGGTGAACGCAGCAAAGTCAAACAACAGAAATCTACCAGTTAATTTCTAATCAATCTCTAGACCACATACTGAATTCTTCGTTCATATGGATTAGAGGTTTCTGTCAGGTTAAATTTTCTCATTGCTTATCAGAATTCTCCTAGAGCGTCTGGTCATACATACATGCTGTCTGCTTTCATTAGTAAAACCGGTGCCATTTATGAACAACATGGATACGCCCATATCAAGTGACTTGTCTGTTCCGCGGACGCATCTACGCCATAACGGACTAGATTTCTTTATTCCATAAACATCGTGACTAAAATCCATGTATGCGTCGTGGAAGTCTTGCGAGAGGTAGGAGCCGTACTCGTAAATTATGTTCCACGTGATGTAATTGAAGACAGCTCTAGAGAAGTCAAACATTCAGGTGTCAGCAACTTGGCTGATCGTCAATCACGTCCCCAGCTCTCCCTTCCTCCCGTCCTGGGTGGAGTGAGAGAGACCCTGGGAAGGAGGCTGGGCTGATCGTGTGATAGACCGATAGACCGTGAAAGCGCTGTTGACATGGTTGGCAAGGCGGGGGAGGGGTGGGTATGGATAGGTGAGGGGATGGGGGAGGAGGTTAGTGGATTCGGGACGTAATATCGATCATGCATAATCTACCCCAGGATTTGACAGGGTTAAAAGGACAGTTTTCAAAGATTTCATTTTCAATCTACCCCAGGATTTCGCAGGGTTAAAAGGAGAGTTTTCAAAGATTTCAGTGCAATACAGGGTATAAAAATAACAAACACAACTTTGGTAACGGAAATAATGTCATGAATTAGTTGTAAATGCGTTTTAGAAAGGAATTGAAATTCCCTCAGTTTTGAGCAGGAAACGGCGCATGCTTAGCTGTGCGAATCTTTTGCTTTTGCGTCAGTCATTAATTCATTCAGTATTCACACAAAAAAACTTCGTTTAATGGACAGACAGTGGGGTCAAACCACTGAATGATAGATCAAATGCTGATGTTTGTCTAAAAACAAATAACAAGGGTAAATTGAACAAACATCTACTGCATTTACTCGAAAAATCGTCGCGGCACTAGCTTATTAAATTTTTCACGCCCCACATGCGGCCTTTATAGTATTCGAGGGCGGCGCTTATTTGAAATTTGGACGTGACAAAGAATTTCAGTTAAAACTACAGTATTACCATTATTTTCCGTATTAAACTACAGAATTAACGTCTTCTTTATTATACAAGGGGTGGCACGCTTACTCGGGGACGGTGCTTAATCGGGGCGGCGCTTATTCGAGTAAACACGTACGCTTAAAATGATGGCCTCAAACTCAGAGAACAGTTCAACATAAGGAATTATATTTTACCTCCTTGGAAACTTGCTCAAAATTGATGTCAACTTCCGCAAGTAATGTGCGCTCATCACCCAAAATGGTTCTGAATCCGAGAAAGACTTGTCACCTAAGCCTTCTGTTAATTTGTTAAAGTATCTCTTCCAGTCAAACTGTAAAATAAAGATATACGGGGACTCAATATCATCATTAATTGTCAAAAGTTATTTCCAGGTGATAAAAAACAAAAGATGCGCCAGTTCGTCTCTAAGTTAATTATTGCGGAGAACTGATATGTTGTTATTTAGCATAGTTAGACTCTTTTAAAGTGTGACCATATTCATATCTTAAACTTTGGCAGTAATTCTTTAATTCAAGGAAACATTCATTATGAACTTTCAGGATTTTGCTACAAACTGATTTGGTTTGCGTCACGTACATAGGAACAATCAGGCATGGTTTTGTCACACTCACCGTAAGGAAACCTTTACCGTAAATCCTCTGTTATGCCCCCCGGAGGACCGGCTTATTTATTTCAAACACATTTGAAGGGAGGGGGGAGGGGGCTTAATAGAGATAGGGGGCTTATTTGAGACGGGTTTTTTTAAATTTAATTTACCAAAGACAGTGGTATCAGTTCTCCTTAAAGAACTAGAATACAAAGTAGAAAAGCTCGAGTACAAGAAGTTGGAGGTCATGCAGCCGAGGATCAGAATCAAATCCGAACTTCCAGTTGGTAAATACTCATTAGTGAAGAATAATAAGGGGGAGGGGAGGGGACGGAGGGGAGGGGAAAGAGAGGGCTTATTAACTTTCTTCCCTGAAAAGAGAGTGCTTATTAGAGAGAGGGGACTTATTTGAGAGTGGGCCTGAGGATTTAAGGTTAGTTTAATGCAGCAGGCCAAAAGTTATCTTAGGTACATGTCACTCGGAAAAATTAGCAATTGTATCTGAATTCGGCTTCCGAATGATCTGAAGAGTTCTGCAGTTTATGCCCTTATCTAACTGCATAATTTTTAAGATCATAGGAAAGTTGAATGCAAGAACAGTTTTATTTTTCACGTCCACGAAGACGTAAGGATATAACGAATAACGTTAACCGGTTTGGCTTGTGGTCACAGCTAGTCTTTTATGCTAAAGCGTAGCATTTCCACTGACAATTGTATGTGAGAATCGTTCAGCCCGCAATAGCCTTGGACAGCGTTTGGACTGTCACATACAGGGTTTTTATCGTTTTGAGGTAGTCGCGGCCATATTTACGAAACATACCACTTCGTTATTGAAAATCTCCGGGAAATCGGTTTGATAGCCTCCAATGTTCCCTATATAAACTAGCTCTTGTTTACTTTGTTGTTCTTGCATCGCCTGTGTCGAAAAAAAGCAAACAAGGTATACTAAATATCGATAATAACATCATAATGTCAGCAGCCTTTCAAGAGAATGCTTTTTACAAACTATCTAGTCCTCTTGAAAGAGGACGGGTTTAAAAAAGCCCCGTCTTACAGCATTTCACTTATCTGACCCTGTGGGGCGGTAAATGAACCCCTGGGGCTGTAAAAATCTCGGGTAGTGACTCCCTTCCGGGTCCTTCCCCCTTCCTCCACTCGTGTGTCGATCTTTCATAGGTTGGGGAACTAGTAGGCAGGGCAGTTGGTCTAAACCTATTCGTCCTTTTCCTTCCCATACCCATTGGGTAGCCTGTGCCCTACAAAGCTGGAAATCAAAATCAATACATCTTTGTTGAAGTGTTTTCTTACAAAGTGATATAATAATAATAATAGTAATAATAATAATAATAATAATAGGAATGCTATAAGCAGAAATAAAAGAAACATAAGAGAGAAAAAAAAACTTAATTCAAGTGTCAAGCCCGTTAGCCAGAATTAAACTGGAGTGGGACATTTTCGTGGTTCCCAAGTCACCGCCTGAGTTCGAATTTTCAGTTATTTTAAGACCCAGTGTTGGTCCGGCCCCGGGAATCGAAAAGACCTCCCGCTCTGCAGTCAAGCGGGAGAGCTAATCCTGCCGCGGTTTCAACAATAGCCCGTCAGCCGTTCATTCTAGATTGAAATGACACCCAAAAGTACCGAATCAAGTTATTCCGTTCAAATTGAAATTGTACGAATCTTTTTCCTCCATCTGTTAAATTGCATTTTTCAACTAATATTTTGCTATCAGTGATGTATCAGTTATGAATTTTCTTTGAAATATACGTAGTGGTGAAGTTTTTTTTTTCTTGGTGGTTGCTCCTGATGTCAAGATTGTAAGGTAATCCAAGACAGTCTTGGACTCTGGATTCCATGCGGTGGATTTCCGGACTTCAGGTGCTAGATCCCGGATTTCTTGTCAATGGAATTCGTGTTTCAATCGTTAGCGGGTTTCCGGATTTCAAATGGGGTGACAATGGTGCAATTCGATCATTCCTTTCTCTCTTCTCTTTTTGTAAGAGACAGAAAATAAACGTTACATGGCGTGGTCTTCGGTGACCGCACACAAAATATCGCGGGCGCTCTTTCCCACGAAAAAGCACATGTTTTGTTATGGAGTTATACTGTCGTTTCGTTAGGACAAGTTTTCCTTTCCATTAAGAAGGCACAATAACTTGTAAGTATGCAGTATTTTCGGTTATTCGGTCAATATCATCTTTGTAATAGTCGCGTTGTTGTTATTTCAGCGAATCTTTCTCTTTCACGTGCAATTTGTGAATGGAATGAATACAAGTTATGTGCAGATTAGAAACGAACTAGCAAGTGAACAACTGATTAAAGTACAGTTTCAAGTAGCTATGAGTGGACGCTACACTTTTCATACGCTCACTACGGCGTAACTTATTTTATTCCAGTACCTTGACTAATTCAACCTCGAATGCAAAGATCTCTGCTAATTGTTTGCTCAAGAGTCGCTCTTTGAGAAAAGCTTCCAGTAAGTTCATGTGCTTCACTCCACTCACTAGAATCATCAAACGTACCATCAGGGTCAGATAGGCTTTAGTCACCTGCATTGAAGAAAAAAATGAAAAAAAAGTGAGATTAAAGACTGAAGCGTTTATCCTCTTAATATCCCATGAGAAAAAGCTAAACACATTGCATAAAGAAAGATGAAAAATAAATCGTTGACAGGTGTCTTTTATACAAATGATCCGTTTAAATGTGATGACCAAACACATGTGCCAAAGTTTTCGCCCTCACAGTATCAGCTGGAATGGCTATTGACGGAGTTTTCGGATGGGTTATAATTTGAACAGAACCGATTGACGCGAGCCATATCGGAATTCTCACGGGGCGCTTTCCATTTAGTCAAAATTTCCGGAATTTCCGGTTCGGCGGTAAATGGAACACGTTTCGTCGGTTCGATGTTCAAATGGAAAATTAAAAAGGTGGTCCCGTTTTTTTTCCGAACGGAATGTCGTGTTCCATTTACGTTTCTCGTAGTTTGTACCAGTTCCAGGTCCACGGTCGGGAAACGTCACGTACCGGGGTTTACGACCAAATGGAACAACTTTTTACCAATCGGAAATTCCACTTTTGCTACCACCGAAATTTCCGGGTTTTTTTCCTAAATGGAAAGCGCCCACGATGTTCAAATAATTAATTTTTTTACCACTTGGGCGTGTCTTTCTTGTGATAAGTAAACATCGTGTGTCTTCAGAAGAGGCTTTTGAGGGCTAAGCTGTCGAAGGAAAAAAAGTAGAAGACTCATTGCACATGTTCACCCGGCGTTTCATGAAAGATATCGCCCCTTGTAAGGAAATCCAGGACAGTCTTGGATTCTTTATTCCACGAGGTGGATTCAGGATTCTTTGTCAATGGAACTTTGCTTCCGAATTCCAATTGACAGCTGGATTCCGAATTCCAAAGCCCAGGATTTGTGATTCCAGAATCCTGATTATCTTACATGTGGCGAAAGATAGTTGAATACCGCTAGCAAAAATATTGACGCCAACAATTAACAAATAGATTCCATGTTGCCGTGCGTCTGTTTAGTAATAGATCAGAGATGACGTCATGATCAATCATAGCGCGCGTAGCATTCACCTCATTGCATAATGATAGACAGACAGAAACTGGAAACAGATTTCTTCTTGCACGAGAAAGCGGCCTTAGAATCGGGATGAAATGAAGTGTGTGGTCACCGTGGTTGAATATACTACAAAGGAAAAATGGGCATGAAACATTGGCGTGAACTAAAGAAAAAAAAACTAAACTTTTGCAGTCTAACAAAGAAAAAGAAGTGGGGGAGGGGGTGCGGATTGCGTGCTTGAGGGTGATAAAAGGCTTCAATTATTCGAAAACGAGAACTTACAACTGCATTTTCTTTTTAAGTTAGGGATATGTGTGTAAGCAAAGTGGGGCACTTATTGATCACTATAAATCTGTTTGTTTTCAACTTACACTAAGATGCGTAGGGGAGGAAGAATTCCTTGGATCGTTGTTAAGTGATAATGTAAACAGTGGAAATACGCTAAGATTACGATGAACAAAGGCTAACACATCTTCTAGTATTAAGGGTGGATCTGCTTCTGGTGCCAGTATCCAATCATCGAGCGAAGGACCATTGACTAAATGCAATAATTCCTTTAGTGGCTCAGCTTTTAGTTTGTTTCGTTCTTCTTGGTCCATGCAAGAGGCGTACCAGTTGTAAACCAGTCTTCCTACACTGTTATCTGAAGTAAAGAAAGCAATAAAGTTTCTAAAAATTAATAACTTCTTTTTTCTCTTTTCTTTTCTTTTTATTCATTGAAGTTTGCTTCAATGCTTTTTTAGGCGCAAACGGGTTTGAACATATCACTATTAATTAGCTAGTTTGGAGTTGCTTGTGATTGTGATTGGCCGAGATCTTTATTTTTAAGGCATTCGAAAAGCCTACCAAAGCAAATTTGAAATCACTTTCGACACTCACTTAAAAAAATTTAATGGTAGTAACTGAAGGTTTAACAGCTTCACACTGGTGCTTGGAAAGCTTTTCAAGTCTAGTGCGTACAGCTCTCTTGCACAAATAAGTCTGTTTTCCAAACATATCTGCCGCCTAAAGACATACATGACCCGGTTTCATCGGCACCTATTCCTAGGTCTATGTGGAATTTTAAAGAGCAGCTTTCCTAAAGAAGCTGTAGTATTGGGCTTTCATCTAAGTCCGTTTTTATGCCGGCTTTTCCATCAGTCAGACAAGAAAACATGGTTTCAGTGCCTGCCTAAGGTGCTGTTCACACCGGGTGACCGAGCATCGGTACTTGGAAATCGGCACTTGGTGTCATATTCACACCTAGCTAGCCCTGCAGGGAACCCAATATGTGACTTTTCTCCATTTCGCCTTTTCAGATGCTATTTTGAAATGTGAGCAGTAGCAAAAAGTGATGGCCGGATACGCAAAGCAATGGATTACCTCGGAACTAACAGGAAAAGTGTGCACACAGGCACCCGCGGTCCTCTGTACTTGGTCGTCAAAAAACGGTATGTTCACATTAGTGCCCAGTCGAGGTACCGCACTCGGGTACCGTTTTCGGGCATCACGTGTAGACACCGCATTAAGTAGCATCATGTTAACGTGCCTTACAATTCGACGTACCTGAATTATTCTGTGCTTCAATTAGAGTTCTCAGCTTGTCCTCTGTCTTTTCAAATAAGTAGGAAAATATAGTCCACTTTGCTTGATCACCTGGGAGTCCTTTTGCAATCCATCCGCCGCATGCGTACTCGTAAAAATTATCACATGGGTCTACGGATTTATTCATCATCTCCGACATTTTTAAACTCTGTTTTTTGCACTGTTCTGTCTCGCACAGTGGAATATCTTGCAGCTTAGTAGGCTCTGGTTTAGGGAAGAATCGTCGTAATTGTATCATATCGTCAAGCCTATCAGCTATTCCCTGATGAGAAACTATAGAAAAAGAAAAATGGTCAACATTTCGCCCCGACGTAAGGGAATTCAGATTTCGGAATCCGGGTATTTTTTTGCTTGTGGAATCCGGAATCCAACTAATGATTGGAACCCGGAGATCAAGTTCCATGGACAAAGCATCTGGATTCCAGTAACTAGAATCCGGAATCCACAGGGTGGAATCCAGAATCCAAGATTGTCTTGGATTCCTTTACATAGGGCGAACTATTCGGTTCGAATTCACTGACTAGCTAATAATAATTCACAAGTATTTCGTTCCATAACTGACAAATTCCTCATCTGTTTGGTCAACGTACTGACCATCATTACATCCGAATAATGTCAGAGAAAAAATCCTAGTTGGACTCTCACCTACCCGGCTGCTTCAGTTGGGTATTCAATGAAATAGGAATAATTCAAAAGTAACAAGACCTATACTAAGCACGCAAGTGGCGATGGGAAGAGAGGAAAGGCGTTGTCATCCGCTATGCGCACGCTTTCTTTGGTTCAGTTTTCCTCTCTCCCTAGTCTTCCTGTGACACAAAAAGGAGACGTAGGTCGGTTTATGAGTCAAAACACTGTTCAGTGGAGAGGGCTAAAATCACAGTTGTGCTGTCTTCTGTACGATGACTGGAAAAATATATCTATGATTTCACTCCTCTTCGATTGAAAATCATGAAAAGGATTTGAAAGTCTAAAACACCTAGATTCTAAGACGTTAATTGAACAGTGGAGCGGATACAAGGCTTAGTTAACGCACATTTTCTTTCCGCTCTGATTTTCTGTAAACTAGATGAACCTGTGGAGGAAACCTTTATTAATGCCGTTAATTGAGCCCCGTCATTAGCCAGGATCTATTCCTGTTAGCATCCGCTTGGTTAGATTGAGCTTTAGCATTGTACTAATCGTTTTTACGTGCTCAACAATCAGTGAAAGTCTTGAAATTTGGCTTTGGGCCCAGAATTGAGATATTGTCTGAATTTGCGACGACCGTACCTTTAGCCGTTTACAAAACAGGTGGGTCATCGCGATACCATGCAATTTATTTTTGTAATGATGCTGAGTAAGCCTTGACAAAGATATATGAGCTGAGAGAAGCCCGCACACGTCCTGATCCTGTCTTAAGAAACAACCTCTTTTGGCGTTAGAAAGCAGGCGCGAATCCACACCGGTTTCCACCGTTTTACGAAAATCGGTCAAATTTTTCACTATCAACATATTTTTAATAATAAAAGTAATAGAACTTTCAAAGTTGAAATCAGGAAAATGGTCTGGACAAATGTTTTCTTTTTCCAATTTCTGGGCATTAGACAGAAACTCGGGAAAGAGAACTCTGGGGACTTAAAATCCAAAAAAATTCCCGGGAGTGCATGCCCCCGGGCTCCCCTAGAAGCTTGCTCCCTCGGCCCCTTGTTTAGGAAATCGGTCAGTATTTACCCTAGATCCGCGCTTGGAAAGATGCTCTCTTCCATAAAAAAAAATAAGACGAATTTTTCATCCTATCTCACTAATTATAAAAGAGCATAGCAACACGTTTGCAAAGGAAGAATTCACATGAAAATTGAAGAGGAAATTAATAAGCTCATCTTCATTTCACCGTAAGGGCGCGCTTTCAAATAAATGCTCTTTCTAAGTGGGCGGTCTGCTGAATAAACAACTTGATGAGAGAAATAAAAGCAATCTCGTTAAGTTTACTTTAGTCCCTACTGTCTTTCATTTTTTATCTTTATGATTATCACCAGTTTGAAGCAAATAAAACGTCCAATCGGAAGCGCAGAGATGATCTGAGGAATATTTTAAAATATTTGATGTAAGGATGCCGGATTTTAGCAAACACACTTTGGTGCGTACATGTGAAGTGACATTCGTGTTGGTGATAAAATCATATTCCTTGAGCTAAAAGGACGACAAACAAGATAAATGAATGGGGTGCGACATGACAGCCTTGATGCCTCCTCTATAAAAGAGCCGATAACCCTGTCTAGTCGAATAAAAAAACTTAAGTTGCTTTTATCTGCCTGAATATATATTTGCAAATAAAATTAAGATTGCCAAGTTCAGTTTTGTTACCATTGCTGCTTATAAAATTGGGAGTAATTTTCAGTTTTAACCGACTGTTTTGCAGTCTATTTTACGCGCTGTTTTTCAAGAAAAGTGTACTTCCTAAAGTTAGTGCCCTCTCATACGGTCTTTCGTTGATAGGTACGCTCACAAGGAGATATAATTCAAATATATGTAAAGAAGTGATAGAAATTGATTTAAGCTTCCAGAAGCTGGACTTAAAACTTGTTGGACAGGTGTAATTTATAAAAATGACAAAAGGGAATCTTTTAAACGTAGAAAAGTTAAATATCCTGTGATGCCGAGGTCATCAATATTGCGAAGTGAATTTTCACACTTCTGTGCCCCTCTTTATAATATCGTGTATAGATGGAAAATTGCTTGAAAAAAAAGGCGTTACGATCGAGCTTCCCAGGAAAAATGTCTCACATTGACAGTTTTTATGTGAATAATAACCGTGCTGTTCTCTGATCTGGAAATGAAAGAAAGCTAGGCATAATACGATACGATAATACGATACGACAGCATTGTTGTAACTTGTTTTGCTGGCCAGCGAAGCTCGGCGATCAGATGTTACAGCCGGTCTCTAAACTGCTTGCTGTGCGTTCAAATTACAAACATTCTTCCGGACCGTAGAAACTGATTTATTTATGAAGCAAGCTAGAATATTGCAGCAACGTACATCAGGTGAAATCTCTTAGTAAAAAATCAAAGTATTTCCATGTACACCTATCAACAAATTCATAACATTAATTATGTATACATGTTTAATTCTAATCGTGTGTTTAAATGGAAAGATGTGATCGATGATTATTCCCTATTCCAAGGCCAAACCCTTTTAGAGACTAACCGGAACTTTTACAATGGGAACTCAGAGAAGAGTTTGAAGTAGTTATACGTGTACTGATTTAAATAGAGAGATTGGCAATCGTATGTTTTGCATTTAAGCAAACGAGTGCCTTTCAAGCAGCAGAGAAACTTTAACAGCCGTTTAAGGCCAGGTGAAACTTAAGAATTCTTCTGTAAAACCCACCTGCTCTATGTGCTGTGTGTCCTTCGTCATGGCGGGTCTTGATTGTTGCTAAAGACGCCGCGAACACAACACTCGCCATTACTGCCAACTTCAATATCCTAGCATCCATGTTGTCAGATTTTATGTCTGACAAGTCGTGGGCAAAGCCCCTCCGAAAAACTCCTCTAAGGAAGTTAAAAAAGTAGCTTTAAGCCATAACGGAACAATCGAAGATAATCGTAGAATTTGTGTGTGTTAACATGGAGACTCGAGTGTGTCGATGTTGTATACGTAAGACGCTTTGAATGTCTATTTTCCGCATTGAAATGAGCAGCAAGTGCAGTGATGCAGAAATCTCTCGAGCTCCCTAGCTGCACCATACTCCCAGTGGAATGTTGTATTGTTATGCAAATGTTTCTACTTTGCGAAGACGTCAATTTATCAGGAATGGAATATAAATTATAAAAACTTTAAACCCAGAAATTTCCGCCAGCTTAAGGTATCATTTCAAGGTTGACACAACGATAACTTTAATAAGACTGTGTTTTATTGACGATGTTTGAACCTGATAAAATCAGTTTCAGCAAAAACCTTTGCTGCTTAAAATTCAGTGGGCTGAAATCAAATAGAACAAGAAAATTATGCATTTCCAAAACTCAAGCGTGGGACTGGTCAGGGGCACCCAACGACAATTTTTGGAAAAATCTGTTCGGAGGACGATTTGAGATCTAGAATTTTCGCAACATTTGTTGTAAAATTTCTCACTTACCTGCCTCTCCTAGGATTTTCGAACCTGTAAAAAATGGTATAATTGCCCATTTTAACAGATTTTTACCCTAAAAAGGTCACCTAGGGTTTTCGGGAGCTTTTTTCTGGCTGAAATTTTCGAAAAGATAAGTTTGATCCCTATAATTTTCGCATCACTAGACTTTCAGCTAAGAAATCCCAAAAGATGAAAAATTTTTAGGGGATAAAAATATGCCTATATCTACCGTTTGAATACTAAAATACGTTCAACAATGCTATGTTTAAGTGGTTTTGAACTATATTCTCGTTGGGTGCCCCTGAAGGGTAGTCTAAAAAATACACAGCAAGTTCATGGCGAAGGGTAACAAGAGAGACGAAAAGAGTACAGAAAAAATTAAGATTATTTATTTTCTTTAATTCAGTGGTACCGTTTAGTTTGCGAACAAGGACAAGAAAAAACTCTGTTAGGACTTGGCAAGACGAACGTGACCAGCTTGAAAATCAAGGATATGAACCTTTCCTTCGCTACATAGAAATATAATAAATAAGTGACAATTTTTTAGCTCATTCAATGAGTTTAAACGAGAGAAATTAAGTGAACTGTATGCCAAGAGAAAGGAGAATAAGTCCCTAAAACGAATTTCCTCTATTCTCAACTCGTCAGCAGTTGTTCTATTTTCGTGGATTGTACGTGGACATCTTTTTTTTTTCAAGGTAAATTAAACCTAAGAGTATCATGATTGATTGCCTAAAAATTGTTGCCTTTTCAAATACTTTTAATGAATTTGATGGAGAAAATTCATCTCCACTCGTGTTGCTCTGGGTAACATTTTATTACTATGATTTGAAAATATTTATTTTAGTTCGACGTCATGTTAACTTCATCCATTCATCGTTTTCCTTCTTCCTTTTCTCCTTTTTTTCGGATAAAGGCGGAATACTGTTGACAAACGTCCAGGGGAAGCATCGATTAAAATCATCGCCACTTGATCTTGAGATATTCTGGTCTTGTCACTGAGTTTATCAGTTTGGATTTCTTCACTAAAAGGAAAAAATTCTTATCTTGTCACAGGGGTTAATTTAATGACAGGATGTGCATAGTCTTACATTGGGTTTAAGTGTAGTATTTCGGATATGAGCTATTAATTGCTGTCCCATTATGCGAACAAGTGGCTTTCACTTTGATCCATATTTGTCAAGCTCTTTGTTGAAAAGTGTAACATTCGATAACAATGCAGATCACAAGGGAAGACCGAAATAATATAATCAAAAGAGCTATCATTAGACTACCAGCATTTTCTAAAAGTTACTAATTTAAAACATCAGTGTTCAGAAAGAACACCTGCATGGTTGATGATCATGGATGATTACATGTTTTCAGTCTAATTCTGCTTAACATTTTGTCGAACCTGCAGTTACTGTTTAATTCTGGCAGCCACGAAAGGATATCCACAAAAGATAGCCACAAAAGGATATCACATATGAAAAAAAAAAAGAGAATATGTCTGGTGTAGTTTGAAAATAAACTTTAAGACAGCTCTCATTCATTCATTTCAGTCGGTATGTGGTTTTATTTTAACGTAGTTCTCAGTTTTTTCTTTTCTTGGCTTTTTATAGTAGTTTATTAAAACTCAGCTAGCGAAGCTCTGTAATCGAAAACATCTAATTAAAATCTGATAATCAAGCCAAATTTTAATGGACGGAATTATTCTCTTCGATAATTTGGATCTAAGGAACCGATTTTCTGGTACCCGTTGTGACGTCATACGCGGGTCTTTTGTGTCATGGTCTTCAGTCAAAATCGCTTTTGAACACCGCACGAGCAATCAACAACTCAGTCGGTCTCTAAAAATGGCCATGCCATTTTGGTCATTTTTACGCACTTCGATTCTTTTCGCCACCACCTTTTCATTCTCTCAAACCCAAATATTCACAGCCCTGATTCACATGACAGATTTTGTAGTACTGGAACAAACCTTCTATTCATATTTGGAGGAGTATTTAGAGAATAACCCTTCTGCTTCGTCCGAATTTCACCGGTTTGCACACCTTGTCGGCCAACATGTGAAAGATATTGAAGACGACGACATGGAAGTATTTCTTGGACATCCTGTCAATTCGTATTTGCTTGTACGCCGTTTTTTACGCGATTGGAGAATCGTCATGGAAGAATTGGATGCGACAGATCCCGTCGCTAAAGGTAACGAATAATCTTTCCAGTCCTTTCAACAACAACAAAGAAAGTTTTTGTCAGTAAATGAAAATCATCTTTTTAATTGATTGATCCTATAGTGTTGGTAAGGACGGAATTGTTCTTTGTTGTTCTATTACAGCTAGATACATCATAATTTCAAGTAAATACCAAAATGATAATTCAATTATGTTGTACAAACAGTTGTCTATATTCCTAGTCAGTTTTTATACAACAAACTGTGATTTGCACTTTTTTGCAAAGCTGTACATATACCCTATTGATCTGGCTGATCCGGATAGATTGAAACTAAAATTGTGATAAATATCGTTTCAAGAACCATGTGAAGTGAAGGACGCGCGCTGCACTCAAGAGACTACAGAAGACTCTGGTACCAGCTTATATCATTTGTCAAGAAACTTTCAAAGAAGTCACTGCTGCCTAATGTTACGTTTTTGTGAGAGAACTCTAAATATGTGTTTGGAGGATGCTAAAATTGGTTAGAAAAATTACAGTACATCATTCAAATGTAAGCCCGAGACCGCAGACGTATTTCCGGTTGTCGCTTCTCTCCGAAAGGAGAGAGATAAGCGACGACCGGAAATACGTCTGCCATCGCAGGCTTTTCAAATGTTCGGTGCTATAATTATCAACTGACCCATAACCAGTCATCAATTTATCCTTGGTTAGGCCTCATGATCAGATTTCGTGCGTTTTCTGCCTTACTTTCGTACAGCGCTAATGAGGCGACTTCCACGTTTTGTCCCCATGTTGTGTAGTTTTAACCACTGATTATCGAAAGAACAAACATTTAGTCAAAATTGCAAAAGGTTTCGTGAGCTTCTAGCAAGCGAACTAAGACGCGATGAATCTGAAGCCGTAGACCAGTTTAGTATGTATCCCAAGGCTGTCACATCGTTAAGTACCAACATTTCAAAACAACAGTATCCTCTGCCATCGAGAATGTTTTTTTAATTTTAACAAAACTGAACAATTTTCATTTTCCAGAACTCTTTGAGCTTATTAAAGAACACAACTCCTCTTTTCCGGATAAGCAAGATTTACAAGGCTGTGCGTTAGCAATTCTCCGGATTCAAGATGTCTATAACATCAGCGCAGAGAGAATTGCCTCCGGAAAGCTATCCCATAAAACACTTAGCCCTGAAATGGACGCAGCACACTGCCTGGAATTAGGATTTATGAGACATCAATGGGAGCAATACGAGGAAGCGTATGGATGGTTAATAGAGGCCTGGAAACGAATGAATCCGCATGACAATAGCAGTGGAATTACAACAAAAGACATCCTCCAGTATTTAATTTGGGCGGAGTATAAGGTAATTTAACTAGAAAACTATATGTAACTTAGTACAAAATTAATTGAGTACCTGGCTTGCATTGGCCCCTGGGACAGCACTGTGACATCTTCATTAACGGCAGGGAGCGAGGCTAACAATGGGAGGGAATATATAATTGTTTTCCAGCTGCTGGCAAAGTTCAAAGAGTGGTACCAGCAACTCTGCATGAGCCACTATTTAACGTCTCTAACTGAGCTAGTAAAATAAAACTGTAAAATATATATACTTATATAACGTGTAATTTCTTTGTACTTGTCTAGTTTTCTAGTAAATTATGTAGCCTGGTCTGCCTCGAATAGCCTCGCTAACTGCAGGCAAATCCCAATGTATCTTTTGTTATATTTCCAAATTTAAATAAAGTTGAAGATGAAGTTAAAGTTGAACTAGAGTCAGAGGAATTTTTATTCCCTTCCGATGAAATATCTTTCTTTTCTATGAGTTCGGCACTAAATACTCCATCCCGCTTTAAGCTAACTGGGAACAGCATCGGAAAAGGAGGAAAAGAGTCAAGATTGCGAGAGATTATGCACGATTCACGCAGTAAAATCGTTGATATCTGGTCGTTTCGCCCGCAGGTTGATTCGACCGATGTGTATTTGTCGTTCTTTAAGCCTGAGAAAAAGGAATAATCATGGGACGACTGTGACTGCACATGTGGAGTCCAAGGTTAACTTAAATACCATCTCGGGGAAGTAAGTCAATCATGTTGTAGATCGTTGTCTAGCCAACGCTTTCGGGCGAACAGACGTTCGGACGAAACGACCTCAATTCAATTCGTTTAGGTTAAAGATCGTTATTCACTAATGCATGTCCACACTGCAAATATGTGCCCGATTTCCCATTCTTCCTCTTAATCTCCGGCATAATCGTCCTTATTCCTGGCCAGAGAACAAGCTTCCCTGGGTTGTCGTGGGGTGACGGGGGTGGGGGAGGGAAAAGAGGAGGAGAGACATGACTGCAAGCTCACCTTCCTTTCTCGCCCCGCCGCCAGAGCGCCCCGGAGAGCTTGCTCGCAGGCTACCTTATCCCCATATCTGGTTAGTTTCATATCCTTTAATTTGCCATGTTCACAATGCGTTGTCTGCAAGATAAACTAAAATTTCACCGTGTCATGATCAGGTATGAAAAAAACCCTAGCTTACCATAGTAATGTATGAGCTACAATTTTTTTTTGCACTGGTTCAATTTAAGAGAAAATACATCAGATATATCGAATAACTTTACTTTCCTCTCCTTCCAGACGGGTAGAATTGAAAGCGCTCTTAATCATACCAACGAATTGCTCAGAGAAGGTATGGTACTTTGATTAACAACCCTCATCAAGTTAAACCCAGATACATGTTTCCTGCCACCTCACAGAAGTTTTGGCGCAAATTCATGACACGCGAAACGCTACTCTTTCCCATCTCCTAATAGATATTTCCAGGGAACAGCCTGGAACCATTATAAACCCAAAGGCGCATTTACAGCCCGTTCACTCGTTTCGGTAGTAACTGGCGGGTCCTTTGCTAGCATGTGAGTCTTTTTCCCCTAAAAAGTAAACGTACTATGTTGGTGAGTTCCAATACACACGAAACAGCTGGCTCTAAGCATGCGTTAGGTACTTAAATACTGGCCATCCCACGGAGTTCCACAAAAGAGTTTGGTTCTGTGGGTATTTTTTCTTTTTGAGTTTGGTCTTACCGTTATTTCCATAGGATTACTACTCTACGTTGTTTAATAGGTTTATTTAATATTGCTCTATTTTAAAAAATGCAGTAAAGGCGAACTTGCCGCAAGATTAACAAATCCATTCAAGTGACATTATATGTGTTTAGTTTTTGCTTAGATTTTTTATTATTCTGTTTTAGAACCTGACGATGAAGTATTACAACAAAACAAGATGTACTTCGAAGACAGAGTGCATAAGATGAAGGATGGAGAGTTAAGTGAGGACGAAGAGGAAAAATCTGATGCTAGCAAAAAAGTAAAATCAAAAGAAGAATACATATTGCGTTATGAGCAACTTTGCAGGGGCAATTCAAGTAAGGTACAAAAATATTTTTAGTGTTCTGAACACGCGACCCATGCAAAAAAATGTATCATCGGATAAAGTACTATAATCATTAAGGTTACCCACAATTTGAGGAGCTGTGGAAGCCTAACGATACAAGAGCGCGAACGGAAATGTAAGCCAAGCGCGAGAATTTCATGAGCGCGAAGAAGGACAAAAAGCGGCCGGCACGGATATCCAAAGCCGGCTCAGAATATTTTGACCACAGCGGCATAAAATGAAGAAGAGGTTATTTAATGAATAGATAATAAATGAAGGTAGAAAGGAAGGAAGGAATGATATCTTTGACGTATTCGCCAAAACCCTTTGGTTTTTATAGAGTCAAGCTGACCAAGATAAGCTGACATGCTACTACTACGACAAAGATCCATTGCTACTCATCAAACCCGTAAAGGTTGAGATGGCAAATCTGGAACCAGATATTTACCTTCTACACGACATCATCCGAGATTCAGATATTGAATTTATTAAAAACCTTGCTGCTCCAAGGGTAGGCTTATACCAACTTATTTACGTCACGCTTGACACTTGCTAGAAGATAGCTTATAGAAGGACCTTATCTTTTCTTGAATAGCACCATGAAAAGAAACGTTTAACAAGCTTGTTCGTTTTGACCTTTTGCATTAACGGTGGTACCGTAAAATTCCGAAAATAAGCCCCTCCATGTATAAGCCCCTCCAAATATAAGCTCCCCAAATTCGTAACGCAAAAAACCCTCTGTTGAATCGCCCCTCCAAATATAAGCCCCCCTGGGGGCTTGTACTTGGAAATTGCTCTCAAATCCAAAGTAAAACAAAGTAAAAACGGTAAATTTCCTTCGAACTATAAGGCTAGCCCAATCGATTTTGAAACGCAAATTTCCCTCCATAGATAAGCCCCTCAAAAAGGGCCTTTAAAAAATATAAGCCCAGGGGCTTATTTTCGGAATTTTATGGTATTTGTTTTTACTGTGTTTAATTTGGTTTGTTCCTTCCTTTTCAAAAACGCACTTCACTACGTTGACCTTGCGATTTCCCACAAAAAAGCGCGGGTCTAACCAATAAAAGTCTACGCACACGAATATTCCCTTGCGCGCGGGTACGGAGAGAAAATCACGTGACCACCTTAATTTGTCGGCGACACAGTTTTTCTAAGTTATAGATCTCGACTGGTGTGTGCCTTTGCTGTGAGCGGGCTTCTGCTACAGTAAGCTGAAACTAATGATGATGATGATAATGATAATAATAATAATAATAGTAATAAATTGTCTAAATTATTGAATAGTAATAATAATAATGATGGTGATGATGATGATGATGATAAATTATCTAAATTTTTCATTATTTATGCATTGTCTTAGCTTCAGAGAGCTACTGTTACAAACAGAAAAACTGGGAATCTGGAATTTGCTGATTATCGGATCAGTAAAAGGTAAAAGAGTTTAAGACAATCATACTCCTGTATATGTGCACAATAATAAATATTTAAAAAACAATCTTCCTCACAGCTTATTGATTGAAGTTTGTTTATTTCCTACTAACCCGGAAATTCCAATGTTGTATTTCCTAACCACTCAAAACCTCCTATTATCTCAGTGGATGGTTAGAAGATTACGAAGGAGAAGTCATTGAACGGCTGAGTTTAAAGTTAGAGGCTGTGACAGGATTGTCAACTGCCAGAATTCACAGTGAAGCGCTCCAGGTAATACAATCTCATTAGTAAACAAACAAAAACTAAACAAGCAAACAAACAAACCAGTAAAAAACTTATACCTAAGGAGAAGAACGTAAGGTTGTTTTTAAAGAGAGACATTGGACAGCTTTTCATTTATTGAGAACAGTCTCTAGCTTTTAGGCTTTCTTCCTACAAACCTGAGAGTTACTGGGGATATATACTCATAACGGTGTGGTCTGTTACTTAATTACATTCCATAAAACAATGTTAGCCTAATATTTAATTTTACCAAATTAGTTTATTTAAAGAACTTAATAGAAGTGCTCCTAAAATGAAAGAGTGCACAGCTAATGGAAAGTGAGCTTTCTCAGAATTGTAATTCAGTCTTAAGGTACCCACTTGCGGTTTCAGCAAAGCATAAATTATCTATTATCAATTTACAGGTTGTTAATTACGGTATTGCTGGACAATACGAACCACACGTGGATCACGCTATGGTAAACATCCAACTCTTTAGCAGTTTCTAAATTTTTAGTTAACTCAGTCAGGTCACATTACACAAAAATATCTCATCTAAAAGTGAACACCTCGCTAAGGATGTCCGGCATACTTTTACCATGGTAGTACTTGCCTAGTTCCCAGACCTAGTTAGTCCGCACGGACTATATTTTGTGCCATTCATTTCGGATACTGGATCGAGATAATTGAATGAGAAGTCCTGGGAAAATGTTTTACAGGACAAGTTAATGGTATTTTCAAGTTTGAAGATGTTTAGTTTAAGCTTATACGTTTTAAAATTATAATAACTCTCTGATGATTTTATGCAAGTTAGGTTCTGGGTTAATACTGCACAAGTTTGAGATATATCATATACTCTTCCTCTGTATTTGGTTCAAGCTCTTATCTGATTCATGATGTTAGGATGCATGACGTAGGACTAAACTGAGAAAACAGCCGACGTTTTGCGACACCACCACTGGTTTCCCCGCGATGTGAAATCTGAGAAACGAGCATACTGATGACGCGTCACTACGCACAACTGGGAAGTGATTCTGATTGGTTGAAGCAAATTTCCCACGCGGCACGACCAATCAGAGGTAAGCACTACTCAGATCTGGCTTGCGACACGTTATCAGTATGGAGTTTGTGTGCTCGTTTCTCGGACGTCATTTCGCGGCCGGGGAAACCGCGTCGCGAAATGACGGCTGTTTTCCGGCTCAGGCTAACGAAGGACTATAGACATATATTTGTTGACAGGTTTTTATTTCCTTTTAAAAGAGCAACAAATCAGCTATTCTCAGAATGGGAATGGGCAATAGGATCGCCACCGTTTTGATATATGTAAGTATCCCATATTAAAGTAGGCACTTTATTTGAGTGTCAATGTATTAAGCACGAAAGTACTACTTCTACTTCTCCTACTGGAGACAGGGCCACCATTTTACGTGGTCATCCGAGCCACGTGAAGGTATAGCCGTTTGCTCGCAGGGCAAAGTTAGTACCTTTATTTCTCAGCTATTTTAAGACCCTGAGTATTGGTCCTGCTCCGGGAATCGAAAACTCAACCTCCCTCTCTGCAATCAATCATCAAGCGCTCTACCGACTGAGCTAATCCTGCCGCGGTTGGTTATATGTATATATCTGTCTTCTTGGCTAGTCTATCAGTGAGGATATGAAATGAGAACATATGACAAAATCACCTTTGATATGAGCTTTGGGTAGAAATACAGCAGTAAATATTTGTTGTGTACTCTCCGTTGCACAATCCAAATAAACTTGGAAGTTTTTAAAATCTTGTTCGCTCATCATTTTAGCGTCTTTTGTATGTTTCCTTAGATGACAGATGTGGAAGCAGGCGGTTCCACCGTTTTTCTAGATGCAAAAACTATAATCAAACCGCAAAAGGTGATTATTATATAACAAACAAATCGTTTGTACCTGGTAGAACTGATTGTAAAGAACTAGAAAAGCGTTGTTAAGAATACTTTCTCTAGGGTTGTTAATCGTGATTTGCTTGGTCAAAAGACATGTGAATGAAATTCTACATGGACAGTGCGCTTGAAGTGAGCGTTTTTCTCGGTGCAATTCGTTAAAAAATTATTGAATTGGGTAGCCTATTCCAAGCTCCAAGATATTAATGTTTAGAGATCGCAAGGCGCTATACCTCCCCTTCCCCAGACCACGCGTGTCACATTTTCGCTTGGCTTGTTTCGCACGCGACCTCTCTACTATTAAGAGCCTGGCACAGGCTATGAATTGGGTATATTGGGGATATGCCTTAGTCATTAATTATTCATAACTTTGTTTGGTAGGGCACTGCTGCCTTCTGGTACAATCTTCTCAAATCAGGAGAGCCTGATGCAGCGACACTACATGCAGCCTGTCCAGTTATAGTTGGCACAAAATGGGGTGGGTATACATACTCATCAATGATGGCTTCAGGTTTTCTCCTCTGAAGAGGCTTCTTTGTGTCAAGGAGGACTAGGGAGAGGAAAAATTCACCATTTTCACATAGACCACAATGCACCTTGTTTACTCCGCCTTCCCTTAACTCCACCCACCAAAAAAAATACATAACCATTGTCTTTGATTCTTCTTGGGACGACTGTAATACCTACGAGACAAAAAGGGAAAAAAAATGTTAGTGCAAAGTTTTGGTGAGGGGAAGGGGGGGTGGCTAACAAGTCGCGTTATGGTCTATGTTAAATGGTGAATGAAAGCGCGCGGGGGACTACATCGTCCAGCGAGCCCTTACTTTTTTTCAATTACTGCTATTATATTGCTAGTATAGAATATCTGGGGGGGTCTGTAGTGGAGAGAGGGCCAGGTAACGAACAGAGTCTTTTGGCTGTCTGGTGGCTATTTGGTCAATAGCCCAGTAGTCATGCAATGTGTTCCTCAGTTCCTACTTCAAATATTTGCAAATGACGTATTTTCCTTTCTTTTAGTGTGCAACAAGTGGATTCACGAATATGGGCAAGAGTTCCGACGGAGATGTGGCAAAACTCCTGAAGAAGAGTAATTTCTGCGTTTTTTGGCAGCGCAACATAGAAATGTTCCCAGACATGGGGGCGAGGCCCTATTCTGCTCTAAAGCAGAATTGAAACTTCACCCGGCCTGAATGAACGATCAAAATAAGAGACGGCTTTCCCATAAGAAGTAAGAAGAAACCGACCAATGCGTGGTAGAATTCTCTTAAGAAGGAACCTTGAGAAATTATCTTTGATCCCTCGTTCAGTTCGTGTCACTGAAGCTCAAGCCAAACGTTTGGTTAGGAGAAAACTAGTTCGGTCTAATTTACTTTGTTAAAGTAAACTAGCATGGTACATTACTTTTTCACGAAAAACAAAATGATTAAATTAAAAATTAAATTATACTGACTTCTTCTTTGTTTTATACTCTGGATCGGGATCCTGTTATCGGAGGCGGCGACGTTACAGTTAAGAAGCGCGTTACTGAGTAAAGAAAAGCTGGTATGGAAACATGCATTAGCTTTCAATGAGTTTAAACTAGAGAAATTTAAATGTTAAATGGATGCCAAGAGAGAGGAGAATAAGTCCCTAAAACGAATTTCCTCTATTCTCAACTTGTCAGCAGTTATTCTATTTTCGTGGATTGTACGTAGACATTTTTTTTTTTTTTTCATGGTAAATTAAGCCTAAGAGTATCATTGATTGCCGAAACATTGTTGCCCTTTCAAATACTTTTAATGAATTTGATGGAGAAAATTCATCTCCACTCGTGTCGCCAAGGGTAACATTTTATTACTGGCCATTTGAAAATATTTGTTCTAGTTCGACGTCATGTTAACTTCATCCATTCATGGTTTTCATTCTCCATTTTCTCCTTTTTTTTCGGATAAAGGAATACTGTTGACAAACTTCCATCAAGCATCAATTGAAATCATCGCCATCTGATCTTGAGATATTCTGGTCTTGTCACTGAGTTTATCAGTTTGGATTTCTTCACTAAAAGGAAAAAATTCTTATCTTGTCACAGGGGTTAATTTAATGACAGGATGTGCATAGTTTTACTGGGTTTAAGTGTAGTATTTCGGATATGAGCAATTAATTGCTGCCCCATTATGCGAACAAGTGGCTTTCACTTTGATCCATATTTGCCAAGCTCTTTGTTGAAAAGTGTAACATTCGATAACAATGTAGTTCACAAGGGAAGACCGAATGTGACGGAAGGTTTTTCCACTTTGAAACGAATTTAAGGCTCAACGGGAACTCGGTGCTTGACTCACGAGAAAACTGGGGAAAACTAGACTCAAATGGCAACTCGCTTGCGGGGAAGAGCCGTCACTTCTCTGTAGGACCGGGATCTGACCACTAACTGGTACAGCAGTAGATGAAACAGAACTAAACTTGGTTCCAACAGCGTTTATTCTTCAGCGGATCAAACAGCAATAACTCGGCTAGGACACGGCGAAATAATCGACGATTTAATCGGCGATGTAATCGAAAAATCAGTTCAAAGCAACTTAATTATATATGATTTTTACAACCATTGAAGACAAAAGAATACAATAGAAATATAAACACATATCACCTAGAGTTAAATGAAAACTAAATACAAATTCTATTTTTAACCTGAAATCTTTTGTTACTGTTGCTATTTTAGAAAGTAAAAGTACTGAGACAAAGACCTAGCCAGGTCAGCAAAACAGCGTTTATGTACAAAGTGTTACAATATGAATAAAATTGCAAGTTCAGGTATCGGCTGTTTAAACAGGACAAGCGCAGACTAATTGGAAGTTTTCACCTTAAACAAAAACCGATCTAATTTTAAAATTACAAGACAGCAAAACCTTTCATATTCAAAATTCGGTTATCACCTCTCCTTAACTAACAACTTAATGAAATATACTTTTGCAAATAAATATCACTAAGTTGCATTTAGAACAAGGTACACCTGTATCAAAGGCGTTACCATGAATAGATGTCGTCTGGTAGTTAAATCACGAAAAATAGACTGAAGTCAAATAAACCATTATTAAGAAATTAAGTATTCTTTCAAGAGTCAACATTGACGTAAAATGTATATAATTGAAAAGAGAACGAGCAATTAGTTTTGTTTGTTAAGGAACACTGTTGGCTTTTTTTTAATGATTATTACCTAGCAAACACAAAGCAAATGAAACAAAGGATAACAAAAATGGCACGAGCCCTTTTGCGGAGCTAAAACTTATTTGTGCAAATTCAGTATGAATTACTAAGAACAACGTCAAAACGAATATTTGAAAGCTATACATGATACTCGAGGCAAATAAAGAATTCATGGAAAATCTCTCCTTCTACGAAATGATATAATCAAAAGAGCTATCATTAGCCTTCCAGCATTTTCTGACAGTTACTAATTTAAAATATCAGTGTTCAGAAAGAACACCTGTATGGTTGATGATCATGGATTACATGTTTTCAGTCTAATTCTGCTTAACATTTTGTCGAACCTGCAGTTACTGTTTAATTCTGGTAGCCACGAAAGGATATCCACAAAAGATAGCCACAAAAGGATATCACATATGAAAAAAAAAATTGGCAAAAGAGAATCTATCTGACGTAGTTTGAAAATAAACTTTAAGACAGCTCTCATTCATTCATTTCAGTCGGTATGTGGTCTTATTTTAACGAAGCTCTCAGTTTTTTTCTTTTCGTGGCTTTTTATAGTAGTTTATGAACACTCAGCTTGCGAAGCTCCGTAATCGAAAACATCTCATTAAAATCTGATAATCAAGCCAAATTTTAATGGGCGGAATTGTTCTCTTCGACAATTTGGATCCAAGGAACCGATTTTCTGGTACCCATTGTGACGTCATACACGGGTCTTTTGTGTCATGGTCTTCAGTCAAAATCGCTTTTGAACACCGCACGAGCAATCAACAACTCAGTCGGTCTCTAAAAATGGTCATGCCATTTTGCTCATATTTACGCACTTCGATTCTTTTCGCCGCCACCTTTTCATTCTCTCAAACCCAAATATTCACAGCCCTGATTCACATGACAGATTTTGTAGTATTGGAACAAAGCTTCTATTCATATTTGGAAAAGTATTTACAGAATAAACCCTCTGCTTCGTCCGAATTTCACCGGTTTGCACACCTTGTCGGCCAACATGTGAAAGATATTGAAGACGACGACAGGGAAGTATTTCTTGGACATCCTGTTAATTCGTATTTGCTTGTACGCCGTTTTTTTCGCGAGTGGAGAATCGTCATGGAAAAATTGGCTGCGATAGATCCTGTCGCTAAAGGTAACGAATAATCTTTCCAGTCCTTTAAACAACAACAACAAAGAAAGTTATTTTTGTCAGTAAATGAAAATCACCTTTTTAATTGATTAATCCCACAGTGTTGGTAAGGACGGAATTGTTCATTGTTGTTCTATTACAGCTAGATACATCATACTTTCAAGTAAATACCAAAATGATAATTTGATTATGTTGTACTAACAGGTGTCCGTATTCGCACTCATGCAGTTTGTATCCATAACAGGGTTTAAAGAGAAATAAGAAATTTAATCAATCTCAACACTGAAAAAAGTCCAAACTTGAAGCATTTATACAACAAACTGTATTTTGCACTTTTTTGCAAAGCTGTGCATATACCCTATTGATCTGGCTGATCCGGATAGATTGAAACTAAAATTGTAATAAATATAGTTTCAAGAACCATGTGAAACGAACCACGTGCGCTGCAACTCACAAGACTACAGAAAACTCGGGTACCAGCTTATATCATTTGTCAAGAAACTTTCAAAGAAGTCACTGCTGCCTAATGTTACGTTTTTGTGAGAGAATTCTAAATATGTGCTGGGAGGATGCTATGTTCTGTGTAGTTTTAATCACTGATTATCGAATGAACAAACATTTAATCAAAATTGCAAAAGGTTTCGTGAGCTTCGAGCAAGCGTGGTAAGACGCGATGAATCTGAAGCCGTAGACCAGTTTAGTATGTATCCCAAAGCTGTCACACCGTTAACTATCAACATTTCAGGATGAGATATTTTCTGAAAACTCAAAACAACTTCATACTCTGCCATCGAGGATGTTTTTTTAATTAAAAAAAAAAAAAACTGAACAATTTTCATTTTCCAGAACTCTTTGAACTTATAAAAGAAGACAACTCCTCTTATCCGGATAAACAAGTTTTACAAGGCTGTGCGTTAGCAATTTTCCGGATTCAAGATGTCTATAACATTAGCGCAGAGAGAATTGCCTCCGGAAAGCTATCCCATAAAACACTTAGCCCTGAAATGGACGCAGCACACTGCCTGGAATTAGGATTTATGAGACATCAATGGGAGCAATACGAGGAAGCGTATGGATGGTTAATAGAGGCCTGGAAACGAATGAATCCGCAAGACAATAGCAGTGGAATTACAACAAAAGACATCCTTCAGTATTTGATTTGGGCGGAGTATAAGGTAATTTAACTAGAAAACTATATGTAACTTATTACAAAATTAATTGAATAACCGGCCTGCATTGGCCCCTGGGGCAGCACTGTGACATCTTCATTAACGGCAGGGAGCAAGGCTAACAATGGGACGGAATATATTGTTTTCCAGCTGCTGGCAAAATTCAAAGAGTGGTACCAACAACTCGGCATGAGCCACTAGTTAAGGTCTCTAACTGAACCCAGGGGCACCCAACGAGAATATAGTTCAAAACCACTTAAACATAGCATTGTTTAACGTATTTTAGTATTAAACGGTAGATATAGGTATATTTTTATCCCCTAAAAATTTTTCATCTGTTCGGATCAAGTTCTTAGCCGAAAGTCTAGTGATCCGAAGATTATAGGGATCAAAACTTACCTTTTCGAAAATTTCAGCCAGAAAAAAGGCTTCCGAAAATTTAGGGTAAAAAGCCGTTTAAAATGGGCAATTGTACCATTTTTTACATGTTCAAAAATCCTAGGAGAGGCAGGCAAGCAAGAAATTTTACAACGAATGTTGCGAAAATTCTAGATCTCAAATCGTCTTCCGAACAGATATTTTCCGAAAATTGACGTTGGGTTCTTTACTATGAGTTCGGCCCTAAATACTCCATTCCGCTTTAAGCTGACTGGCCGGGAACAATATCGGAAAAGGAGGAAAAGAGTCAAGATGGAGAGAGATTATGCACGATTCACGCTGTAAAATCGTTGATATCTGGTCGTTTCGCCCGCAGGTTGATTCGCCCGATGTGTATTTGTCGTTCTTTAAGCCTCAGAAAAAGGAATAATCGTGGAACGACTGTGACTGCACATGTGGAATCCAAGGTTAACTAAAATAACCTCTCGGGGAAGTAAATCGATCATGTTGTCTAGCGAACGCTTTCGGGCGAATCGACTTTCGGACGAAACGACCTCGATCAATTCAATTCGTTTAGGTTAAAGATCGTTCTTCACTAATCCTTGTTCACACTGCAAATATGCGCCCGATTTACCATTCTTCCTCTTAATATCCGGCATAATCGTCCTTATTCCTTGCCTGAGGGCAAGCTTTCCTGGGTTTCCGGGGGTACGGGGGTGGGGGAGGGAAAAGAGGAAGAGAGACGTGACTGCAAGCTCTCCTTCCTTTCTCGCCCCGCCGCCAGAGCTCCCCGGAGAGCTTGCTCGCATGCTACCTTATTACCCATATCTGGTTAGTGTGATGTCCTTTAATTTGCCATGTTCACAAATGCGTTGACTGCAAGATAAACTAAAATTGCACCGTGTCATGATCAGGTATGAAAAAAACACTAATGTATGAGCTACAATTTTTGTTACACTGGTATAAGTTAAGAAAAAATACATCAGATATCGAATAACTTTACTTTCTTCTCCTTCCAGACGGGTAGAATTGAAAGCGCTCTTAATCATACCAACGAATTGCTCAAAGAAGGTATGGTTCTATGATTTATTATGAACCCTAATCCAGTTAAACCTAGATGCCTGTTTCCTGCCACCTCATAGAACTTTTGGCGCGAGTTCATGACCGCGGGAAACGCAACTCTTTCCCATCTCCTAACAGATTTTTCCAGGGAACAGCCTGGAACCATTATAAACCAAAAGGCGCATTTACAGCCCGTTCACTCGTTTCGGTAGTAACTGGCGGGTTCTTTGCTCGCATGTGAGTCCTTTTCCCCTATATGGTAAACTATGTTGGTGAGTTGCAACACGCACGAAACAGCTGGCTCTGCGCATGCGTTAGGTACTTAAGTGCTGGCCATCCTTGTGAACTGGCCATCCCACGAAGTTCCACAAAAGAGTTTGGTTCCATTTGATTTCTACTCTACGTTCTTTAATACGTTTATTTAATATTGCTCTATTTTAAAAACTGCAATAAAGGCGATATTCCGACGAGATTAACAAATCCATTCAAGTAGCATTGTATGTGTTTAGTTTTTGCTTAGATTTTTTATTATTCTGTTTTAGAACCTGACGATGAAGTATTACAACAAAACAAGATGTACTTCGAAGACAGAGTGCATAAGATGAAGGATGGAGAGTTAAGTGAGGACGAACGTGATACTGAAGATGAAGAGGAAAAATCTGATGCTAGCAAAAAAGTAAAATCAAAAGAAGAATACATATTGCGTTATGAGCAACTTTGCAGGGGCAATTCAAGTAAGGTACAAAAATATTTTTAGTGCTCTGAATACGAGAGCCATGCAAAAAAAAATGTATCATAGGATAAAGTACTTTATTATATATATACCAATGAAATACCAAGTGAGCTTTCAGGCGAAAACTTGATATCTTTACATGTGAAAACATCACTGTTGCTGAGGCTACATAATAAATCGCACCTTTCACACCAAAAAACTATTTAAATAAAATGGTTTGTATTTTATTGGTGTTTATATAAAATAGAACATTACATGGTAGCTTGGAGATACGAAATTTCACTTCTCGTGTTGACAAAAATATTTCACGAGTGAGCACAGCGAACGAGTGAAATATTTTTCAACACCAGAAGAGAAATTTCGTATCTCCGCGAGGCTATATAATATCCTCTAAATAATCATTAAGGTTATCCACAACTTGAGGAACTGTGGAAGCCTAACGATACAAGAGCACAAAGAAATGTAAGCCAAGCGCGAGAATTTCATGAGTGGGAAGAAGGACAAAAAGCTGCACGGATATCCAAAGCCGGCTCAGAATATTTCGACCACAGCTTCATAAAATGAAGAAGAGGTTATTTAATGAATAGCTAGGATAATAAATGAAGGTAGAAAGGAAGGAAGTAATGATATCTTTGACGTATTCGCCAAAACCCTTTGGTTTTTATAGAGTCAAGCTGACCAAGATAAGCTGACATGCTACTACTACGACAAAGATCCTTTGCTACTCATCAAACCCGTAAAAGTTGAGATGGCAAATCTGGAACCAGATATTTACCTTCTACACGACATCATCCGAGATTCAGATATTGAATTCATTAAAAACCTTGCTGCTCCAAGGGTAGGTTTTTACCAACTTATTTACGGCACGCTTGACACTTGCTGGAAGATAGCTTATAGAATTAAGGACCTCATCTTTTCTTGGGTAGCACCAGGAAAAGAAAAGTTCAACAAGCTTGTTCGTTTTGACCTTTTGCATTAACGGTGGTACCCCTCCATGTATAAGCCCCTCCAAATATAAGCCCCCCAAACTCGTAAAATTGCCCAGCTCCAAATATAAGCCCCCCCCTGGGGGCTTTTTCCTTGGAAATTTCCCTCAAATACAAAGCAAAACAAAGCAAAAACGGTAAATTTCGTTCCAACTATAAGGCTAGCCCAATCGATTTTGAAACGCAAATTTCTCTCCATAGATAAGCCCCTCCGAGTATAAGCCCCTCCAAAAATTAGCCCCTCAAAAAGGGCCTTTGAAAAATATAAGCCCAGGGGCCTATTTTCGAAATTTTACGGTATTTGTTTTTAGTGTGTTTGGTTTGTTCCTTTTCAAAAACGCACTTCATTACGTTGACCATGCGATTTCCCGCCAAAAAGCGCGGGCCTAGCCCATAAAAGTCTACACACACGAAGATTCCTTTGCGCACAACTACGGAGAGAAAATCACGTGACCACCTTAAGTTTTCAGCAACACCGTTTATAGGTCTCGACTGGTGTGTGCCTTTGGTGTGAGCGGGCTTTTGCTACAGTAAGCTGAAAGTAATGATGATGGTGATAATAATAATAATAATAATAATAATAATAAATTGTCTAAATTATTGAATAATAGTAATAATGATGGTGATGACGATGATGATAAATTATCTAAATTTTTCATTATTTATGCATTGTCTAGCTTCAGAGAGCTTCTATTACAAACGGAAAAACTGGGAATCTGGAATATGCTGATTATCGGATCAGTAAAAGGTAAAAGAGTTTAAGACAATCATACCCCTGTATATGTGCACAATAATAAATATTTAAAAAACAATCTTCCTCACAGCTTATTGATTGAAGTTTGTTTATTTCCTACTAACCCGGAAATTCCAATGTTGTATTTCCTAACCACTCAAAACCTCTTATTATCTCAGTGGATGGTTAGAAGATTACGAAGGAGAAGTCATTGAACGGCTGAGTTTAAAGTTAGAGGCTGTGACAGGATTGTCAACTGCCAGAATTCACAGTGAAGCGCTCCAGGTAATACAATCTCATTAGCATTAGTAAACAAAAAACGAAATAAACTAAACAAGCAAACAAACAAACTAGTAAAACGTATTCCTAAGGAAGAGAACGTAAGGTTGTTTTTAAAGAGAGGCATTGGACAGCTTTTCATTTATTGAGAACAGTCTCTAGTTTTTAGGCTTTCTTCTTAGAAACCTGAGAGTTAATTACTGAGGATATATACTCATAACGGTGTGGTCTTTTACTTAATTACGTTCCATAAAACAATGTTAGCCTAATATTTAATTTTACCAAATTAGTTTATTTAAAGAACTTAATACAAGTGCTCCTAAAATGAAAGAATGAACAGCTAATGGAGAGTGAGCCTTCTCAGAATTGTAATTCAAACTGAGTCTTAAGGTACCCACTTGCGGTTTCAGCAAAGCATAAATTATCTATTATCAATTTACAGGTTGTTAATTACGGTATTGCTGGACAATTCGAACCACACGTGGATCATGCTATGGTAAATATCCAACTCTGTATATCTTTGTCAGTTTCTAAATTTTTAGTCAACTCAGTCAGGTCAAGTGACGCAACAATATCTCATCTAAAAGTAAACACTTCGCTTAGGACGTCGGCATACTTTTATCATTGTAGTACTTGCCTAGTTCCCAGACCCAATTAGTCCGCGCGGCCTATGTTCTGTGCCGTTCGTTTCGCATACTTGATCTAGATAACTGAACGAGAAGTCCTGGGAAAATGTTGTACAGGACAAGTTAATGGTATTTTCAAGTTTGAAGATGTTTAGTTTAAGCTTATACTTTTTAAAGTTATAATAACTCTCTGATGACTTTATGCAAGTAAGGTTCTATCTGGGTTGACTTCACAAGTTTGAGATTTATCATACACTCTTCCTCTGTATTTGGTTCAAGCCCTTATCTGATTCATGATGTTAGGATGAATGACGAAGGACTAGCCTGAGAAAACAGCCTACGTTTCGCGACACCACCACTGGTGTCCCCGCGACATGAAATCTGAGAAACGAGCATACTGATGACGTGTCACTACCCAGATCTGGGTAATGCTTGTGATCGGCTGAAGCAAATTTCTCACGCGGCTGGACCAATCAGACTGAGTTAGCACTACCCAGATCTGGGTAGTGACGCGTCAGTATTGAGTTTGTGTGCTCTTTTCTCTGACGTAATTTCGCGGCCGGGGAAACCGCGTCGCGAAATGTCGGTTGTTTTCCGGCTCAGGCTAACAAAGGATTATAGACATTTAGTAAATCCAGCTAGTGGTCTATTCTCAATGCTGCGGTCTGATTGGTTGAGCTACTACTAGGCTATATGTTATAGCTTACCAGTAGCGAAAAGCGCCGGCTTTGAAAACCAAAACAATGGCGGCTGAATCGCGTTTTGCTAGCTTAAGTTGTTCAGTTTGTCTCGATATTTTTGACCAACTAGTTGGGTTTCCGTTTACTAAACCAATTATTCCTCTCGCTCGCTGAGTAAATAGCTATTGACTCAGAGCCCATTCGGGCTCGAGGAATAATTGTTAAATATTTGTCAATAGGTTTTATTCCCTTTTAATAGAACAACAAATCAGCTATTCTCAGAATGGGAATGGGCAATAGGATCGCCACCGTTTTGATATATGTAAGTATCCCATATTAAAGTAGCCACTTTATTTGAGTGTCAATGTATTAAGCACGAAAGTACTATTTCTACTTCTCCTACTAGAGACGGGGCCGCCATTTCACGTGGCCATTCGAGCCACGTGAACGTCTAGCCGTTTGCTCGCAGGGCAAAGTTAGTACCGTTATTTCTCAGCTATTTAAAGACCCTGAGTATTGGTCTTACTCCGGGAATCGAAACACAACCTCCCGCTCTGCAATCATCAAGCGCTTTACCGACTGAGCTAATCCTGCCGCAATTGCAGGTTATGTATATATCTGTGTTCTTGGCTATTCTATCAATGAGGTTATGAAATGAGAACATATGGCAAAATCACCTTTGATATGAGCTTTGGGTAGAAATACAGCAGTAAATATTTGTTGTGTACTCTCCGTTGCACAATCCAAATAAACTTGGAAGTTTTTAAAATCTTGTTTGCTCATCATTTTAGCGTCTTTTGTATGTTTCCTTAGATGACAGATGTGGAAGCAGGCGGTTCCACCGTTTTCCTTGATGCAAAAACGATAATCAAACCGCAAAAGGTGATTATTAAATAACAAACAAATCATTTGTACCTGGTAGAACTGATTCTAAAGAACTAGAAAAGCGTTATTAAGAATACTTTCTCTAGGGTTGTTAATCGTGATTTGCTTGGTCAAAAGACATGTGAATAAAATTCTACATGTACAGTGCGCTTGAAGTGAGTGTTTTTCTCGGTGCAATTCGTTAAAAAATTATTGAATTGGGTAGCCTACTCCAAGCTCCAAGATATTAATGTTCAGAGATCGTAAGGCGCTATACCTCCCCTTCCCCAGATTACGCGTGTCACATTTTCGGTTGGCTTGTTTCGCACGCGACGTCTCTACTATTAAGAGCCTGGCACAGGCTATGAATTGGGTATATTGGGTATATGCCTTAGTCATTAATTATTCATAGCTTTGTTTGGTAGGGCACTGCTGCCTTCTGGTACAATCTTCTTAAATCAGGAGAGCCTGATGCATCGACACGACATGCAGCCTGTCCAGTTATAGTTGGCACAAAATGGGGTGGGTATACATACTCATCAATGATGGCTTGACGTTTTCTCCTCCGAAGAGGCTTCTGTATGTCATAAGGAGGACTGGGGAGAGGAAAAAATTCACCATTTTCACATAGACCACAATGCACCTTGTTTACTCCGCCTTCCCTTAACCCCCCCCCCCCCCCACCCCACCAAAAAAATTGCATAACCATTGTCTTTGATTCTTGTTGGGGGGACCACTGTAATACCCAGGAGAAAAAATAGGGAAAATGTTTGTGCAAAGATTTGGGAGGAGAGGGGGCGTTAACAAGTCGCGTAATGGTCTATGTGAAAATGATGGATGAAAGCGCGCGGGGGACGACTTCGTCCAGTGCGCCGTTACTTTTTTTAATTATTGCTATTATTAGAATACCCAGTGGGGGTTCTGTAGAAGAGAGAGGGCCAGGTAACGAACGTAGGTCCTTTGGCTGTCTGGTGGCTATTTGGTGTCAATAGCCCAGTAGTCATACAATGTGTTCCTCAGTTCCTATGTCCAATATTTACAAATGACACATATTCCTTCCTTTCAGTGTGCAACAAATGGATTCACGAATATGGGCAAGAGTTCCGACGGAGATGTGGCAAAATTCCTGAAGAAGAGTAATTTATGCGTTTTTTGGCAGCGCAACATAGAAACGTTCCTAGGCCAGATGGGAGTGAGGCCTTATTCTTCTCGAAAGCAGTATTGAAGCTTCACCCGGCCTGAATGAACGATCAAAAGAAGAGACAGATTTCCCATAAGAAGAAAGAAGAAACCGACCAATGCGTGGTAGAATTCTCTTAAGAAGGAACCTTGAGAAATTATCTTTGATCCCTCGTTCAGTTCGTGTCACTGGAGCTCAAGCCAAACTTTTGGTTAGGAGAAAACTAGTTCGGTCTAATTTTATTTTGTTAAAGTAAACTAGCATGGAGCATTACTTTTTTTAGAAAAACAAAATGATTAAAATAAATTAAACTGACTTTTTTGTTTTATACTCTGGATCGAGATCGTGTTATTGGAGGCGGCGACGTTACTGTTAAGAAGCGCGTTATTGAGTAAAGAAGAGCTGGTATGGAAACATGCTATTTAAAAAATTAAAATGCTCCGGGTCCCCTCCTCACCGAAACCGGACTGATGACTGATGACTGCTGGGAAACAAGAGAAGCGCAAGGCATATTGGGAGGGAAAAGACGGGGGACGCAAAACGACTCCATTTTCTCTTGATAATTCCACTGGTTTCTGGTTGGTTCAGGCAAAATGGAAAGCACCCTATGACTGACTATATGGGGAGGGGAAGTTAAACTAACAACCGAGTTAGGAACCGAGTTAACAGTGAAAAAAAGTAAATCACGCATCACGCTGCTATGCCCAATCACGCCTGACGCGGCTCATTTGGGCCCGATCACGAATCACGCTGGGGTCCCATCACGCGTCACGCGGTGTGTTGCCAATAGACATGATAGAGGACATGATAGAGACCTTTTAGGACGAGGACGAGAATTTCCCAGTACGAAGTAGTGCGCACGTGCGAACCAACGTAATTTTGGTGGGAAAATGTGATAGCCATAGTCATTCTACACCGAGCTTTAGCAAGAATGTCGTAGTGGAGAAAACAAGTTATCAAATGTTAGGAATGTTAACATTTAGCGATCGGGAGAGGGCTTTACCTCCTTCAACCGTGTATACCTGCCAATCTTTTTTAATTTATAGGAGTGGCATTCTTATCCTGAGAATGCCAAGCTTTTTCGTAGGGGTCCGATAATATCCGAAGATTTTCGAAGACGTTCCGAAGAAACTCCGAGGAGTTCCGTCTAACACGAACACGGGAACACAATGACAACGGAACGCCACCTCGTCTTTAGTGACTTTCCGTACTAAAATAAGAGAATTCGGAGAAAGTCGACCATTCACAAGGACTGTTTTCTAATTGATTCCATTTTCTTTAAATGATTAATATAATTTTCAAAATGAGACAGTAAATGCTGTTATGACCTGTAATGGCTCAAAAATTTTTACCAGGGGTGAAAAATTGGAACACAGGCATGAGTAGGCGTGAGATAGAAGTTTTCAATTCGCAGGCGTGACAATCACGCTTTAGGCGTGACACTTGGTAGGTCTTATGTGGTGAAAAAAGTACCCCTCTATTGTCTCTACGCAGTCGGTCAGCGGATACTACCAAAAAGCAAGGCTTGGCTACTAAGCAAATATCCTTGTCACGCTTCACTTTGGTTTTTTGCTTACTATCCTTTTCAAAATACTGAAAAATGTGTCACTCTTAAACCTTTTGAAACAGAAGAATGAAGTGACAGCTTCTTAGGGTGCAAGTAGTAAGACTTGGCCCATTCTAAAAGAATCGCCGATTGTTATGCTTCTTTGTGGAGTCGCCATTTTACTTGAAATAGTGAGATGGGAAATCAGCTGTCTGGAATTGCACCGTCTCAGATTTTGAGTGTGGAGAGCTACTTTAGCGACCTACCAGATTATGAGTTCGATTGCAGGTGAGATATATTTCCGATAAACAAACTCAAACAAATAAAAACGCTTTTGGTTTATCCTGGAACGGAAGAAAAGTAGTCAGGACTTGCCAATTGAATGCACATTTGATTATGTATTCGATCGTGACTTATGACTGCTGATTGTTGGCTCAAGCAAGGTCGTTGTCAGCAGTGAATTTCTTGTATTTCATCGTGCTGTGATTCAATCCTTTTCATTTTTATTTTCCCATAAATATCTTTTGTGCTTCCAAACCTCAGAATTTGTGTCCCGAAGGCCTGTACAATCAATTTGTGGCTCTTTAGCAGGTTTAATTCTAAGACTATAGTTGTACTTTCTTATTAAACTAAATAACTGGATCTGGTTTGATTGTTTCATCTTTTTTATGACAGCTTAGGAAGTACAAGATTTTTCAAGGTTTCCCGAGCCAAACACAAGTAAGTTAAATTTACTAAACTTAAATGTAATTTTACTGCAGGTTTTCCAAGTTTCCATTGTTTTAATAAATAATAGTACGTGATTATTGTTTGGTATACAACTGATGAAAGTTTTGTTTCAGATAATAAGTAAGCTTATTGATTTCTCTACAACAGTTGGCTGTGTAAATCAGTATTATTGGCTGTGTAAATCTTCAGTATTCTTCACTGGATCACAACTACTCAGTGTGAATGTAGCTTTGAATTTATGGAGGAAATATGGTTTAACCTAAGACTTTTTTTTACTATTATTTAAGTTTAGTGAAAAATCTGTCATGCCTGGTGTGACATTATTTGAATGAAAACTTGCATAATACATTTTGGTTGACGATTCAGTAAGCCTTGATGTTTACATTTTCTTTAGTGATATTACAGGAATTATATTGGAGTAGCATTTAATAAATTATGTTGTACAATTTTTAATGTTATAGGTGAAGGCGTATTGAATTCACTTTCTTTTTTATTAACTTTACACTGCATAATAATTGTGTTACATTTTGTTTATTTTGAAGCTGAACATGCATTATGCACAATTGATTGCCAATAGGTACTTTTAAGTATTATGGCAGGCATGGTGGCTCGTATAAAATTCAATATTTTTTTATTTTAGCTTTACAAATTAAAGTAATTATTGTCATCTACAATTGAACTAACAGATTACAAAAGTGTCTTGGCTATTTTGCTCACAGAAGTTGGCTACTAGTTCCCATAAATTGAACTTATTTGATTTTACTAATAAATATTCTTTCAAACTATGGATACATTTGGTTCATACTCTGCTCAAACCAGCTGCATACTTCAAATTTACTTAAAACCATTGCGTTTGGATTACTTTTCTTATAAATAATTTATCACTAAGATTTAAAAGGTTGTGAAAGAGGTCGATAAAGTCAGGCTGGTGTTATAAACTTTTTTCCTTTTATTGCTTTGAAAGAAAATTTATTTAATAATCTTTTGTTAATTGACCATATTTTGTAATATTTCTTTTTGTCATATTTTGATTTTGTTTATTTTTCCCTCCTGCTAAACTTTTTTTGGAATTTTTATTCATTTGATCTGAAAAAGTGCTTAGAATGAAGTTCAGTTTTAAACAAGGAGTGGGAATGACTTGAATAGTGGTAGAGAGTAAGTCACTTTTGTTAACAGCTGTCAGTAGCAACATATTTACTTAAGAAAAAAATCAACTTGGATGACTGTAATTTTTATCAACAACAGCTTTTTTTAAACTAGGGAAGGATTATGTGTGGTGAAGGTGTTTGCCATTCAAGACCCATCACTTCCTTTGAAAACCTATCAAGATCAGCTCACAGACATCAAAATCAGACTTGCGAGTGCTCCAAATGTTCTTCCATTCCATCACTCCATTCTGACGGACAAGGCCAGCCTTGTTATTCGGCAGTATATTAAAGATAATCTGTATGACCGGATAAGGTAAGTACAGTTGACTTCTGGAAACTAGAACCCTCACTAACTTGAAACTTTCACTCATTTGAACCAAAATCAATTTTCCCTGGATTTTCATCATACATGTACTGTAATTGTACCTTTGATAAGATGAACCTCTCACCAACTCAAAGCAACTTTTGTTTCCCTTCAGACCATTTTCTTTACAGTTAAAACTCAATATCTTTAACTATGTTTGCTATAATAATTTATTATTAAGCACATGACCAGTCAAACTAAACAGTGTACTACTGTCCAAAAAAATGAATTTGAGCGACCGTGTGTACTCTGTCTTTTTTTTATTACACAAAACTTGTCATTGCAGTTCAGAATTTTCTTGTTTAGGGGCCATGAAATTAATTTGAGTACAGTCTTAACAAAGGACTAAAAATGAACAGGAAAAACATTTACAATTTGTCCAGCTATAAACAATATTTTGATTAACCCCTTTTCCAAAATGTTTGTTTTAGCACTCGGCCTTTTCTTGATGTTATTGAGAAGAAATGGATTGTATTCCAGTTATTGAGTGCTCTAGATCAGTGCCACTCAGTCAAGGTATTTTTTTTATCAACAGTAAAACATTTTCTCATCATTTGAAATATTAAAAACATGGAAAGTTGTTGACTTCAGTCCTATGTTATACTCCAGAGATATTGTTATTTTCAGGTTTGTCATGGGGACATTAAAACAGAGAATGTGATGGTGACAGGTTGGAACTGGGTTCTCTTAACCGACATTGCGAGTTTCAAACCTGCTTTCCTCCCTGAGGACAACCCTGCTGACTTCAACTTCTTCTTTGATACGTCTCGTCGCCGCAGCTGTTACATTGCACCTGAGAGATTCTTGGACTCCAGACAAGCAGAGCAGTTGTTGGCTCGAGGTCTTCCGATGGTTAGTAATTCAGACATTCCGTCAAATAGTAATGATCCCAGTTTACCAGATATGGAACTTGCGCGACACCAGCAAGGAACTTTAACACCAGAAATGGACATATTTTCTGTTGGGTAAGTAAGAGATCTTGTGACAAGCAGCTTGCAACGTGTAGCAATGAATTATTAAACTTTAACTGTTTGATAATGATTTGAGGTCTATTTTTGAATATTGTCTGGAAGTTCCAATTTATTAAACCTCGTGAAGTTGGGAAATGGTCAAGAGCAGGCACAGAACATGGATCATTAATCAGAAAATTTAGGGGTCAAACATTTAAGGATCAGTCCCTAGTTGTCGGTAGATAAGGAAGGTGGATAATGCTATCCACTAGATAAATCTCTGTCCACTGGACAACACAGTTGGTTTACCTAATACTTATCCAACCAACCTTTGAACAACTGGGTCCAGAAGCTAGGGGGTGTAAGCTACAAAGTTTGAGATCCATCTACTATGTTCTATGAAGCTGCAAATCTTGCCTTAAACGTTGATTTTTTTTTTCAATTAAAGGTGTGTAATTGCTGAACTTTTCAATGAAGGGAACAGACTGTTTGACCTGTCAGAGCTTCTTTCATACCGCAATGGAGATTATGATCCGACAGTGACCTTGTCAAAAATTGATGACTCAAATATAAGGGTATGAAAAATTCTTCACTTCAACACTTTCATAAAATCAAATCTCTAGTCATGTCAATAGGTGTGGACTCTTCTCAGATTTATCATTTCTTAAAGTTACTTTACGTGTATCCCCTCTGAGTGAAGCAGGGTTCTCATTAAGTTTTAAAGTAGACAGTTAGGATGAAAAAGTAGGTGGCTTGGCAATCAAGGGATGTATGTGGTGAATGTCAGGTTTTCACTCTCTCACTTTACCATTTTTCCACAAAAAGTAGACAGCTCAAACCTTCTCCTACGTGTTGCCGCACCCTCCCCCCTCCATTTTTCCTTTGTCAGGGGGAGGGTGCGGCTACACATGGGCTACTCAAACCTTAAGTTTAAAAACTTCAGGAGGGTTCTTAATTAGTGCTAGCAAACAGCTAAAAAAACAGCTAACTTGAGGTTTGAGTAGCCCACTTGTAGCCGTTAAAATTTTTAAGGAGGGTGAGGGGAGTGTGCTGAAATGATGGGTAATGGTGGTTGCCTAGCAACTTTCTTCCAGTTAAAAGGGTTATAGAGGGAAATTAGAATGTTGACCTAAATGTATTTTAGAAAGTTTTTTATTATTATGTGGTTAATTTTTGTTAATTCTTTACTGATATTCTGCACTAGGAATTAGTGGAGCAAATGATCAGCAAAGATTCAAAAAGTAGGTTATCTGCTTCTGAGTTTATGAGAAAGTACAGAGGTAAGTACAAGCTTATTAATATTATTATTTTTATGAGCGTGCGTTATCTTGTTCTTCTTCTCGCATGCACACGTAATAGTCTTTAATATCCTTTTTTAAAATTTTTTTCAGGGATAATATTTCCAGAACAGTTTTACACTTTCTTGAAAAACTACATGAGTAAGTTTTCCATGCTTCCTGTCCTGACTTCAGATGAGAAGATCAGCAGGTGAATACATTTTTATTTGCTTCCCCTGTAGTTGTAGTGTCTGAACCATTTAAGTTCCAAGAGTGATCAACATCAATTTTCCCCCAACAATAATTCTGTTAATAATTTGATAAATTACAGTATGTAGCACAGTTTCTAAGTAATATAGAGTTGTACTTTGCAATATCCTTTGTTTGTGATAATTAACCTAGTCTGCCAATATATCTTATAGTTTTTGGTTTGTTTTCAGAATCAAGCGTGACATTGAACAGATCCTTGAAGAATTACTTCCTACAGATGATGCAGATGACACAATCATTCCTGATAAGGATGGTAAGGTTTAATTAAATTTCTGCTCAAAGCTAACTCAAAGGTACAATTAATGTAATAGTCAAAATGTGCTGAATTCACCTTTCAAATGAAACAGCCATTTCAGGGATGTAATGGTATCAAACCAAATACAAAGCACAGTACGTTGGTGTTGGGCACATGTCAGTTCAGTAATAGGACTTCAGATTTCTTTGGCCTGCTTTTAACTTTACAAGGGAAGCAGGAATCAACTGTATTATCATGACTGTAGATGTTTCCTGTTTCCCCTGTAACAGTAAGCTGAAAGCAAGCTGAAACGTCTTCACACTGAACAAAGCAAGGACATGCATTCATCCAAGCCATGTGATACTCCAGACATTAAAAATTACCTACTAAATTGTAATAGCCAAAACATGAGCTGAATTCTCTATTCTAATAAAGCAGTCTTTTAGGAGATGTAAAAGTATTACAGGTGTATATGGAGATGTAATTTAGGAGATGTAGGGCCAATCTGTACAAGGAAAAATGAGACGCAAACTTCCTTTATCAACGGCACATTTTGTCTGAAATAAGGCGCATCTTAGCTAAGAACATCCCTGAACACCTGTTCTTAGATAAGATGCATCTTAGCTAAGGTGAGCTAAGATGAGAAAAACTTTGTCTTCGCTGTGGACTGGCAGAGAAAATATTGTTAATAGCAAATTACAATGTATTTTCATTTCCCTGGGCTGCCATCTATGACTTTTAATATTATTTGTTTCTTCGCTTGAGAAACCAGTGCTTCGTAGCTGTGCAAAGAAAAGCAAATTTCAGACCTCCTGGACAAATGTGTTACATCTGCTGGTATAAAGTAGAAGCTTTTTAAAGCGTTAGCAATCACAATTTATAAGTAATTAATTTCTCTTACTGTTGTCAACATATTATAAACTTACAATTTAAGTTACAAAAACTTACAATTTTAGGTTGCCATTGCTAAGGGCAACATTCAGATGAAACTGAGTCCAGGATAGAAATAAGACGTGAACCATTTATACGAGCTGTTTTCGTCTTAGTTAAGACATGCTCGTATAAGTATTGGTACAGTTTGCATCTTATTTAGGACGTAATTAGGTCTGTGTGAGATGCGTCTTATTTTTCCTTGTATAAATGGCCCTGTTGTGCTGGTTGTAGAAAATTGTCTTATTTTCTTTCAGGTTGTCTAGTGATTATTGTGTCACTTCTAACTTCATGCATTAGAAGCTGTAAGGTAGGCTTGATTACAATAATACAGTCAACTCCTCTTAGACGGAGACCTGACCTCCTCAAAAAAGGATCCTTAGAAAACCTTTTTTTCAGGATCCAATTAGCTGCAGTTACGTAAAGGAGACTTTGCCATTGCTAAGGCTATCTTCTGGTCACCTCACCACCAAATCATCTCATCACCAACTGTATCAATCACACACCAGATTCTCTGCAGTATCCCATAGTTCTCTTGGCTTAGGCTTGACCCCCTGCACTCTTTTGTATCCTACTTAACCAACTTATGCTCTCTTCTTAGTATTGTGTCTCCAAACTGACTGTACTGGAACTCCTGCTGAAGATTGCTCGTCATGTTAGCCATGAAATAATTCTAGACCGTATGTTACCATACATACTATTTCTTGTCAATGATTCATTACCACAAATCCGAGCCCAAGCCTTGAAGATATTAACACAGTGTCTACAGTTAGTACGCAGTATTCCGCGCAGTGATGCGAACATTTTTCCAGAGTACATATTGCCGGGTCTGTCATGGCTAACACAAGATCAAGAAGTTATTGTCAGAATTGCGTATGCTGAGAATATTGCTTCGTTAGCGGAGACAGCACTGAAGTTTTTGGAAATGGCACAGTTAGATTACGCTAATCAAGAAAACTATAAAGCTGATGATGCGCCTATACAATATCAGGTAAATTTATGTTTTTTTTTTCTCTTTAGAGACCGTTAAACAGGGGCACCCAACGTCAATTTTTTGAAAATATCTGTTCGGAAGACGATTTAAGATCTATAATTTGCGGAACATTTTGTTGTAAAATTTCTTGCTTGCCTGCCTCTCCTAGAATTTTCGGACTTCTTAAAAATGGTATAATTGCCCATTTTTAACGGATTTTTACCCTAATAAGGTCACCTAGAATTATCGGGAGCTTTTTTTCTGGCTGAAATTTTCGAAAAGGTAAGTTTTGATCCCTATAATTTTCGGATCACTAGACTATCAGCTAGGAAATCCGAACAGATGAAAAATTTCTAGGGGATAAAAATATGCCTAAATCTACCGTTTAAATACTAAAATGCTATGTTTAAGTGGTTTTGAACTATATTCTCGTTGGGTGCCCCTGGTTAAGAAGACCTTATTCACAATACCCGCCATCTTTGGACGCGCTTTAGGATTGCTGGAATAAAACAGCAAAAGCAATGTCATGTAGTATTTCAGGGGGAAAACAAAAGATAAACTTTTCCAATTTCAGAATCGCGGTCAACTTCGTTTATTCTCTCAAAATGAAACGACGATTTGGCCATGCAAAATGTACGGTGAGGCATGATCGTATACGAGACAAAAGCCCTAGCCTCCTACTGACTTTGCTGCTTACATGCTCGATGTAATCTTTCCAAGAAAGGTTCTCATCTGAAACAACACCTAAATAGCTAAATTTAGCTACTCTTTCTAAAGTCTTTCCGTATAACTGTATACAAAAATTTGGTGATTTGGCAAGATTCTGCAAACTTCCAAAGAGCATTGATTTTGTTTTACTCTGATTAAGGATAAGCCTGCTACTGTCCTTCCATTGTACAACTCGATATAAAATCATCCTGTACTACCCTAGCTATCTCCGAGGTGCAAAGATTCGTAAAATACATTACAGTATCACCGGCCTAAATATTAATAGAACAGTTTTCTTAACACTGGGGCAGGTCATTAATGTATAAGACAAAAGGGAGAGGCCCCGAAATTAAACCCTGAGGGACGCCAAAACGGATAGCTCGTGTTGAGGACATGTCATTTTCAAATTGCACTCTTTGAGTTCGTGTGGTAAGATAGTTCCAGAACCAGCCCAGACTACTTTTGCGTCACTTCGTCATTTATTCATTCAATATTTCCTTTTTTAGGGAAGTTACGACACTGAACTCCAAGCTCTCCATGAACTTATTCAAAGAAAAGTCGTGACTTTGCTTAGTGATCCCGAGAACATTGTGAAACAGACACTCCTTGAAAATGGCATTACACAGCTGTGTGTGTTCTTTGGTCGGCAGAAGGCCAACGATGTTCTTTTGTCGCATATGATCACATTCTTGAATGACAAACAGGACTGGCAACTCAGAGGAGCGTTCTTTGACAGTATCGTTGGAGTTGCTGCTTATGTTGGATGGCAGAGTTTGGTAATGCTTAGACCACTGTTGGAACAGGTACGAGCCATTCGGAAGGGAACTGAGCCGAGTTAACTCTTGCAATGACTTCTGGGTCTGTTACAAGGGACAAGAAAAAAATTGGCCAATAGCTGACCGGCGCGTCCTTAGTAACTATCCCAGGAACCATTGCAGGACGCGTTTTGGCTGCAGTTCCCTTTTCGATTCTAACGTGACGAATGCCGAGTGAACAGTTCACTATAGGGTGATTGATACATTAAGGTAATAATTATTTTAAAGGTTAAATATCAGAGAACAAAGAAGCAAAGGAAAAGAAGTTTTTATAAGCTGTCATTTTCTGTTTAATAAGGCAAGAATTTGGGCAACTGTAGTATTCCGCAGTGATAGATACCTATTGCGCACTTCAGTATATTATACAACAGAATAAACTGTATTAAACCTTGGTGTCGCTAATGTTTTCTCTTTTTACAGGGCTTAAGTGATACTGAAGAGTTTGTTGTGTGTAAAGCATTAAATGCACTCACTTGCCTGGCTGAACTGGGACTGTTACAAAAGCCAACACTGCAAGAACTTGTATCTGAGATTGTTCCTTTTCTTTGCCATCCTGTAAGTTAAATGTTTGAGATGACTTACTTTAATTGCATGCCGGTTTTGCGATATGGTGATTAAATACAGAATTTTAAAGAGAAAGATGTTAATTCAGTCAATGACACAGGCGGCTTGGAAGAAAAAAAATCCGAGTACTACGTGACTGGTTCTTCTTAAAGATTCTTCGTTTATTCGGCGTTACATTATCTTAAACACCATCCATTTCGATCATTGCGCAGAATTTTTTATGCTTTCGTAGCAAGGTCTCGCGTTAGCAACGTCAGCTTCTGAATTTCCTTACGGCGGCTAATTTACTCTATCGACTGAGTTGATAAAACCAAAACTCCAGCTCGATCTGGGACGCAAGAACACTTGTAACCAGGTTTTTATTTGGCTAGAAGTGAACAGAAACTTAGTTTTTTCCCCGGGACAAATTTCGGGCAGAGAGAAAGGCTAACTGTAACGCTGACTATGATTTTTCTTTTATCAGAACATGTGGATCCGCTACGGGGCAGTAGGATTCGTAGCTGCGGTAGCAAGAACGTTGAACGTTGCTGATGTACACTGTAATCTGTTGCCTCGTCTTCAACCATTCCTAAAACACCCTGTTGTTCAAGTTGATCAGGAGGTATTGAAGAAAATTCAGTCAGTTCAAATCTGTATTACACTGAACGGAGGGGCGACTCTAGCAGCGCCCAGATGACCCTGGCACCTTACATTCGCTCTCGGGTGACTAGGAAATCTCAGTTTTTGTATAGAAATCATGTGAGGGGTACCCTGGATTTCACAGGTTCAGAGCACCAGAGTCAATATAATGTTTCCCGGAGTACAGCCTTGGAACGTCTCTTTAACCGTTAGGTTTTGGGAAGCATTTCCATCGTTTTTGCATGTACACTTAGTCAAAAAATGTTTTGTAAAGATCTTTTGCCGCGAAATTAAACTTTCATTGGAATATTTCTCACTTAGGGAAGTGTTATAGGGCTTTCCTCAACATGCCGTGGAGTGTATTTGCGTCAAAGCACCCAAACCAATTTAACCAACTATTGTATTTCTGAATAACAGTCTGTTTTCATTTTTCTTGTAATTTTTAGGAATGTTTTTGTCTTCCCTCAGACGTTTTTTGACTTAATCCAAAACTTCAGCATTTTAGCTCATGGCAAAAGTTTCATGACCGGCAATCAAACAGAGTTTTAATTACGAACAAAGACGTTGATAAGTTCTTATTTTATCGTGGAAGAAGATTCTTCAGTTTCCAGAGGTTTTAACATTTTATTCGTCTTTGAAACTCAACACATTCTTGTCTTGTTTGCTGGCAGGTCATTCTAGTGAGTCTTCTCAAAGAACCCATCAATAGAAGTGTATATGACTTCATTATTAAGTCACCTCATGTTGAAAGTTTATTTGACAGGTATGGGGTTTTATATATTGTAACTAGCCCTCGAGAGCAGACTCTTTCCCGGCTATTATTTCTCCTGTTGTTTTCAGTTTTTGCACATCTACTGTATTCTGGCGCGTGATTTTTTCTGGTACTTCCAGCTATTGTTGTTGTTCTTTTAGGATAAAAGCATAGTATTAATATTATTGAACGCTTAGCAGAGGTCATTTACAATAGTAGAATATGACGGTTTAATATAAAAGTTGTCCGTACCTTTTGTTGCAGCTTGCAGGATCGACAGTTGGTCCGTAATCTCTGTCGTGCAGGCCAGAGACCAAATTACTCTGAAACAAACGAAGTATTAATTCCTGTTTTCCGCAAACTACACTCACAAGGAATTACGGAAGAAGATGAGGATAAATTACTGTTCCTCAGGGAAATTATCGTTAAGTTACACCGAGCCAAAACCAGGTAAAGCTACTTATTTATTACAATTAACATAACACTACAAGATATTTGGTACATTTCTTCGCTTTAATTTGTACCTCTTTTCCTGATCAGTGTTATTAGTATGTGTAATCAAATGGTGAAGAGTGAAATTAGGGAATACTGGACAAAACGCGCGTGAAATTATTCCCTAATTTCACGAGTATACCATTTGATTACCTATTAATATCATGGGTGACGAATTACGTTAAAAATCTTGGATTTTTGACATGTTTATCCTGGATCGTATCGATCGAGAACTCCATTCTCTCAAATGTTTAGACCTTAAATTTGGCTTATAAAGTTTAGAATTTTTCAGACTTTTTCGGCAAAATACCTGTTAGAATCCTTCTTGATGTTCTCTTGTGTGTTCAGGTTTTCTAAAGCGTCTTTTTGTGCCCTGACATCTTCATTCACGGCATTTTAAAACTTCGTCGCCATCTTGACACTGAGACGTACGGAAGGGTTGCCATGGCAATTTTGTAATTTCACATGTGAAATTACAATTTAATGCGCCAAAATTAAGTCGTAATTCGTCACCTATGGTATTATCACAGTTAGATAGCAGGTATGACTTAAACGGCAACGTGTCCACAACTAGCACGAGTACAGTGGTCTCAAGTCCGAGAGACTAGTGACACCCTGTCTCTCTATATATTCCACCCTCCCCGCTTCACTTGACCCCGCGCGTGCCTCTCACGCGATTCCTCGTCCCTCGCGTCACTTGATCCCGTGCCCCTTACGTGATTCCTCACCCCTTGCTTTGCTCGATTCCTTGCCTTTCACGTGATTCCGTGCTTCACATTTTGCGTGACCCGCTGCCCCTCGCTGTAATTGACATCTCCTGTAGAGTCGATCTTAGTCTCCTCCGCAGCCGTTTTTTGGAATGTCAAGCAACGTGGGGGACGTTGTGTGACATCCCAAAAAACAGCTGCGCGGGACACTCTGTTGTGCTTGCCTTAGCCACAACTTTCAATACGATGCTCTATCTTCCAGATTGGAACAACCTGAAAACAAAGAAGAAGTTATACAAGGAGACATTGATCTCCAATCTCTACACTTGGGAAAGACTGTTCACAGACGCTGTGCAGAGTTGGTAAAAACAGCGGATGGAAAGAACGACGGCAATACCGCAAACAAGAAAGGCAACACAAAAAATAGAAAGTCTGTGGTTGAACAATCTGCTATGGTGAGTAAAAATAATGTAGCTAATAATGAGTCCGTACAATCATGGTATCTTTTTATATTCTTACTCCTTTGGACAAGATAGTTGCAAATGCTCATCGTTTCTGTTGTCTTTCCTTGAACATTAGGGACGGACAGTTATGGAGAAGGGGGGGGGGGGCTGGGGGGAATTTTCGGCCCGTATGAATTTTTTTTTCCTGTTAACATTTCCCTTGTATGAATTTTTTTTATGCCAGTGCATGAATATTTTTTAGGGTTACTTGGCGTGCATGAATTTTTTTCATTTGTGCTTCGCCCGCCCACGCCCCCAATAAGTTTTCTAATGGTCTGTCCCTTATTCCTGTCTTGTTTTAAACCAGGCGTGGTTTTAGTTAAATATTGTCGAAAGTTGAAGGGTCTCAAAAATCTGAATGCTGTCTTAGGAAGAGCTGGAGTGCATATCGCGTCAGGGCGGCCATGCTAGTACAGTCAACTGCCTTTATAGCGGTAGCCTGTACACAGACGTTGTTTTATTTTTGTTTTCGTTATTTTGGAAAACATCGGCGTATGCGAGAGCGAGGCGAGCACGCGAGCGAAGCGAATCACACGCGCTCGACGGACTTTGAAGAGAAAATAGAGGGTCTGTGAACAGGCTATTATAGCGGACACTGTAGGGACCTTGAGTTAGTATCCTGATTAGCGAGTAGAGAGTCCGTGATACCGGGAGTTTATATCAGTTACACATCTGTAATTTAATTTGGCCTGGGTTTTTGCTACAGTCCGTATCATCGGGGTGTCCGCAAGGCGAGAGCTGACTTTATATTAAAACTTGGGAAAGGTAGAAATATTTGATTTTATTGTTTGAGTATATGAATATGGCCCCCGTGACGTCGTGTGCCGGTGATCTATTTAACTCAGTTTTGACCTTTTAATTTTCGAAATCAGAACCCAGAGTGGCATCATATGTTTGGAGGAGTGGAGGGTGCCAATGTTGCCATGGCGATGGCCAGGAGAGAGTCGCTGCCCGCTAATATGCAGCGACCAAAGTCACCACTGGGAAAGACATATTCTATGCCGCTGGGCGGGGTGAGTACCTAGAATGAAGTTTGTTGCTTACTTTGCAGTTGGGTTTGAAAAACTGTGTTGCTAAGGTTACCCTTGCCAAATGACGTAAAACAAGACACTACTGTATAATACGCAGCTCACAGCACAGTAGCTAACTAGCAGTAGTGTCATTCCTGCCCTGATTGGAGGGAAACGTTGCGTGACGGCTGCCTCAGCCTCATTTCCAGTCATCCTCGGTGAGTTCCGATGTGACGTCATCCCTCAAGCTTATCCAGAGAATTTGTTATCGCGCTCAGTTTCAGACCTCCGCCGTTCCCTCGCGTGGCATGAGTTGACCCATGGGACGAGACTGTGGCTGCGTAAGAGCCGAACTTGACCCCATTTAAACGGGAGAAATTTGCTTGACAAGATACCTGCTTTGAAGTTTACTGCTCACTGTTGGAAATACAAATATTGTCCGTTTTGTGCACAAAGGCATTGTGTACTCCTGCTCAACCTCGTACCCTGCGGGCACCGGTTGTTCAAACGTTGGATAGCACTATCCACGGGATTAAAATCTAACTAGTGGATTTCTCAATTGGTTTCCCTTATACTTATCTACTGGATAGTGATTTATCCGGTGGATAGCGCTATCCAACGTTTGAACGTACCTGGGCCAGGCCTTTTTCGTGTAAATATTTCTCGTTTCCTTTTTAGGACAACAAGAACGACCCGGCGTCCTTAAGCTCGGGTGGTACCCAGTCTGCTAGTATGCAACGATTAGATTCTAATACTCAGTCGAGAAAACAGTCGGCACCAGTCCTTCAAGAATTTGTTACCCAGAGTCCTTTGCAAGTTCGGTACGCTTCATGCAAGATGGAACTTCTTAAATTGGTGCGCCACAAAAGAGAACAAAAGGCCTCAGGTTAGAGCTTGCACATGTATCTCTGTACTTCAGGGAGAACTAAAGGCTGCTTTACGTATAAAAGAAAACTCAAAAGACCCTTAATTAGAAATGAATTTTCGAACCCAGCCGAAAATCTTGATCAGTATTAAGTTTTAATAATGGGATATCGGATTTCTTTTTGGGCAGATATGAAGGAGAAAACCCTTTTGGGAAGCATGTTATCTGAGCCAGCAAGTAAGCCGATCCAATCTCGGTAAGTAAGCAGGGCTTGTCCTTTGGGCAAGCAGCTCCTACATTTTGCCTGCCCTGGGCCACTTCTTTCTCGTCTTAGTTAATGATTTTGTTAAAAGATGGCTTGCCTGTACCCCTTGCCGGTTGGGTAACTAAGATTAAAAGTTACTTGCCCTGCAAGCAGAGGAGGTTGGACACACCTCGAAATGCATCTTAGTAGGACTAATCAACCAATCGCATCGCCGCATTGGCTCGTTGCTCATTTTAGAAGGAATGAACACATCTACAGTGGTAGTAAAAACGTCCAGTCCAGTAGTTCCGGACAAGTAGTACTTGTCCGGAACTACCGGAGTGGACGTTTTTTTGAGTCCTGAGTAAGCTCGCTGAAACCCGGCGCTCCTTCTACGATCGATATCTATCACAAACGCAAAATTTCCGGTTGTCCATATTTTTTGGTAACTTTTTTGAACAAACTGTCATCCTCTAACAAAATCATTAGTGAACTTACGCAACAGGACGGGAGAGGGAAGAAGACAGCGGCAAACCTTGTGTGACAAGCGTGACAGTAATTTTGTTTGAAATAACCTTTCCTTTAAACGGATCTTTTTGTAAAAGTCCAGCAAAAATGAATGTTAAGTGAAGATCACGACAAAACACGTGATAGCCCTGTCACGTTTGTCACACACAGCTGTTTTGCCGTCTTCTTCTTCCTGCCTTCCTGTTGCGTGCACCCACTTTTAACTAAGACAAACAAGAAGTGGCTCCAGGTAAGCAAAATGTAACAGCTGCTTGGTCAGAGGACAAGCTGAAATTCAAGTCTTATTCGAGCCCTGTATCACATGTGTCTATATAATTATACTGTCTTTTCCGCTTTCTCAACAGTTGGCAGCCCAAAGGAATATTAGTAGCACATCTTCATGAGCACAAAGCAGCTATCAACAGGTTTGTAGAAGTACCTTGTTTTCTTTGTCTCTTCCCACTTAGGGATTTTAAAATGGTCTTTTTAATCTAATACAGGATGCTTTAAACCCAGTGAGAATAAAAGAGGTTAAGGCAAAGGTCCTTATTGTACGTCGGTAACTCGTAACAGTAGAAGGCTTGAGCAACGAGAATGGCAAAAGAAAAAAAGCGACGGGTTTGATAAGCAAAATAACAACTTTGCACATGCACATTTCTCTGCCGTCGTTGCACGACTGCGAAGTGAAAGTGCCTAATTTCACGTTTTGTGGAGTACGTGAACACAAGACAATAATATTGTTTTTCTTCTCCTGAACTTCTATGAATCCTGTGGAATTCAACTCCCGTGGAATTTATCCAACATCTAATTAAACGAGATTGAATAAACGCGATTAAGTTTGAGGCAGTGCGACTTCACTTTTAAGGTGACGTTTTTGTAGCCGTCGACGTCGTTGTTGCTCATTTTAACCCCCTTTGCTCTGCATCAGTGCTCTGGGTACGGAGCATAATTTTTAACGGTCTCAAAGCTACACGGACAGAAAAGAAATCAAAATAAGGATTTGAGGTCATACCTGGGAATCGAACTCGGAACCTCCCGCAAAGAAGGCTGCGCACTAACCAACGGTGCTAATCCTTGCTCCTGTACCCCTAAAGGACGTACATCGTTGAAAATAGGACTGGCACGGAGTAGTTTTCATGCGGCTTAATCGACATTTGGCGTCTATGAGGAGACTTATCTTCTTCGACTTAATGGCCAAGTGATTTAGAAATCTTCTTTCATAAATTCAGAATGGTTATGAATTTCAAACAGCCAACATGCCGTTGATTTATCGTAGTCATTGTGCTTTCTTTCAAATATATATTTATTTCCATATGTTTAGAATTCAAGTGAGTCCTGATTTCTCGCACTTTGCCACCGCATCCGATGACGGCTCAGTTAAGCTATGGGATCTGCAGAAACTTGATGGAAGAAGTTTAATAAACAAGTCTAGGCAAACACACAGCAGGGCAGGTAATTACACGGCCCTTTACTTGGCGTAACACTTGCCTCACTATAGCCTAAGAAGACAGCCGACATCTCGAAACACCATGCACCACTGGGTTCCCCGCGAAATGACGTCAGAGAAAAAAGCACAGAAATTCCATACTGATGACGTATCACTTCCCAGATCTGGGTAGAGCTTCTGATTGGTCGTGCTACGTTGGAGATTTGCTTCAGCCAATCAGAAGCTCTACTTAGATCTGGGTAGTGATGCGTCATCAGTATGGAATTTCTGCGCTCGTTCCACAGTCGGCATTTCGCGGGGAAAACAGTGGTGGCGTCTCGCCTCGGGAAATGTCGACTGTTATATTATTTTGTTTTTTGTGGTTACTTGGGAATAAAGAAAGGTAATGTTAACGTATCGTCAATTCTGTCTTAACAGACTTTTCTAATTAGGCGGACCCTAAAACAAAACGGCCGTTTTCCAGTCATCCGCTTTGACTCTCTACGACTGTGTACCATTTTCATGGGCATACTGGTCGGTTTACGGTGTATGCAAATGAAGACCTTTAGATTCTAGGACGAGAACGACTAAGAGTACCAGATTTAACTCAAAGTTTTTTCGCGTATTCTCAAATAGTAGACACCCCGGATAGCTTGATTGTACATCTTTCTCACCAAAAAAAGTAGCATTTTTATCTTGATTGAAGGAGATTAAGCTATTTCCCAACCGCAAAATAATAAAAACTATAACACTTATAACTTGTGTTCGCTAACATGACATTCTCGCTAAAACTCGTGGCAGAGTGACGACGGCTACCACATTTTCCCGCCAAAATGACGCTGGTTCACGCGCGCGCACTACTTAGTATTGAGAAAATCCCGTACTCGTAGTCGTACTCATCTAAAGCTCTCTATTGGTTACTGAAGAAAACTCAGGTCTCTCTACTGGTTACTAGCCCTTTTTCACACATCAATGTCATTTACCCAAAAAGGCCGTGAAAGCCTGAAACTGGTGGCAGAGAAGGCTTTTCGAAGACAAAATTTCCGTTTGGAAAATTCAGACCGGAAAAAGAGGACTACCTTTTCAGACGTTCCTTTGCCCCTGGAAATTTTTTAGGGCCTGAAAAGCCTGTTCCATTTTCTTAATTTCCAACCCGGATTTTCTGGATTTAAGTCGGTCCCTGTCGTTTTTCAGTCTTTCTTCCACGAGGCAGAAAAACTGGTCCCAAAGTTGTCCTTCAAAGAGATAGTTGATTGTATTTTTGCTTTTGGTTGTAGGTTGGAAGATGAAGGCGTTGGCTTTCTGCCAGGGGTCAAGTTCTCTCGCCTGTGCATCCAGTGAGGGGCGCATTGATGTATTTAGGTGAGTGATCGAAAAGCCTTGACTCAAAGTAATTGCAAAGCATAGATAGAAGACCCACAAATCGCAGAATATGTTTTGAATAGTCAGCTGGCCCAGTTTTCCCTATCTACTGTCACAGCATGTACAGTTAGCTGCACTTCAAGGCCGTTTGTATTGGAGACTCAGGTAGCCTGAGAAAACAGTCTACATTTTGCTACGCTACCGGTGGTTTCCCGCGAAATGACGTTTGAGAAACGAGCGCAGAAATTCCATACTGATGACGCGTCACTACCCACATCTGATTGGATGAGGCAAATTTCCAGCCAATCACCAGTATGGAATTTTTGCGCTCGTTTCTCAGATGTCATTTCGCGGGCAAACCACCGGTGGCGTCGCCAAATGTCGGGAAGACTCAGGAAGCTGATCAACGTTGACTTAGTCACCTTTTTGTTTTGCTTTGTGATCATTTATGTTTGTATGCAATTTACGTTGAAAGATAGCCTGCGTAGCAAGCGTTTCCTGGCGAGGTTCGTCTAGAAAGCTGGCACAAGAGCAAAAAAAAATTAATGACGGGGGAGGGGGAGGGGAACGAAGGAACCAGGAAGCATTGATCAACGTTGACTTAGTCACCGAAGGTTTATGAGATTTTGTTTTGCTTTGTGATCATTTATGTTTGTATGCAATTTACGTTGAAAGACTTCCTTAACCGTCTTTTTCCAGTTATAAAGGCAGCCATTTACACCTTTTTTACTCCTTAAAACAGAATTGAACCGAGTAATCAACAGTCAACATCCAGAGTCCAGGTCTATCAAAAGAAAGTTGACCCCAAGGAGGAAGGAATGGTGGTTGACATGGCACAGTTTGAGACAGGTGAACTAAGGAAAATGGTTTTAGTGTTACGGGAGAAACCGGTCGTTTTGATACAAAGTCTTTTCTATACACGTCGTTTCGCTACGAACTCAAACAGGGAAGGTACATATAATTTCGAACACTTCAAATATAGTTTGGTAGTGTAACTTAGCAATGCAGAGGAAAACTGCAACTGAAATGCAGAAAACGTTGGGCAAAATAGAAGTTATCCCTAGTTATGTTTAGTTTTGTCACGTTTATATAAATATTTGTTTTGCAAGCATCACCCTTGTCTTTGAACAAGTTAAGCTCACGATTGGTTTCATTTAGGTTCCCAGTCCGTCCTCACTTACGCTACATCACACGGTCTGATCTGTGGATTGGATCTTCGAACGAGTAAAATGGCCTGGAAACTAGAGAACGACCCTTCTCAAGGTAACTTCAAGATTCATTGTTTTTATCTATGTTTAAACAAGCTCAAAAAGCTAACCTTATTATCATAATAAGTTATACTGATCTGTTTTGTTCTTAATTTTGATTGGCTACTGCAGGTTTGATTACATCATTTGTAGTGGATCCTTGTCATAGTTGGTTGACTGTTGGGACCAGCTCTGGAATGTTGGTCTGCTGGGATCTGAGATTTCAACTGCCAATAACAAACCTCTCTCATCCAAGAGGTATTTTTCTCCTTTTCTAGTTTGTATATGTATGCTGACACAAAAATAAAGGGAAATTGAGGCAAATCATAAACACCTACTTTCATCGGCTGTTTTGCCATTTTTAACACTGCTGTCAGAACGACCCAGTGTTTATGAGAGCCCGCTGGCGTCAATTTCAGTAGTGTTATTAGTCATTTATACTCGTCAAAGCAAATGAAACGAAGACAAGCTGAGTTATTCCAACCGCTGACGTAGCGTCGGTACCGGTCCTTCACAGAAGTACCGCTGACTGTCTTATTTATTTCCCAGAAAGAATATATATACATACAGACATTCAATATATTGCAAAAATGTTAGTTAAAGATTAAAGGCACGTAAATTGTAAGTAAAAGAATTAAAAGTATTTTTCTGGCGAGGCAGCTCTAATTGAAACCATAGGACTAGCACTAGCGTAGAGTCTGGGCTGCATGTGCTGTCACATTTCTGCAAACAAGCTATAGCGTTTGAAATCTGGTAACCAAGTAGCAAGTGTCATTTGTCGCCTCATAATGCACGTCATGTAGTTGGTAGTACATTGCGAGCAAAATTATACGTTCACTCACTGATACCTGGCTGCACTGTAAGATGTCTTAGTTGTTGTGACTATTATATCTCTTCTCATGATGTGTTGTTTTCAGGTGCCCGCGTTCGCCGTCTGGCAACTCACCCGACCGAGCAGTCCTGGGTTGTTTCTGCTGTACAAGGAAACAACGAGGTAACCGTGTGGGATCTGGAAACTGGAGCCAGGAGACAAGCTCTGTGGGCAAGCCACACCCCACCCCTGTCACAGACTCAGGTTTGTTACCGTAAACTACTACTTATAAGATCTGGGCTTTTACAACTAACGGAGGGGCTAGACTAGAAAAAAGTGCTTCGAAACAATCTATTGCGGTTATGGGCTCCTGCTGCAGGAGCCCATAAGCGGAGCAAGCAACTCCCATACTAGGCCTATGTCACGGCGTTTTTACGGACCGGTTTATTTTTAGACACATCTTAGGGCACTTTTTCCAGCGAAAATGGAATGTCCACCATGGCTATGAACGCCTTCGAAGTATAAGATATCAAAAAGGAAAACGTAACGTCATTAAAAGGCAAAAATTATCATTTTTAGGTTTGTAGATTTTGCTGACTGGTTTGTGGGGCTTGAAAGATATTCTAAATTCGCGCCAAAACCGTCCTAAAAATAAACTGGTCCGTGAAAACGCCGTGGCACGAGTACATGGAATTTGCTCGCTCAGGTTATGGGCTCCTGATGGCAGTGCTGATAAAAACACGTTTGGCATTTACTGTTTTATTGTTAGGTTTCAAAACGTTATAATAAATCGGATTCATTCAATACAAGCTTGGTGGGGAGGAAGGGGGCGGTTATAATCAGATGTATTTTATTGTCAACAGGTAGATGGGGCTATAACTGCGAGGGGGTTATGGGCGGATGTTAAATACAAAGTGAAATCAGTAATTCATTGGAATCATTAAATGCAGTTTGAGGTCCCTGGTATCTGCTCGGAATCGTTTAGCTTTTTACAGGTTGTTGCTTTTTTGACCCCTTAATGGATTTTCTACCTATTTTTCCGTCTTCTTTTCGTCTTATTCCCAGGTCTCTCCTTACGCGGTTCACGCACTGTATACGAGTAGACCGGACACGAGTCCTTATATCCTGACTGCGGGCTCAGACCGCCGGATTCGCCTTTGGGACCTTGCCTATCCTGAGCATTCTCAGATGATAGCAGGAGCGGCAACAGATGATCTCAGCAATGTGGTGCTTCAGTACAAGTAAGCTTCGTTTTGCGTTCGACATGTTATGACTTGTACCTTAGAGTTGCTAAAAGTTGACCTCTCATGAAGTTCTTAAAAGTGAGCGAAGCGAGCTTCAACGCATGAGGTCGCGCAAAGACCGAGTTAGCGACGAAGTCTCGAGGCATAACCAACCAGGAAAAAAACAAAGAACTTTTAGAAAGTGTAACTTGTCACCCGAGTCGGACTTGTCACCCGAGACCCAGATGGAGAACTCGATGACTGCGACGCAGGCTATAAAGCCTTTTGCGTGCTCATTAATAACCTCTCCAGTAACGTAAGCTAACGTGGATAGGTGTCGTTGTTGTTTTTATTGATTTATTTATTTTTTTCTGCTGTATGGCTCTGCATTCGAGAAAAATTTAAACAATATGATTATCGTCCAATATCCTCCTTTCAAATTCAACACTTAACAATTTCCGAACGGTTCCTTTTACTGGGGCCTATGACTCTTTTGCGGACCATCGATGTGAAATTTTTTTCTCGTATGTTTTGTGTTGTAATAGGTCATTAAATTGTAAGATATAAATGAATAAAAGAAAATCCGGTATTTTGGAGGTGCAATAGCCTACACCCTGCTGTAACTAGCGGATTAACCCCATTACATAATGTTGCGAACTGCTTACAATTTTTGTATTCTGTGTGGTTTACCAGGTCTCGCCTTATTGACGGAACTGATGTACTCCAGGAAGTTTACTGTAAACCACGCCAGGGTGGCGTACATGAAGATCTTCCACGCCGAGGGCCAGACCATCCCCCCGTGGGACATCACGAATGTATCAATGACATTGCAGTCACTAAATTGCCTCACAACTACGTCATATCGGCTGGTAGAGACGGAGTTCTCAAGATTTGGAAATAAATTGGCTTCAAGCTTTCAGAAACTGTTGTACAGTGTATCGGTAGCCTCCTACCTGGCCATCGTGGGACCTGGAGCAATGACTAGGTCTAGAGCACAAGACCAAAAACACAAAAAGATGATAGATGAAGAGATGGAAGACTTCCCGCCCTATCCCTCCCTACCTAGGAAGATTTTTGTCTGAAAGATCTAAAATAATGTTTGGCGAATTTAACGGAAGTTGAACTTGAAATAAAATTTGAATTTATTGAAGAGGGCAGAAGATATTGTATTCACTTGGTTTGTTTATATTATAATTTTATGCCCAGGATTCAGGTGAAAAATGTACTATTAAGAGATAAAATAAATGTGATTTATAACTTATATTGTGTCCCATATCCTCTCTTGGTCTGTTTCAGTTTCTTTTTCATCTTTTACCCATGACATTTCTAATTTCGTATGAATTATAGTCAAACAGATCGTGTACGGGGCTTTTACGGTTGTTGGGAAGTTGAAAATCTTGTGCATACACAGTTAACAATTAATTGGCCTTGCCTGAGAAGAACCACTGTAGCCTGCATCGCTTACATTCAATGCCGACATTTAAGGGTCAAAAAGGAATCTTCTCCAGCGATAGCCCTTACCTTGACTGGTTTCGCGTAAGGAAGAGCGAGGACCCTGGGAGCAAGACCCTCACTTCTGTTACACAGCATTCTGGGATTGAATAACGAATAACAATGGATCGCCATTTTGAGCTTTTCCTGCGAGAGAGAAAATGTAAGAAGTAGGTGATTATTTTGTGGCCTGAAAAATAAGGGGCAAAATCGACTCACAACTTATTTTAAGCATTGAAAGGCTACTCTCCGAAGAATCTAAAATGGATCAGTATGTAAGAGTGACCGAAGATGAGTCGCTTCCTGCCATAGAGCTTCCCACTGAAACAGACGGCGCCATATTGCTGTCGACATTACAAGCTCAATTTCCCGGTGCTTGTGGGTTGAGATATAAAAATCCCGAGACAGACAGCTGGCGAGGAATCCGCTTGGTTAATAACATGTTGTGCCCTCCTGCAGAAGATGGATGGGGCGATCATCTGTACGTTGTTGTACAGAAAAATGGTGAGAAAATATAAATCAACGTCATTCTACGAAAGCTCTACATATCAGCGTTCATTTGAATGGTCAGATTGCAAATTTTGGGTAAGATTTCAGCAAAGCCTCATGCATTTAGTATGCATACACGTTTCTGCTCTATTAATTTCATATTATGTGAGAAATAGCATGAGCTATGAGATTGCTGCATGAGCTGTGCGAAAATCTTACCCCAACATGGTTACCCTGAGTTCATGTACAAAGCAGGAATTTAAACACAAAAATACCACCCTCAAAGGATTACCGGGGAGGGGGAGGGGAAAAAAGGAAACACTTGCCTGTGAACCTCACAATTCTGAAAAATGCCTTTGCCCTCTAATGCAGCTTCTGATTGGTGCTGGTCAGTCAAATCAGGTATGTTTTGTTTACGTGCATTGCAGATAAACATGCTTTGGACTTATACTTATTTGAATCATGCTTGAGGGAAGTTTTAGCAGATCTGGCCTGATGCCTAAGTAATTTGACGGTCAGGCCTTTGGGGATGCTGTGATGTGACAACAGAGTTTATCACTAGACGAGAAACAAAACATTCAACTGCAGTAAATAATTTATTGCAGTCGAATTAATAATTGTTATTACAGTTCAGTGGTTTTTAAATGTTGTTGCCATTAAATGGTTTTAATTTTCTTGTCTAGCAATAAACTCTGAGAGGATCTTGTGTTTTTTATTTATCACTTATGTGGGATTACACAGTCTGACTTACCATCATAGACCAATTATTTGGATGCCACTCAGTCATATCGCCATTATTGATTCAATTAATTTAATCATCACTTTGCAATGTTAGACAGTACAACTAAACGAAAGATAGAAGAATCACCCAATGCTGTAAAAGAGCCGGAGTCCAAAATGACAAAGATGTCTGCTACAGAAGAGAATTCAGGGGATCTAATTGTCTTAGGACTTCCCTGGAAGACAACATCAGAGGAAATGAAGGAGTATTTCCAAAAATTTGGTGCAGTAAATATGGCAGAGGTAACCACAGTATAATAAAAAGTAGAAGTTTTGTTAACTTTTGAAGTAGACATTTGTGAAGAAAATTTCATCTAAATGGCACTGTCTAGCAGCCTGTGTTTAGCTTCAAATTTTTAATTGAGATACTGTGTCTACTCATTTCCTGAGGAGAAAAGAAAGTAGAAGGAAGAAGTCAAGAGGGCAGTGACAACTTTAAAGCCAAATAGAGTTTTAAAATTTTGCCTTCTGTGCATGCTCATGCCTTGGAAGCTTTAAATTAGCTTCAAACTCAAAAGAACACTTTGAGCAGTCATCGTTTTGGCCAGATACTGACCAGAAAATGGCTCAGTTGTGAGGGTAAACATGGCTAAGAGTAGGGGGAGAGTTAATTACCCTTAACATTCTTCCTTTTAAAAAGGGTGGGGAAGGTCCTCTTAGAGAGGGGGAGAGGTTTTGTATTATTGTTGTGCTTTTTCTTTGTCAGGTAAAAGTGGATTACCACAGTGGAAAGTCAAGAGGATTTGGGTTTGTAAACTTCAAGAGTCCTGAAGTAAGGCAGAAAGTTTTATCTCAGGTCCACTACATTCAAGGTCGTAATTGTCACGTGCGGGAGCCAGGAAGCAAGGTAAGTACCAAGCCTTGTCTTGGATTGGTTTTTGTATTTTTTTATTACTTAATACAGTAGCTGTGACGATGATAATTTGTATCTGGATCAGTATCAGTTACATTGGTAACAATATTAATTTTGTGTTTGTATCAGTATCAAAAGCATTAGTAATTTGTATTTGTATCAGAATTAGTGATATCGATAATTTGCATCTGAATCAGTATCAGTGATATTGGTAATAATTTGTGTTTGTATCAGTAGTAATGACATTGATAAAAATATTTTCATTTGTATCAGTATCAGTGACATTGATAATTTTTTGTATCAGCATCAATAACAGAGCTCAAATAATTAATCCTTTAAGCCTCAAGTCTGATCTCTGTTCTTAAAGAATTAGTTGAGAGAATTTGTTAAAAGATCAAAGCATTTTCCATTAGGTGATCATTTGATCAATTTTCATAACTCAATCTTTTGATTACATTAATATTTTGTATTGATAATAGAGGGAAAGTGATAATTATTAGTCACTCTTGGAACTTAAAAGGTTAAAGAAGTTATGCATAAAGAACATAATCATCCTGGTCATGAATAATGCTTAGCTGCAGAATGTATCCTTCCCTTTTTATAATACAAGTTTCTTGGGTTAGACCCTTTTACTCAACCTGAAAAACCTGAATTTACATACTAAAGGTTATCCAAACAACAACCTCCCCCTCGTTAAGATCCCTTTAAATTAATTAGTAAAATTTCTGCTTTCGGGGACAGAAAATGAAAATTTTTATTTTGATGCTCCAAATAATATAGAAAATATGAACAAAACTTTATTATTAGCTTTACAAATTATTTATGGTTCTTTTCCTTTTCCTTAGCATGAGGTCATGCCAAAGAAACTGTTTGTTGGACGTCTTCCAGATGGCACCACGGAGAATGACCTTTATGAGTATTTTAGCAAGTTTGGTGAAGTCATTGATGTCTATATTCCAAAACCCATGCGTGGAATCTCATTTGTGACATTTTCATCAGGGGAAGTTGCTAAAAAGGTTCATTCACAATCTCACCGCTTTGGTACAAATCTGCTGAATGTGAGTGTCGCAGAGCCAAAGGCAGCAAAAAATGTGCCTGTGCCATCACATCAAGACATGCACCCCATGCACTCCTCTGGTGGATGGGGTGGGGGGTTGGGATTTGATATGTATGGGATGAATTCCTGGAGTGATGGAGGCCGTCAGAGTATGCCGTTCAATGTTTCAGCGGCGTACAACTCCATGATGCAGAGCATGTTAAACATGGGAAATCCATCAAGCGGGTCGTCAAGCATGATGGCATCCAGACATAACAGGAGATAAACTCAAGTGGTAGGACTTCAACAGTGTTTTGTGGATTAGAACTCTCAGTGAGTTTGCAAACATGTTATTTTTAATTTATGTTGGTCATTGATCTCAGGTTAGACTTTACAGTAAAACAGGATAATGATATTATCTTTAGATTTGATCTGGCTAATACACTGTATACAGGTGTATGCTTGAATTCTTGTTATGCTAGGGCGAAAACAGCCATAGACAACTTCTCTAACCATTTTTATTGGCTGCCCTGTCAAAATTTCGAAAGCAAACATTCTGGTACCTCCAAAACAAACTTTATTAAGTACCGGCATTCAGATTTAATGTTGAAGAAGTCAAAGACATTTTACTAACAGTGAACCCTAGCTGAAATAAGCATGAAACATTTAACAATAATATTTATGGCATGTAGCTGAGTGAGGTGTGAAAACACAGAAAACTGACACTGTTCAACTAGAATATTTTAACATTTTGAATGGTTGCATGTGATGGCAGAGACTGCTTTATTAAGAGACTCTTACCATGAACTTTTGATCAACTGTTTTGACTTTCTTTTGTACAACAAACCTGTCCTTGTAAACTTAGCTAAATACCATTCTAATGGAAATCTTCAAAAATTAAAATTAATATTATGTAGTATGCTGATTAATCTGGTTTCTGTGAAAGTTTAGTGACAGGGCAAAACAATAATACTTGAAGTAGTTTGTTCATTAAAATCCATGGATGGATTCATTCCTGTATGAGGTCATATGCACTTTTAAAATAGTACGTTTTAAAATGTTTGTCTGATGAAGTGGAGTTGAAGTGGAGAAGTGTTTGTTTCAAATAGACAGGAATCATATTGCTGCAAGTTTGGTAATGTGTGAAATAACAAATTCATTTATCTTTTGGTAATTAAGTCATCCGTACAAGTTTACCAGTCATGGTTTGGAATGGTAAAGAAGAGTAGAAGAGTGACTTCTGATTCATCACACATCTTGAATGCTGTTGTATGCATCTGTCACCACCAGAGACATACATTCGAGGGTCATCTGATTATTATAAGATGCAAAGGGTGCACATTTTTGTGTGTGTGTAAAGGATTGTATTAAATTTCTGGATGTTTGATTGTTTCACACTCATAGGCTGTAACGTCATTTTAGGGTAGTCAGCTGATTGTAAAGTGAAAGGGTTATTTTTGAGTGTTAGGCGCCAGGAGAGTCTTCTCTCAACATGGTGCGCAAAGGTTTAGATCTCATGGTTTAGAGGCAAAAGCTGGAATCTTAATAACCACATCCAGAGTGTAGGAAGGCCTTAACATGGAGAGCAAAGGTGTGATTTGTCAAGTGAAACAAGCAAAGAGAATGCTGAATGATCAAATTTTGTGATGCTGGAGAGTCTGACATGGAATGCAAAGGTATGATTTGAAGGGTGACAGCCACAGAACCACATCGATAGCATCATTTTGTGAGATGTAGAGTCTTAATGGTGGTTTGCAAAGGTGTGATTTTCAGAGATTGAATAATAACCTCCCGAGTGCCGTCTGTGAAGTAAGAAAAGCAATGTGGCAATAATAGTGAGAGTCAGTCAAGGAAGCAGCTGTAAGTACATTTATACAAGTAATAAATTTTAGTAAAAATTAGGCCTTCTTTCTGTCTGCAAATTATGGGAGTCCCTTGTTAATTATGCAGTTGAACCTCTGTGAAGTAGCCACCCTCTATCAAGTGACTTGTGGCAGAGCCTGGGCATTTGTTGAAATCACCGTAAGCAGAACTTGAGTCTCTTTTTCCTTGTCCCCTGAGGGTTGTTGCTCAGAGGTTTGACTGCATTCATTTACAAACTGAGATGAGTGTGGAATGTGTTAACCATTATAAGCAGCCACTGAAATACATGGGTGACTGATATTATTTTTTTCAGTCAGTCATGCAGTTGACAACAGTTCTACGGTCTTTGGGTTGGCTGCATTTTGAAATGTAGCATAACATGAAGACTAAATTTTATAACTAGAGCAAATGAATGATCATCATTTTTTGTTGCCAACCATAAGGATATTATCTACCTTGTTTGATGGCATAAGGTAACAATTTTTATCATTCAAGGTGAAGACTGGAAGATGTATTTACTTTTAGTACAGAAAGTGACAAAGCCACTCTTTCTCTTCTTGGCAGGATTTTTTGCTATGATGTGAACCAAGAGGAAAGGAAATACAGTTCTCCTTTTACTCCAGGTAAAAATGCTATACTGAATTTGTTTTTCAATGAGTCATTCTAACTTTGCCTCTGTCGATGAAAACTTGGTTGCATTACCGTAAGTAGGAACGACCAAAGATGCTGAGAAAGCTCCATTTTCCAACTAGACAGGGCGCCACAGAAGACACTTTTGACCTTGGAACACTGTTTACCTTGGGGCGTGGGTACTCCTGTTGCTTTTGGTGTGGCAAAAGTCTTGTCTGATGTGATAGCTCAAGGGTTGTTGTCGTTACTTATTTTGCTATTACTTTCATGGTTTTGCTCTTTAGAGCTCTGGCTAGTAAACAGAAATAATTATTGGAGAGTTGATTTTTGATTTTTTGAATTTGTCTCACCATGTTCCAGAGGTGTTGTAATAGTTGGGATTGATAACAGCTATGATATGGCAATTTCAGTTTTTAGAAATACAATAATTATTACAACCTACCACTTTGACTTTTCATTTTAGCATGACTCTATCAATGTGCATACAATTCATGGAACACCGAAGTTGAGTGTGTGCAACATAACATGCAGTGACTTCCTGAGATGCAGATTCCCAATGTCCTGACCTTGTGCATGACTATTTCATCTACTAACAACTGTTGGTTCCTGGAAAGTGAAGTGGTGTTAAGTGGTGTCTTATTTGCCTGGCACTCAAGGGAATCAGGTTTGATTCCTTGCTTGATTCACACAGTACAAAAATATCCTGCTGTTGTTTCTTTGTCATTCAAAAGAGACTAGCCCACATGGATACTACCTTTGGTCAATGGATGTCAACTGTAATGTTATACTATGTAAAAAAAATATCATACTGTGCAGTACAGAAAGAAAAACTTTACTTTTTAATGAAGTATTCAGTACAAGGAAAACCTTTTATTTGTGACTATGTAATTATTTAAACAACATAGTTATTGTAGAGTTCAAAACTCTTGTTACAAATTACACCAAACTCATTGGCAGAGCAAAGACTAATAAAACAATGGTATTCTGCCAGTTTGTTATGAACAAAGGTAAAGTAATTAAATTTCCATCCATTTTATTGTGGAATTAGTTAAAGTTAGCGCATAATCAGAAATTCAAAGAGCTTTGGAATGAAAAATAAAATTTACAGTTACAGACATTTTTCCTAAACTCTCAGTGACTACTCACTCCCCTCTGAAATACAATGTAGTTTACTCTGTAGTGATGTTCCTTAAAAATTAATATACTTTCAAGACTTAATTTGACCTATAAAAGACAAGAATGGGTTTAGGCTGCTGCAGCCTTCTTGGTCTGATAAGAGAACAACATCTTTTTCACTTCAGCAATGGCCTTTCCTGGATTTAGCCCCTGGATGAAGAATAATATTATAATAACAGTGAACATTAGATAAGAATTGAACAGCTAGGAATTCTTTGTTTTTATTATGAAAGTAGCCAGGGCTCTTGCCCATAGGAGCTGGGGGAAATATCTGGTCTCAGACCCTCAATGACAGTCCTGGTTTTGGCTATCACTGGGGCTGGTTCCCATATGTTTGGCCAAGCAGAGGAAAACACTAAATCTAACTCCCAATCATTGATGTGAAGAGGGCTCACAGTCACTGCTACAGCTACAACTTCCTTATTAATCTTTGAATAATAACTTATACTAATTACAAGTATATCAATGATGCAATTTCTATTTTAGTGCAAATTCCCATTATCGTCATTCCCTGGATGGGATATTCATCAGATGATTACCTCCCCCCCCCTCCCAATGAAACCCATATATACACCATGGTAAAGGGTGAAGAAAGACCAAAGTCTAAGAGGAGCAAAGTTTCTTGTCTAATGAAACAATGGGATGGCAAGGCTTGAACCTGAATCTACAGGTCCGAAGTGTAAGGTATAGGGCAGTTGGCTACCATGCCATCATTCAAATTTATTTATTTGTAGGTAGAATATTATTGTGGCTTTTCTCTAATCTCATTTATTGTGAGCAGAAAAGGTCAACATACAGTCTACGGAGAGTTACTATACCTTTGGGCAAGTCTTTGTACAGTTCATGATAGTGTGACACCTGTACACTTTGAACGGATCTGTGTCAAGTTGAGCTAAGCGCTCTTCAGTGTAGTCATCCTACAACAAGGTTACATATAATTATAGGAAGCCAATGTTAAATATAGTGACAACAAAAAACATGAAAAAAAAATACTAAAATAACTTGTTACAGGTAAACTGTTTAAGTATGCTTTTGCCCAATCATAATGGGGTGTAACAAAATCAAATAATTATGTTAAATAAGAAGCCAATACTTTAACAGTTAACCCAGAAACTAAATAAAGTTGGTTTTTAACAGAGCACATGCAATACACTGTAGTTTATCAGTAAACATTACAGGCAAAAACATGTACAACAGAAAAAATCTGGACTACTAATACTGCAAAGTTACAAGAATAGAACGTAGTGTTAATACTCGCCCGAGAATCAATCATCCAGCGGTAGGCCTGCATAAGAACTGCTGGCCCAAGGTATTTATCTCCATTCCACCAGTAGCTAGGGCAGGATGTGCTACAACATGCACACAGGATACACTCATACAAGCCATCCTAAAATACGAAGAAAGAGAGATCAGTTTCAGAATAGGCTAGAACAGGAAGTGCTGAAATACTTGCAAGGTACTGTAAATGAAAGCTAGCCTGTGTAGCAAGAGTTTCTACTCAAGTTCTTGGGTAAAAGTTGGAATGAACCACAAAAAACACAAATGGAAATGCTTGCTACAAAGGGTATTAATGAAAGGCCAAGACAATTATATTTTTAGCCTTGATGTTTTCCTAGCAAGGCTGTGCTCTAAGTTACCTTGAAGGAGGCCCAGTACTCTTAACCTGTCATTTCTAGTCGCCAAAGAGCAAAAGTTGCCTACCAGGGGCTACTGGGCTCTGCTAGAGTATGGTCCAGCCTGCAGAGGCATAGTGTCATAGATGGGGTCGATTAACTTCCTGTAATTAACAGAAAAGAAGTGGTACTACCATTATCAACTCACCAGTTTTTTTCTGTCTTCAATGGACTGTAAATACTGTTCCTTGCCATATTCCACCTCAGTTTTCTTCTTAAGATATGGTTCAATTGACCGATACTGCTCATAGAAATTGTTCATGTCCTAAATAAATGTCAGACAGAATAAATTCCTAAAATTAACTTAGTCTCTTTAATATGTAAAATAAAATAAAACATGGTTGTAGCTGTTCAGTGTTCAGCTGAAGTACCCTATTGTGATGACAGAGATCACTGTCATAAAACTAAACTCACCGGCACAAGATCTTTTACCACATACATGTGTGGGAGGGGGTATATCTTTGTTTTCTTTCCAACGTCAGGGTTAATTCGACTGAAAAGAAAAAGCTCTCATTATTTTCACGATCTCTATTTCTATTATAAAGCAGAAAATTAAATCCATAAAACAAAAGCAACTGAGGTTTTAAAAAAAAAAGAAAATAATAATCTTGTCCTTAATTAAGTGTTTAAAAAAAGGAAAAATTTTAAGGAGACAACAAAGGGGTTGCTTTCTCCAGGTGCTGAAAGAATTATCTCACCTGATACAAGCCAATGTGTTGGTCCCTGCGATGTTCATAGCACAAGAGCCACATATTCCTGTTGAATGAGACAAAAAAGTTAATTAACGATAAAACATATTAAAATAAAGACAAGAAACAAAAATAACATTTAGAGATAATATTTACCCTCTCTGCATGAGCGCCTGAATGTAAGTGTGGGATCAATTTCATTTTTTATTTTGATCAGTGCATCCAGTACCATTGGGCCGCATCTGTGAAGTACAAAACTTTGTTTAAATTTGACATCGACATGTACTGTGTATGCATTTGTAAGTTAAATCTTTCTCAGGCTTCAACAATATTCAAACCACTAGGATAAGCTTGTTGGTAGGATTCAAACTCTGGGAAACCTTGATTCAACAGTGCTTTTTGCTATTGGCAATTACCTTGATAAAAGATAAAGATTTACCCTTAGAATGGATATTATCTACAAGATACCGTCCTCTTCACACAAATCAAATACTAGCTTTAGGTTGGTTTCCTTATTTTTTATCTCAGGCTTTTTATTACCTGTGTAAGCACACCAATAAAATGGAAGACCTTTTAAAGAATATTTTCATAATTGGTGCTATAATTTCATCATTATCAATTTATTATCATCACTATCACCATCATAACAAGGTCAGATGATGTATAAGGCCAACGTGATTTTTTTTTTACTGGTGACTTAATTTTATGAGGCAGCCACTAGAGATTTTGTTAAAAAGCCCAGTAGCTACTAGATACAATTTCCTAAAACAAAGAAAATGATGGCACAAACCTATTAAGATCCACTTCATATTGCTGCATTCTTGGCTTATCACCTGGTTTATCTGGATCCTAAAAATAAAAATGAAAATACTTTTTTTTAACTCTTAGTATAGATGGAGGAAGTCTGTGATGACAATTGTGCCAGAAATGACTTTGTTAATTCCCAGCATTGCTGTTAGAAATCTGTCAAGCTTTTATTACTAGGGTGACGATTGGAGGTAACAAACTTGTTTCAAAAGCAGCTTATGTGGTGTGATAGTCTGATGGGTACCTTTAGGTCACACCCGTGACACTCCTCTCCCAACCCATGCCTGCAACACAGCCAATAATGATCACCAGGCCCCAGTTGTTCAAACGTTGGGTAGCGCTATCCACTGGATAAATCACTATACGGTTAGTGTAATATTGATTTCCGTAATACTTACCCACTGGATAAATCACTATCCAATGGTTAGTGTAATATTGATTTCACTACAGTTGAACTTCCATTAACAGGGCTTCTGATACCCACTGGATAGTGATTTATCGGGGATTTTGGATAGAAAAATATCCAGGATTTTTGAAAAACATTTTGGGTTTTGGGCAAATTCTTAGAAAAAACGATTTACAGAAATTTGAGGGGGAAACTTCGCCAAGAAACAATGTAAAAAAAGCCCATTTCACATTTCGCTAGCATCGATTTGAGCAGCACCACCGATTTTTTTAACAGGGATAATCAGCAAGCTTGGCCACTCATGGACTCAGGTTAGTGCCCAGCTCAAAATTCATTAAGAAGCCTGGTAGACTTTATTTTGGATAAAACAAACTTGCAATGGGAGGAAGCCAAATAAAACTGGTTTTGCCGACATGTATTTGGAAATATTTCTGGCGGCGGTATTTCGTGTTTTTTGGGAATAAGACTTGGGAAATATACTGCATTAAGCAGCCAGCAAAGACAAAGAGAAGACATGGACTCAGGTTGGCCGCTCAAAATCTTTAGCAGACTTTATTTTAAAACAAACTTGCAATGGGAGAAGCAATACTGGTCCGCAATAATAAGACTTGGGTACTGCTAAGAGCAAAGACAAAGAGAAGACAAGTCGAATGAGCTTACAACAAACACACCACGTTTCCTTAGTGCCTTGCACATGCGTCCTGGTTCAATACCAGGTCGCACTCATACTACAATAGGTAGCCACTTAATGGAGGTTGAACTATAGTACTGGTAAAGCAAAAAAATTTGAAACAAGCCACTCACCCAGCGGTAGACTGAGAAAGTCTTCATACGAGGACTCTCACTGACTGTGGCTGCATTACGAACAGGAAGCTGCAAATAAAATAATACAGCATTAGTCTGATGCTTTACTTTCTCTCAGTTGTTTGGCATTAAGTCTCTGGAAAGCTGATAGAAATTCCCAATCCTGCAACTCTTGTAGCCTCAGCTCCAATGCAGACATTCTTAAGGCTTTGTCATGCGTTCCTTTCCCACGGACAGGGAGGATTGCATGATGAGCCAAAAGAATGTCTGCATGCATGGGAGGCTACATACGTATATAATTTAATGCAATCACTGTACTTAATTAAAATGCATTCACACCTCCCATAAATAGTTGTCTAGAATGCTGAGTTTTGGTGCCTATTGTGCAGGAGGTTGAAGCTTACATGAAGTTCCAAATACAATGCTTTGATAAGAACGAATGATTCAAGTACCTTACGAAAGGTGGTCACGTATAGAGGATTTACTATGTAGACTGGTTGAGATGTAGCTGCCTGGGACAACAATAGGATTTTATACTATGTATATATTTCACCCAGATCACACATATTTCTGCTTTCTTTTTAATGATAGAGACCTAAATAAGTTCATTCTGTGGTTACACAATCTTAATTTTCTAAAAACTTCTATTGAAAGAGAAATTATTACTGATATAATCTTACAAGTGTTAAAAAAATATGCTTATGCAACAAGAGAAAGAGTTTATTTACACTTACATTTTTAATTTAAGAGGAACTATTTGGATAAAAAAACTTTCAATTTGAAAAAGTTTACCAATGAAAGCTTGTGTTAACGTGACCTTAATGTGAACCAAAAGAATCCATCGATTAAATAAAAACCCTGGATTGTGGCCGGGCGTTTGGAAATCACTAATCTCAATTTCGTGTTAAGCTTATGTTGAATCAATCACACTGAAAACAACAACTTAGTTGATTAGTGACCTCCATTCAACTAAATCAGTGTTATTCAATTTCATCTCCTTTCACGTACCTTTGACAAAGCAACAACAGGCCTTAACTGCAAGGCTTTAGCAGTTATGATTCTTCCACAGACTGCCGAAACCGCCGCCATATTGGTTACATAAGTTTATAAGTTTACATGCAGTGATGCACGAACTTCCTTGCCACAGCAGCGGCCTGGGACTAGTCTAAGCGCGAAAGGGTTGACGGGATCGGAGGGCTAGGGCGCGGGAGATTGAGGAGTGGTCCTGATGAATTAGGGGTGCAAGTTTGTACCCCAATCTAATTTTCAGTGAGAAAACAAAAGGCTTTCCAGAACTGCAATGGGTGGCAATTTAGACGGATTTTTTTGCATTTGTTAAGCTATTAAAGGGACTGGTAGTCTACAATGCCTAAGGCATCCCCAACCAAAGGAGCCCATAAGTGGACGTGCGAAGCCTCCTAGGCGAACTGTTCTATTTATAAGTCTACTCGGGAAAGGATTGACTCCAAGAGCTTTTATGGGAGCTTTTGAATCCTACTAATGGGCTCCTGTCCCAGCGAAATGTTGTCATTGTCAAGTGTTTGGAAATCAAACTGCCATTCTTGATTTTTTGCTATATTATTTAACTAGTGTGAAAATTGAATCAAAAACGGCTGCGAGAAAGCTTAATGTCTATGTGTTTTTAACAACAACAATCTCGACTTGAATGAATGGCAATTTACATGAACCAACCTGTAAGTGTCCGCAAACTTGAAAGGCGTCGAACCAACCACATCGTTTGATAACCGCAGGTCATTTTGTGCTCGTGGGCAGGATTCAATACGTTTGCCGACTGAATGAACATTTCCCAGGGCTATGAGCCACGGGAAGTCTGGGGAGAATACTCAATCATCATGCATTACCTCTTCCTCTCTGGTCTCCTTCGCAGCCATTTTTGTGTCGATCTTCACTCAACGCGACGACACACAAAAAAAGCTGCGTAAGTGAATACTTTCTCCCTTCCTCTCCTCATATCCCCTTGAAATATTGTTTTTCCTTCCAGACTAAACTAAACCCATGTATGAAATTCAAGGAAAAATTTGAGCAAGTATAATACTCTTTTTATTATTATATAAAGAAACTCACTGCAGCAATACATTGTACATATAAGGCTGAATTACAAAGCTACTTCCAATCGTAAAATAATTTTAATAGCTACTTACAATTGTAAAATAATATGTGCAAAAATAGATTTAAAAAATCCTTTAATCTTGATTATTTAAATTGACACAATTTCTTCCATTTAAGGTTCGTAAAATTCGTTTAGACCTCTGGTAAAAATTCATCTTCAAAAATTAAGGTTGGTCCACGGGGGTAGTCCATGGGGGGTCCATGAAGAGGTCCATGGACTATACTAGATCCACAGGGTCGTCAATGAACCGGGGGTCCATGTTTTGTATACGTCCCTGCTAGGAAAGTTCTCTCACGGCTAGCCAAAAATGCCTCTGCTAGCAGGGAAGTTAGAGAGAGGAAAAAGCAACCTGGTCGCCAGGGCTTTTCCCTTAAAAAATGGGTGGGGCGGGAAAAGGTACTATTTCAGCTAAGAAGGAAAACATTTTTAGCCCCCCTAGAATTTAATTTATGTTTTCTAGTCAAATATCAGGTAAATACAGCTAACCGTCTTTTTTCGGTATTTCTATTTCATTACGGTGTTTTAAGCAATATCACACCATTTTGGGAAGCGGGGGCAAAATCAGTTTTTTTTTTGTTATTAATGACTAAGAAATACATTGTTTTGTGGAATAAAGGAGTCAGGAAAGAGAAACACAACCTCTTAAGTAAATCCCGAAAGAGTTCGAAAATATGTAAATGTCCAGGAAGATGTGTAAAGACCGCGTCACTGTAGAACAAATAAAGGCGAGGCTCTTCAGAAACTTCCAGAAGCTGGGCTCTTGTTAGAAGTAAAAATAGACAATCTAACGCGGAACCCTCGGGCCTGCTCACAGAGTAAGATCTCTCATACTTTCACATTAGCCTTATTTCTTGACCTTTCTTCGGATCGACGTTTGGGAGATATTGGGCAAGCTTCTGAAGACGCCGTTACAAGCACTATTTTCCAATTCGACTGACTTTACGCAAACAGCTGGCGTGACGTGTGTGACGTAAGTTTCGTAATGCAATGACTTCCCCCTCCTTTGACGTAACTTCCGTCAGTTAGTACTGCTGACCATAAAATGAACAGGCTCGTATGTGAAACACAAGTTTTGTAATCGACAAAGTCGACCAGGTTTGCCTGTGAGAGAAATGTTCAAAAAGAAAAAGAATAAAACCAAAGATGACATTTTGAATGTGCACAACGGTCATCAAAAAAGCCATTCCCCAAGGATTTTGTCAAATTCTTCGACCGTTTTAGATGACGAGAATGGCAATGACAGTGTAGATGGATTCGACCCCGAAGGGTTTGTTGACCTCAATCCTGAAGAGCATCAACCAAAGTTACTGGGGCCTAAACAAAGCTGCCAGGTATTTGGAATCTTCTTTTTTTTTACTGTAGTCACTAAATTCAACTTTCCTTTCATCACTGTTTTTAAAACAAAATGGGTTCTAAAACTGACAAGTCGGTTTAACACCTATCATATTCCGTCTTCCTCATCAATAAATATCAAAGTAATATTGTCAAAAATTGTTTCGTTGTTAAGTCGCCCAGTCGATGGTTGTCTTTTGCATGTTTTTACACGCTGATCTTACGAACTCGTCACAAGAGCAGAGCCAACAAGTGGTTATTCAATATTTGTGAAGATCAACATATAATCACACGCTTGAATCATCCATTCACCTAAGTGGTCTTTAAAAAAGCATTGAATTCTTACATGACCAATATAAAAAACTACTTAAGTGAATGCAAATTTTTTGGCAACGTTTTGTGTTTTGTTGATGGTGAATGTTAATGAAAGAGTGAAACTACTTGATTTCCTTTGATGCCTACAAAAAACTATACAACTACAAACACAATGCAATTTCCTTTGATACATGTTCCAACTATTAGTAAAAACTATACAACTACATACGAGTGAAACACAATGCAATGATACATGATTACAGACCGAATTGACGACACGAAGTTCTGTTACCAATTAATCATAACCTGAAACTATTTTTTGTCAAAACACAAGAAATTAGAAATGTCCAGCTTGTAATTAATACTACTGTCCTATTAAACTGTCCAATAAGGCTGAAAATCACAGTTTTGTTATAGGACTAGGACTGAGTGGAGTCCAATTCGGTCTGTAATCATATGAGTCATGAGCAAAATTGGTAGACCGCGTAGCGGGAGTCCAATTTGTTTAATCACGAGTATGATTGCAGACCAATTTGACGAAACAAAGTTCTTTTACCAATTAATCATAACTATAACAAAATTTCTGTTATTTTAGGCTTTTTTAAAGTTAAAACACAAGAAATTCTGAGAGGTTTTTTTTTTGCTAGCACTGAAAATTAAAAAGCCATTTAAGCACGCATGTGAGATGGTGTGTTCAGTCTAATTACAACCATGATGCATACTGTCCTATGATACTGTCCTATTAGTGCTGAAATCAGGACAGTTGATAGCCAATCGGATTTGAAAATTTTGTTTTGCTTTGTTTTGTAGTTTTTCAGTAGTCTTACTAATGACGGATATCAGATGAGTTTTTTTGTGCGTGATATCCAGCAAAGTGATAGGTCTCATTTAAAGTCACAGGCTAAAGCTAACAATATGTACAGAAGACCTCGCTGAAAATTCTGTGTAGAAACTTGCGCTCCATTTCACTACAGCTACCTTTCTTGGTTCCCGAACAGCTTTCCCAGGCCTAAACTTTCATTTTTCATTTCAATGGTGTAATTAAGACAAAAGCATCCAAATTGCATTGGCCACATGACAAGAATTTTTGAGGCCTAGGCAAAGTACATGTACACCATTTCTGCATTTTGTCTTAAAGCAATTCTCTGAGACATTGTCTGTTATAGGTCAAAATAAAATTAAGGTTAAAATGGTTTATCCTTGGTTGATTCTTTATGATTACTAGGGCTAGAAAACAGAGGAAATTAAAATTATTGGAAATCAATCTAATCAACTGTCTGATGAGCCAAACAAATGTGTACAAAACAGGCTAAATTTTTACTAAATTCATTTACTGGTTTTACTAATATAAACTGACTCTTTTTGAATTTCCTGTCTAAGAAAATGAGCCTAAACTCCTAAAATCATGTTTTCCCAAAAAACTGGGTTCAACGTGACCAAAACCTGTTATATGTTCCTGTAACTATTGTAAGTTGAATGACATTTTAATTTTCTTTTTATTCAAGTATATAGGAACATTTGCTGTCACCCTTAGTGGTTCATTTAAAGATGGTGAGACAACCTTAACTACACATAAGGAGAGAACAAGATTTGTGAAAAAGAAACTCAGAGAATATAGGGTAAGTTTTGATGTTCACTTGTCAGGCTCGGCATTCAAATTCTAGTCCAACCAATTCAGGTTTCACGATACTTTCATTGTGTAAACCTTTTGGTAAGTTTAAAACTTGCTAGAAGTACCCAGTTATGCTAATATCAGACTGGATAATTTTACAGCCAGTGCTTCCTGTTTACTAAGTTCTTCATGTTTACAGTGTTTTTGGATGGGTATTCATTTAACTTGCCTGTTCTTTCAGTCTGTAAAATTATTGCTTTGAATCTTTAAAAGTTTGTAATTCCAAAACAATGTTTGGAGTGAAATTTGTTGTTTCGCATTATTAAACAAAAGGGCTTTTGCTTTTTGTGTTGAAACTGACTCGACCACTGATTCAACCTAAACCACCTAAAACTTGTTAATTAATAAGTTGTGTTAACCTTTGCGTTGAATCCTTGGGCTCTCCACTAAAAGGCGCATGCCTAACATTTCATTGTATGTGTGAGCAACCAGGAACCTCCCTCTAACAGACAGTTCCTGCTGTTTAATAAATTTATTTATTAACTTCCTTGGTTCTATATTTGTAAATTTATTAGATACTGGTAATGACTACTTGTTTAACTGTCAGTGATGTTTATTCTCCAGGATGCAAAGAAAGGTGTTGGTGTTTTTCTACTAATTTCCAGTGATGGAATCAAAGTCATTTCTGCTGATGGACAGGTAAAATACTGGGCCGAGTTGTTCAAAGCTGGGTTAAGATAACCCAGGGTTAGTACAAGATTTGAAGTTAGATTTGAAAGCTTAAAATGCATTTCAGTTTTAATTTTTTTTATGTCTACAAGTTAATGGTTGGAAGCTCTAAAAAATAGCAGAGAAAATTATTCGAGAAAATGCTTTTGAACACAAGAAAAACAAACATGGGTAAAATCAGAAACCCATGAGGGGTTGAAACGTGTAACTCTCATATGTTTGCTTTGTCCGATGCTCGTGATTATTCATTTTCAAAAGTACCATATTTGGAACGAGAAGAAGAGATGACTGACCAATCAAACTTCGTAAACAACGTGACATAATTTCACTTCAGGTCAGTTCCCGCGCCCGCTTAAAAGAATGGCCGACAAACGGGGGAAAAACTCTCGAAAGCCGGGAAAGCTTTCAAAGGTTGAAACCAGGAATCTTACCAAAACACTGAGCAGGATATTATTGCCTTACCCCCAAGGCCAAACGTAACATTATGAAACCCATTGATGTCCTCACGATGTCTTGAAGTTGTCACTGCAAAAAACGATGCCTCGTTGACCCTCTGCACAGTAAACTTATACTGCAAATAGGCTTTTAAAATTTTTATATTAAAAGTCTAGAATGAACAGTAGAAAATATTTTCGAATAAAATTCATTAGCTGCGTATCGAAAAGTGTCCAAAAACTGAACCTGACATCTTCGCAAAAAGTGATGCGCGTAATGAATGTGAGTTCTAAGCATTTAAGCTTAAATTCAGCGTGGGTGTTGTAGTCACGATCGTGTTTTGAGCTAATTTTATGAATGAACAAACTCAAAACAATAGACAGAGAAGCCGTTTCTTGAAAATTTTTATTCAAAGTCCAAAAGTTAATCCTTTAAAGCAATTCGGAAAACACTATCTGGATTGTAGATCCGTTCACGCAAGTGAAATCGGCTGAGCACATGGCAAAATTAAACACAAAATCCATCTCAAATCGGGGCACATTTTGTAATTTTTCTTTAAAAATTTATAAAGCGTCTATGAAACATATAAAAATACTTAAATTCCCTTTCAAAAACGTAATTGTCTTGGCCATAGAGTGCAAAATGTACCTGAAAATTCAGCTAAAACTTAACTGCCCTGGTTGCATTTCAAAACAGACCAGAGATCCGTCGTGAAGAAAACAAGGTTGAATTCCTCGAAGGACGATTTTTTGATGAAAAGCTTCCCTTCCTCCACCAAAAGAAAGCTGAGCATTCTGCTGAACTTTCTCTTTCCATTTTTTTGTCTTTTAACGGTGTATTTTTAAGCCTGAAATGCAGAACTCTTGTCTTAAAACATCTGCATGGTGATCGCGCGGCAGCCATTTGTTTAAAATGGATATCTGTCACCAAGGTTTCCAAATATGGTAAAAGTGAATGTTCACGAGCATTGAACGCGAGTTACACGTTTCAACCCCTTATGAGTTTCTGGTAAAATTTAATCCGGGGTTAAGTGCTAATCGGCCTTTGAACAACTGGGCCATGGTTGGTTCTTCTAACATATTCCACGGGCAATAAGTTAGTCATGAGTCACAGCCAGCTCAGATTTGGCAGAAGATGCTCAACCTGGGGTGGTAGGAACTGGTAGCCTGAGTTTCAGATGATTACTGAGTCGTTTTTACTCCCTCTGCAAGGGAGTAAAAACGACTCCAAGTAATCATCTGAAATTCAGGCTAGGGAACTGGTAGCCTGTTAATACAGTCATCTCTTCTCACTCTTTTCACTAGGGACATTTTGCAGTCAGGAGTGGGGGGTGGGGGAGAGAGCTGTATTTGTAGGCCACTTAAATAAAAGTGATTAGGATGGTCTTCGTACATTTACTTTTCAAAAGAGGGTTGGCTCTTATCATTTTGGCTGTTGAATTTTCTCCAGAAGTTACCATTGTTTATTGTAAGAATGATGATGAAAATGATAGTAATCTGGATATGATTTCCTCATGGAAAGTTGTTTTAATTTCAGCGTGTTAGAATGGCTCATGCATTGCAAAGAATTTCCTTTGCCACATGTGATCCCGAATTCAGACTCTTTGCCTACATGTCACACAATCCTTCTCCAATGGGGACAGCCATTCATTGCCATGTGTTCATGACAAAATATATAAGACAGGTGAGAGCATTGTAACACTTTTATGAAATCTTGGGAGTGAAGATAGGGAGCAGAAAATACAAGGAAATTGTGGCATAGTGGCTTTAAGAGAAAGGTGCGTGACTTGAGCATTAAAGCATTTACTGTAACAGGTCATTGCATGACATGTAGTGTGATACTGTATGCTGCCTTCCAAATTTGTTTCTTGCATATTTGGGCACGAGAGAACATGACAGCGAATGTGGTAAGTGTGTGAAGTGCGAAGCAATCAGAATGAAAACAGTCTTATTATGGCAGTATGTTTTACATGTGTATTCGTTGAACCCACGGGGTGTAGCATTACCTTCTGCAACATGTATTGATCATATGGAGGTTATGCTTCAGACCAGGTCATTGCTGTAACAAATATTGCACTTTCGGACTGTTTTGGGGATGAATTTTAACTCAGTCTCCTGCACAACGTCATAAGGAGCCCCATAGTACAATTCATGACAACACTGACCCAGTCTCACTTTAACCTCAAAATGTCCAATAGTAGAACACTGCCTTACAAGCACTCCATTTATATGACATCCCTGTCATTGGAACCACTTTTTTCTGCCTTGTTCATTTGGCTAAGTTGTTGTTATTGCAGAATTTTTAGGGCTGTTGAGTACCCACATTTGTTGTACTGAAAGAGTATCATTGCTTGCAACTTATAATTTACAATAACTGTTGTCGTCGGTATTTCAGTTTGTATACACGGGGTGAAGGACTTTTAACCCGTTTGCTGAAGTGAAATGTTTTAACAGATGGATACATTTGCTGTAGAGTTAAAAGGTTTCCATTTAAGTAACTTTAAATTTATTCTTGTAGTTCTTTCTTGGCAAAGCATCACTTAATGGCATGGTAGTAGAGATGATTATTAAAGTGATGGTCTTTTCTTGTGATGTGATCGGTGGATAAATTAGATATCCTGTTTTGTTTTCGTTTACTTACTAGGTACAAAGTTTGACAGCTATGATTGGCAAGGCATTTCAACTTGCATTTGCAGATTCAAAGTTTCCAAAAGGAACAGAGCTTAAGATGGAACCAGTATCCGAAATGGTTTCTGATGAAAGGGTGGTCCAGGGTAGGAGATGGGTGAGTGTGGGGGCATGTTTCTGCTCTTTCTATTGACAGCATTTGCTACTTTTTTCACTGATCTGTATACCTTAAGAGTGCAACTATTAAAGGTTCCGTTTTGGGTGTTGTAATTCATTACTTTCAATGTTTATTTCAGGCAAAGCTAGAGGCTCGGCAAGGGCATGAACATTCACAGCACGCCATTGTGGCTAAAATGAAAAAGCATCAGGAGAAGTCGCATGGTAAAAGTCCAAGCACCTCACAAGAGCAATCCATGCCCTCAGCACCATCTGTACAACCATCAACGTCTTCTCAGGGATCGCCGTTTGGAAGAAGACGGTCCTTTGGCAAGGCTCGTACTCCTCCTGAGGTGCGGCGATCAGATCTTGCACAAAGGAATCTTGGTGGTAATGAACAAAGGACAAATCTATCAGATGATGTGGTGACAGATGCAGTTACTGATGGAAGCCCGGAAATTGTAAGAAAACGTGTGGGAACTCCCGGAGCCTCTCAATTGCAGCCAGAAGACAGGAAAATAAGTGCACCAGCAACCATTTTACAAGATTCTCAAAAAACCCCACAAGAGCAAAACGTTCATGTTCGGCACGAGAAGGAGCGTCCTTTATCTTCAGAAGGGCATATTGTTCGAGGGCGTTCCCAGACTCCCCCACCATCAAGAAGTGACGAAAAGTCACCATCTGTTATTGTAACTAACCAGCAGAATTTGATGTCTCCAATCGCAAAGTCCTCCTCAGACCCAAATCTAGTGACAAAGGGAGGCAGTACACACAAAACTGTGTCCAAACGTAACAGTCATGAGAATGAAGACTGGTATATGCCTGGAATACCAAGGTCAGTTACCTTATGATTTAAATTACAGTTAATCCAAGTTAGTCCAAAGTAAACATATTGCCCCAGAATATAGAATGTTGTGGGTGCACTCAGCAAGCCTAAGGGTAAGACAGCCTCTAATAGCGTGTGCACTGGAATATGCTCCGTGCCTATCCCAAGAAACTTTTTTTTTGTAGTATCTTTCCCAATTAAGTTTTCTTCAGGTACTTGATCTTTGCTCTTTTTAGATCACGGCCCTCCACCAACTCTTGACATTGTTGCAAAATAGTAACATTCCAGGAAAATTCTGGCACTCACAACTGACTTTTTGAATAACAAACTTTTATTTGTGCATGAAACTTTAAGTGTTGTCCACGTTTCTAAAAAGGTATGACCGCACAGATTTCTTCAGCGATAGATAATCACGTTGGTAATGAAACAACATTTTTATTATGTGTCTCTTTTACTGGATCCTGATAGCCCTCGTGTTCTTTTGTCACATCCCCTTATTTATAATAATAAATATTGAAATATTGATCTTTTTAGGGAGTTTGTAACTGAGATGCTAGAGAAGGCAGAGGAGGGGACATTTTTTGTGCGTGACAGTCAAAGTCGGCCTGGTTGCTATGCTCTGACCATGCGCGTTCCTCAAGAAACCAGTCCCAGTGGATTTGGAAACTTTCTGATTGTTAAAGTCAAAGATGGCGTCATGATACAGGTTAGCACAAATCAAGTGAGTTACACACGTGTTATTATCTAGAGAAGCCCTCCCTCTTATAAAGCTGTGTAAGTAAAGAATTAGGCTCTGAGGGTCTCCTGGCCATTCTTTTTTTGTTTGTCTGTGTTTGTGTTTGTTTTTTGTCTTTTGCGTTTTTTTTAACGCGGTAAGATTAGCTCAGTTGGTAGAGCACTTGACTGCAGAGCGGGAGGTCGCGGGTTCGGTTCCCAGGGCTGGATCAATACTCAGGATCTTAAAATAACTAAGAAATGAAGGTACTGCCTTTCCCTGCAAGAGGCTTAGACCTTCACTTGACTCGGATGACCACCTTAAATAGCGGTCCCGTGTCCAGTTGGAGACGTAAAAAATAGTGTCCCCCGATTAACACTCTCGTTTGTCACTCAAGAAAGTACTTTTTTTCTTCATTTCTGGTCAAAAATTGAAATGTCTAACTGATGACCGCTATCCTAGATGTTTATGTCCTACTTTTATTTCTCGTTCCAACAGGGTTTTGATAAGGTCTTAACAGATTTGACATCCTTGGTTGAACATTACTCGCAGCATGCAGATGGTCTTCCATGTAAGCTGCTGCTTGGTGGTTCTAATGTGTTGTGTGAGGATGAAGACTACATAAGTATGGTTCCTAATGACCCGGACTATCAGAATCTGTCAGATTTCACTGCCATGATGGCTGAACTGAATTAAACCAGAACCACCGTATAATGCATAACTATGCCAAGGTATTGACCAAAAGAAATTTGGTTGTAGATACCTTACGTGAGAACGGAAAGGCAGCTCGGGATAGTCCTTTCTTTCATATGCCAAATAATGTAACACTACTGCACTTTAGGTTTTCATCCAAAGTCAAAACAAAAAAAAAGCACTCACGTAAAGTACTGCCCAGTAGCGTTTACTTCAACCGTGACACTAGGATTTTATATGCTGGCTTAGCGTGGCCAGGCTGTTAGATATAAGGGACATTGCGAAAGTAAACCCCCGCGAGTTTTTTTGCCCTCTTTTTAATGCACGACTGCACTGCTATCTTGGAGCCCTGAACAGGCTACCGCAGACTCAAAAGATAGAACCACCTTGCGCATTGTAATATGCCGTGAACGCCCTGTACAGCTCCGTTTGAAAGTACTGGTTAACAGCTTCGTTTCTGATTGGCCGAGCCAGGACATAACGAGATCAGTCAAAGTTTTTAGAAGGTCAGGGTTTATAATGATAGAACTGAACGTTGGCACTGAAGTGATCAGAATTCGTATTTATCGTCACCCGTTTGCTTTATTTTAACAGCAAGGGGGAAAATTAGGTATTTATTACAGCCCACATCATCTTTTCACCTTCTACTAAAGTGTTTATTACAAAAATATTGATGTTACATGTGCAGGATCATTATATCTTTCTGGGAAACTGCCCACCTACCCCTCCCCTAAGGCAACATTGATAATTACTTCTCACTTAAGGCAAAATGTTAGCTTACGGGAGGGGTAGGTGGGCAGTTTCCCACAAAGGTAAAATGATTACATTTGCATGCAAGGGCTCGGCAAATTATCAGGGAAGAGTTTTCTAGTACATTCTGTGTAAAATAAATGCAAAAGCAAGCGAGAGTATTTCCGAAAAGTAGGCTGTGTACAGACCGCCCACTCCCCTTCCCTCAGGAAAAATCTCAGGGGAGGAGGTGGCTGTACACGGGCTACCGAAAAGCTTCGGTATCAATTTTGACCTTGACTTTTGCTAAACGCATTTTAATTGGTTTTACAAAAAGTTAGACTGTTTTCCTTTTATTAGAATCAAAATGAATTGCAAGTCTTCCTTGGCAGTGTGAATAGAAAAAATGTTAATGAGATCTTATTTTTGTCAGTTAAAAATATTTTCATCTTTCTCTATTACACTACCAAGAAAAAACTTGTCGCAGATAACACACAAATTAGCTTTTTTACTTCTGAACTGTGCAAAAATATTTGTCTTGTGTGATTTGCCAGGGGTGTATCTTTCTTTAAAACCACCCTTTTGAAAAATATCTTCCTCGAATTGAATATTTAATATAATTTATTATAGCTTAAATGTCTGCACTTCTCACCACGGATACCATGGCAAGGAGAAGAGAACTGACATTGGAATTAGTATAATATTCGGCTGTGTATGAATTTTAATAAGAATTTCCGCCAGTTTCATGATAATTTATCAAGTTGAATCCTTAATATAATATCCTTACGTAATGTACAGGACCAGTTGTGAAGATGATGAATTGTAAATGTGAGAGTGATTTACGTGGTGAATGTAAACATGGTTTATTCTGAATATAAAACTAGTTTTGGTTTACTGAGAAATATTTCGAAATACTGAATGTTGTACCAATGTCTGGGCTCAATTAGCGGCGGGCTTTTGGGAAACAATCCCTAACTGAAAGTTGCACCGATAATCTTTGGGGGGCTGGAGCCTAGTTTGTCTCAGAATATTTGTAATAAAAGTGAACATAGACGTTTTTGTGTTCTAATCTTATTTCTCTTGTTAAAAACCAAACAATAACAGACAATCATTAATTAATTCAAATTCGCATAAAAACCACGATGGATCAAGATGGGTGATTGTAAGGCGCACAGCCAGCTGAAGAAAGTAATTTTCTGACGTCGCCGCAGCGGATTAGGGTGGAGAAACTAAAATACTGTTAAGTCCAGAAGTCATGCGACAGCTTTAAGTATTTTGCGAGATTAAGACTCAAACCGAGGGAACACTTCTATTGTCATTTCCACGCTTCCAATTTCAGCGTCACATTTAATCATCTATCAAACAAGCTCAGTAGTCCACTGTTACTAGAGGACTGAAAGAGCTATTTGAACCGGAAACCCTTTGCAGATATTCCTTCCCCCTCTGTATATCCGTAACAAGGCAAGAATAACAAAGTGAAACAGATTTGGGATGACCCACACGCAAGAGAGGGAGCCTCGAGGGGGTGGCGTTCTCGCAGCCGCGCCTTATACTACTTTCACGCTCGCAACGTGCAAAGTAACGCTTTCATCATTGGATCAAACGGATCTCCCTCGCCTCGCATGCGACTTCCCCAAAGCTGTCCTTCCCGATACAAGCATGACATCACGTGTTTACCCCAGGCCGCTCTTTTCCAGATACAAGAAACAACTGCTAGTCCAGGGGAATGTATGAACAGCGCACTTTTGAACCCCTGTAAGTCTTTTTCGTCGGAAGTTAAAATGATACCACAAGATTGCACCAAATGAGTTTATTACAACATATTTTCACCATAAAAATAGTAAGCAATTTCCAAGTTGAGTACAAATACAAGACCATAGATGAAACTACTTATCTACCCGTGTTACACTACCTATCTACCCGAGCAACGGTTCAATCTGCGAATTATAACTACTGGATAATTTCTAATTTGATTTTATAAGATGCCAGCACCTTTCAATATTTCCTATCGCTTCACAGAGAGGCCCATCCAAAGTGATTTTAATTCTCTTTGATCAAAACCTGACTGCCACAACAAAAATGTTTTAACGTACGCGAAAACTCATCATCAACTTAATGTTAAGGCTATTTTGTTTGCCATGTTTCAGCTAGTTTACTTGGATAACTAAAAGGCGAAAAAAAATGCAACCCAGTTCGATTTTTATTTATTGGTCCCGGATGTTTTTACAAGAAGACTAGCTAAACTGGATGATGAAATCAATAGAGTCGAATGATCTACATTTAGCCTGTGTACAGACGTCTCCCAGGGTACAGGGGGGACGTCTGTACACAGGCTATCTACATTAAGCTAGACGTATCTATTCCTGACCAAAATACCAATCGTCAGAAAACGTTAATTCGGACAAACTTAGTAGATTCATATATTTTTGTACTTATAAAATCCAGCATTCACTTACGTATAGGATTTACCTTTCACTTAGTATATATATGGAAAAAATTACTTTACATATAAATTATCACTTCATTTACTCGCCGTTTATTCTTGTGCATTCCCCATACCCAAGACTATCTATATAAGCACTACACAAAAAACTTATAATATTTGTGATGCAATTTTGCACTTCATTTTAACTTAATTTTTATGCACCCATTTTCAATGCAACATCTTTCAGCTTTCAACTATGCCGACAAATTCTAAAGTACAACGCTTCTAACGAAAAGTGATGAAAGGTCTTTCAGCTGGGGTATTGTATATTCATGATGTTTTACTTTAAACTAAAGACTGTTTTTCAAATTTTGGAACTTTGTCAATGCTGTGATTTGATATGCGTTTTCACTAAAAAAGTAAGTATGTAACAGTGTGCGTATCGCGAAAGAAATCTGACCTATAGTGTGACTGAAACAATCATTATACGCATTCCTCTGAGGACATTAACAAGGGATTAATGTATTCAAATCCTTCAAACTCTGATTGGTCGATAGTCTCCAGGATTTTCCTGTCGCAAAAAAATGAAAGAAAGAACTGTTAATATCCATATAAATAACAGTAACGCTGTTCATTGGCACAAACATGTTGTAAGGGCAAATTCTAACAGTAGAGACCTTTAGAGTCAAAGACAAGTACGAGTACGAGATTTTTTCAGTACTAAGTAGCGTACGCGCGTGAACCAGCTTCATTTTGGCGGGAAAACATGGTAGCCGTCGTCATTCTACTACGAGTTTTAGCGAGAATGTCGAAGTGAAGGAAACAAGTTATCAGATGTTAGAAGTTTTATCATTTTGCGATCTGGAGAGGGTGTAACCTCCTTCACTAAAGGTAACAGTGCGAACTTTTCTGGTGAAAAATGGTAAACTGAAGCTTTCCGGGGAGTCTATATTTTGAGAATACGCGAAAAAACTTTAATTCAAATCTCGTACTCGTTGAAGTTCTCGTCTTAGAATCTAAAGCTTTCCAATTCCCCTGTTTTGAAACGAGAAAGAACTGGGCAGAGTAAACTTTCGCAAAGACTTCTGGGACCGTTTTTAGAGACAGGGAAAAAATGGCTAATGGCTGACAGGCGCGTCCCCAGGGAGTATCGATCCCAGAAGCATTTGCGGGGCATATTTCGGCTCCAGTCCCCTTCTCGTCTCTGAACTGGCAAATGAATGTAAGTGTGAAAAACAATGTTAACTTACGGGTCATCTGGAGTTAATACCACGGGTTCGTTTGTAAACTGTGGATCAAAATTACCCAGTCCGTATTGATCTTCAATCCGGGGCTTGAACGGAGGAGGAACTTGACGGGCTTCCAACTAGGGAGGTAAAAAGAGAAAAATAAGTTCAGATGTATAGAATGAGGTTCGTGACGTTTGTTAGTTGTTGTCATGGTCTGTGGTGCTGTCGATTTCGATATTTAAGACCTGCAGCCTATCTAAATGGCCACTGGACTTAGGGAAACCGGAAGAGTGAGAAAGTGAGCTGCTGCTGAAAAACTCAAAACTGTAAGGTCCCAGGAGCGACCAATATCAATTTTCTCCAAACATTACCAATGCATTATCAAGAGAAAAAGTTATGAGAATTAAAAAAATGATCAGCAAAGGGAAAATGCCGTCTTTTAAAAAAATTCTCCTAACTTATTCTTTATGGAAATATAGGGAGATCAGTATGGATAATTTGTATGTTGATATTGAGGCTTAAAGAGTTAAAGCGAGTCTTGTTACGCGCCTTCACCCACCTGTTCCCAATCGACTGTCCGGAAAAATACATGTGTCGTTATATCTGCAAATCCTGTTTGAGGATGACAGCCCAGACGCTCAATGGGATTCTAATAACAAAATGCAAGCAAACGTAAAAAAATAAACTTTAACAAGATTGAATAAATTTCTTCCCATAAAAATCACGCCAAAAAAAAAACAACGTTTGCATGATATATAATAGACTTAGAGAAAAAAAGTTACATTTTTCCTTGTCGCCACATAGCATACAAAAAATACAGCGCTGAAAGAAAACCGCAACATGTGTTCGAGTCTTTCGGGAAAAAAAAACCCTTAAACGCTTTCTGGCTAATTACGTCGTAGTTTAGTCAGATCATTTTTCGATGCAAGGAAAAGAGAGGTGATGCAAAAACCACATTACCAATCGCAAAAATGGCGAGACGAGAACATGGCAATGAGGTAATTTGGGCCTTCATTGGATTTATTAAAAAAAATACCAGGTCGCCTTCTTAAAGAGTCTCTAACCAGTAAACTGAATGAAGCTATCCCCTCACCTTGTTAAGGTAACCTTTGAGTATTGATGCTGCCTTTACAGACAAAGACCTAGGAATTCTTATCGGCTTTTCTAGAATAACTGGATATAACAACGCAAAATCGTTATTAGTTCCAATAACTCTTCAGCCGAGAAATAGTTATACTCTGGATATTAACTAGTGCAACTAAAGAATAGGGAGCCGATTATTTACACAATGCTTAAACCAGTGTTAAGAACATCAGTGCCTTAACCAGGGCTTTGAAACTTTGGTTACATAAACGAAATTTATTTTGAACAAAATTGCGGGTTAAACCAGTTATAGGTAGGATTAGTACTCGTTCAAGAATCATTTTACATGCATATGGATAAAAAAGGTAGATATAGTCAGAAGTTGTGTACAGGATCAAGCGGCGTGGTGCATGGTTGCAGAATCGGGTAATAAATTGGGCAGATAGAAGGATTTGAATCTAATTATCAAAAAAAATCTTTGAAAAACGCTTTGATGTTGGGATGCTACAGAATTCCAGTTTGCCATTGCAATGTTAACATGATGGGAAACGCATTACTTTTACACCTAAACCCCCACAGAGCACCAAAATTCCCACGTGACACAACCAACAGAGCGATGTAAACCCACACTTGTACCCAGTGACCTCCCTCGTCACTAGGGACGCATGCGTAACGGTGCGAAGAACGCGCTCCTCCTTCCCATAATCCCCTGCACTCACATCTCTCGTGACAGCGAGACGAAAGAGACCCGAGTTAGACACAAACCTTGAAAGAGGTAATCCTCTGTGTTTTGATCTGGATTTTCTGCGCCTCCTACCACATCAAATGGTGACCGTCCTGCTAACATTTCGAACATCAAAACACCAAGAGCCCACCAGTCTACACTGAATCCTGGAGAAAAAAAAAGATCGATCTTAATAATATAAAAAAAGAAATTCACAAAACAAACAAACAAAGAATAAAACACTTGATAAATAAAGAAAGATGTTAAATTAAGCTCAGCAACGCGATGAGAGAGTTTATGGAACAAACGAGAGACCACAAAGTCTTCCATTAAAGAAGCTTGAAGATCTAATACCTTTTAAATTTATTTATGACTATATATTCAAGACCCTTTCACCACTCCTGATACAAGCGGTAGGAAGGACGCATATCACAAATGGAACGAGTTAAGGGCGTGACATTTACCCCTTAAAGCCCCGAATATCAACACACAATTTCTCCAAACTGATCTCCATCTATTTCCAAAAAGAATAAGTTAGGAGAATTTGATAACAAATCAAAGCATTTTCTCTCCAGTGATCATTTTATTGATTCTCATAACCTCTACTCTTGATTATGTATCGATACTGTTTGGAGAAAATTGATATTGGTCACTCCTGGGATTTTAAGAGTTGAGCTTTTCAGCAGCTCACTCTTTCGGTTCCGGTTAGTCCAAAAGATCGTGTTTTCAGCTAAAAAAAACCGTCAGGAAATAAGATTTTTCTGTCTTACGCTTGTACCACGATCTGAACATAACATCACTCTCAAATTCTAGGGTTCTACAAGTACCCACAAGGTAAAACGTTAATCGAAAAAAGAAAACACAGTTTGAAGTGAAATGAACATAGTAAAGAACTAATCTGGTTCCTTATATGCGCGTGACTAAGCAAACACGTTCTTACCGTAATCTTCGCCTCTAAGAATCTCGGGTGCAATGTAATTAGGTGTTCCACAAAATGTGCTGGTTGTGTCGCCAGGGCGGAGACCTTCCTGTCATAATCACGGGAAAATGCAGTTAAAAATGAAAGCGAAGGTACTTAAGAAGGAACGTTTTTATTATGATGATGAAAAAGAGTCACTTACTTTGCACATTCCATAATCTGTCAGTTTCACGTGTCCATCTGAGTCTAGCAGAACGTTATCAAGTTTCAGATCACGATATATCACACCTGTAAACCGCAAAAAAGCAATGTGGATGAATGAAAATTTCGCGTCATTTCCAGACGAGTCCAAAAGTGCGCGATCGTAAACAGATCTCTTCGGAAACGGACTCCACAGAAAATTAATGAGGTTATGTTCACATTTGGTGCCCGAACACAAGTTCCTGGATACAAGTGTTGTGTTCACTTCTCATTCGAAATGTTATTGTGTACATCTTGGCTCAATTTTTCTCTGACAGACGCCATTGTGAAACGTGAGCGTTGTGAGATTGGGACTGCCTCGGAATTAACAGAAAACGCGCGCACACAGGGACTTGGTGCCCACTTTTCTTTCACGATACCGGCCATTTTTGCCGCGCTTTAGGATTAATAGGATAAAAGCAATGTCACGTGTTATTTCAGGGGGCAAACAAAAGATAGCTTGCCAATGCTAGAAATCGCGGTCGACTTTGTTTATTCTCTCAAAACGAAACGACGATTTAATGGTCATACAAAATGTAGGGTTTGAGTTTCGACAAAATTAACGTCAGTATTCCTTGCTGTGACGACCTCTACGGTCGCTGCTGCAACCAAAAAAAGTACAAATGATCACTTCCACCCATAATTTGCCATTATCGTCTTTAATGTAAAAAGTTAATTTTCCGTTGTCAAGAATAAACAAACTCGACCGCGATTTCTTGTATTGGCAAAATTTATCACTTGTTTGCCTCCTGAGAAGCCACGTGACATCGTTTTTAATCCCATCAGTCCTCAAGCGCGTGCAAAGATGGCGGGCATCGTGAATAAGGTCTATTCTGGTGTGGGTACTTTAACAAAGGTTGTGTTTACGTCGAGCTGCCAGGGCAACAAGTGTAAACACTGGCTAAGTTCCCAAAAAGATAAGTCCTGATTGTTCAAGCGTGGACACTCATAAAAATCATAAGTTTCTGTGCGTTAGCCTGCGTAGCGGGTGTTATTATGTGGGTGCGAGATTAAAGCGTTTGCAAACTCTAACGGACATGTGTGGCCTCACTTGACGTTAAATCTCAAGCATTTTTATTTGATGTCTTAATGTGTAACAAATTTACCTTTTTCATGTAAAAAATTGAGGGCACAGGATATTTCAGCTGAGTAAAACCTAAAAATGCAAGAAAAACATTATTGGCAAACGATATCTGTTAACGCTTCTTTTAAGATAAGTATGCTTTTGGGCTACCAGACTATGAGATGTACCATAGTTGAGACAGAATAAAACGTGGCTCTTCAAAGTAATTCAATACCTTGCATGGTCTTCAGGTAACCGTCGCTGCCTTTGCATGTGATACATAAGATCACCACCACTGACAAACTCTATCACAAAAAATAACCTACAAACAAACAAAAAACATATAAAAAGTCTGAGGTTACGAAGTAAAGCTCTCAGGCGGCCATAATAGTTCTACTAATAGACTTTTGCTAAGCTTACCTTAAGTATCCTATGGATATAACTGGCAAAATTGATACAATGCCATGCTAGTGGTTTGATTACAAATGGGTAATATCACCCTCTACGCCCTAATAGTGATCAGCATGAAACTTCTCCTTATAATACCCTATTTATTCGATTAACCGCCCTGGACACTTATTAAATTTTCACCATTATCAGCAATTAGTGTAGTATTTTTATTTTTGCAAGAAAACAGTAAATGCCAGTAACAAAACGTGAAGAAGTAACAAAGCAAGGTTTCTGTAAAATACTCGGAAGAACACTCCGTCTTCGGGGAAGTCTCTTATTAGTACTTATTCAATTTCAATTTCAATCTCATTATCACTAAAGTAGATGGGGTGGGGGTGGGCGCTAATTGAGTTTGATTGGGAGGGGGAGTGGGTGGGGTGGGCGCTTATTCGAGGCTGGGTGCTTATTAACTTTTTCTGCCTTTAGGATGGGCGCTTATTCGAGGTGGGTGCTAATTCAAGGTTGGGCGCTTATTCAAATAAATACGGTATCAATGCTTTAATTATTATAAAATAAAGTGGTCAAGAGAAATAAGGACATGATCAGAGAAGATGAATCTTATTGATATTTCAACAAATTCTCCCTGCTAATTCTATTGAAAACTTATAGGGACAACAAATGAGACGTTGGATTGGGTCTAAAGGGGTAAATACCTGCTTGCTGTTTGAAAACATGAATGGAGTCCGACTAAAAATGGATGATTTGATGCTTGTTCAAAAACGTGCTTCTCTGTTTGTACCCAGTCAATATCCTAAGAAAAAAGAGACAACTAATACTTTAAATAATGAAGAAAAAAGCAAAGCTGATGATTTCAACAGAAGATAATGTGGTAAAAGACCCTTCCGAGTTTTTTCCAAGTTTTGTTAAGGACCAGTTTGCAAAAAAACATTAACAGCACTGGAAAGAGCACCTCAAAATTACCAGACTTGTCAAGTTTGAAGGTGATACATTTGAAGAAAGCAAAGATATAGTTTGGCGCAGTAATGAAATTTTGCAGGCATTTGTATGGGGGTGGAGGGGAGGTACCAACCTACAAACTTGACCACATCCACAATTTCACTTCCAAGGATTAGGTTCATGCTATTTACTAGGAAACCAGGACACTCACAGCTTGAGGAGCTGAAGTACTCTATTTAATTTTTTTTTTTATGTCACGTTAGCAGATATTAAACTAACCTCATCATCGTTAACAAGTTCTTTCTTGACAACTTTCATGGCATATATTCTTTTGTTTTTCTTTAACTCCACCTAAAAGTAAGGGAACAAACATTGGTATAAACATTAAATGCTGGTCTGATACTTAAACATTTTGCAACAGGCACCTAAAAGGAGCTTACAAACAAACAAAAGTAAGCATTAATACATTTTTGGTGTTATAATATTGTTGTGTACATGTGTGTATGTAAAATATACTCTTATGGTTAAGATGATGATTTCCTTAAGGTAAGAAAAAATATACTTATTGTGAAAGGAAATTCTGAGTCAAGCAAAATTTGACTACTGGTTTAACTGAACCACACAATTTGTCCACAATGCATATCATAATTATTAAAAGGTGCAAAGCAAACTACTTGAAGGCAACAGAGGAAGACTAGAACACAACACACCACAATAACCAACAATACATCTATCCCAATATACCAACTCAAGAACTCACCAACAATACTTTAGCATAACTGCCTCTCCCAATGACTCTAAGGAGAGTGAAATCTTTCAAGGAAATTAAGAAACTGCTTCCAGAAGATGCTTCCTTTGGTTTGGAACCTTGACTGTAATCCACGCTGACAATGCCACGTTTACGAGTCGCAGGACTGTCACTTCTTGCTACAAAGTACATTGAAAAGAAGAACTTGAAATGGAATCTTTCCAGAGTTTTAGGCTTGCGGTAAACCTACCCTGACTTGCATTAACCCTTTAAGCCTCATACCCACATACAAATTCTCCACACTTATCTCCATACCTTCTACAAGAATCAGTTGAGAGAATTTGATAACACATCGATGCATTTTCCTTTTGGTGATCATTTCATTAATTCTCACAACCTTTTCTCTTGATTGTGTCGTGACATTGTTAGGAGAAATTTGATGTTGGTCACTGTTGGAACTTACAGAATTAATTGAACTGTTATTATCTGCCAATTATGTTGGTGTGTACAGTATTGGTCACAGTTTTCAATACTAATAATGTCACAACAACGTAAAATCAACCTAGGTTAAATCAAATTAACCTGAAATCAAATTTGACCTGTAACATAATTATACAATGAATCTCTTTATAAGTGCAGTGACTGTCATCCTGTAAATTGTTTGCAACAAAAACAGAAAGAACATTAATTCTACACCATTCTCACAATAGTTGAATGACTAGCACACAAACAGTAATAATCATTATGTGCCACTATCAGGAATAGAGCTGCCTGCTCTCCATGCCCAATGTTCAGCCATAACACAAAGTATGGAGCTGGCCTGCACTACTAAAAAGGTGCTTAGTACAATACATGTGCATCTTCCTTTTTTTTTTCTTTGGGCAAAGGTGAAAGTCAAAGCAAAAATGCAGTCAGCTGTTCAAGTAGGTCAGGGCCATAGTATAATAGTGTGGTTTTAGTGAACATGAAAAAAGCTTAGTTCTGCCATTTTTTGAAAAATGTTTAACAACCTCTTATTCTTAGTAAATAAATCACTTATAATAATTTTCTTCAGTCTAAAGAGATGCTGGTTTTATTTTGCTCTGTCGTAAAAAATACTCCTTTTGTGAAACAGAAATTTTCTTTTGTCTGTCCCCAAATGATTATTTGAGGAAATTTAAACACAAGTTCTGTTTATGGAAGCTGAGGTATCTGACTATTCTCAATATAATATGAATAAGGTAGTTAATTAAAATTAAATCTGTTTACAAACATTTTCTTATATCTTGCTCTTTGTCCATATACAATAATAAGTAACTACAAATATAGCTACTGCTTTCATAATAGTCAGTTAAATTATTTGTTAGTTGAATATTACTACAAAAAGGAACGGTATCTTATTAGTTGGATTAAGTTAGCCGCCACCCGGTTAGCTCAATGGGATAAGCACCAGTCGGCTGAGCGGGAGACCGTAGGTTCAAACCCCAGCAGGACCAAAACTCAGGGTCTTTAAATAACTGAGGAGAAAGTGCTGTTTGTAATAACATCTGCAAACGGTTTGACTTTCTAGTCTTCTCGGATAAGGATGATAAACTGTAGGCCCCGTCTCACAAGCCCCTGCACATGTAATAAATTTTTGGGATGTTAAAGAACCCACACACTCTTCGTAAAGAGTAGGGCACGTAGTGCCCGGTGTAGTGGTCTATCTCACTTTCACACTCATGTATGGGGGCATCACGTATCACTACTCATTCCTTCATTACTTATAAACTGCATGTTAAGCACTCTGGCAAAGTCCCCCAACCCGTGTTGTAAATTATCCCTAAAAAGCCCTGAGGGGAGTGGATAATATCCTATTTACATTTACATTTACAAGTTGTTGCTATCTTTATAATTTCTGTTATATCTTTTACATTTTCTTTTCATTTGCATATCAATGTTATGTTTATTAGTATGTAAGTTGCTATTAAAGTTAGTTGCGCAGTTAGTTAGTTGGTTGGTTAAGTTTAGTTACTTTATAGTAAGTTAGTTAGTTTAGTATTTTTTATTATTAGGCACTTAATGCTAAAGCTATTGATTTTGCATACTAAAATAAACTAAATATTTTACCTATTAACAATCAAAAGTGGCAAAATAAATATTAGTGTTAAGACACTTGCACTTAAATCTCTACTTGTTTTTTATGCACAATTTTTAAAACTTCTGCTGTTTAATTACTATTACTTAAGACATTACTTAAGTTTAATAATATTTTCTTATTGTAATTTATACGATAAACTTACTTCGCTTGGGGCCTGGGGCCTCCTCTGCTGGGGGTATTTTTGTACCAACTGCCCCAATAGGGGGTAGGGATGAGTGCATTGTTTGCGAAGCAGCAGGCTATAAAGGAATCGTCATTCAGGTTAGGAGATGAAAGAAAAATATGAAAGAGGATCACCAACTTACATGTACTTACTATTTGCTGTCCACATTGGATCTTGATTAATTTGTGACATTTTTTATGTACCACCAGTTTGCATGTTAGACATTTATAGCCCTGCAAACAATAACAAAGCATAAACAAAAAAAACACAAATCAAATGAAAATTATTTCAATGACTGTTTGAAATTTCCTTAGACATAATCAACTTCAAATGGACAAGTCAACATTATCTGGAGGATTGTCTTAAAAATCTTTAATTTTCAAGGCTTATTTTATTCGCCTACTACCCAATAAAAAAGTTCTCTAAAAAAATTGCTGGTCTCTTCCACTCACAAAAAATGTTAAGTTCAGCCACTAGAAATATGGTCACTGATAAAATTTCCATATTCATGAATGTAACCATCCTACAGATTTAATCTTAGATAATAAATAAGCTAACTTACAATCAAGGTCATAGCTAAGTTATACTTAACACTGTTACTGACATGTCGCACATGTCTGTCACACCATACCTGCCTTCCAAGACCCCATATTCTATCTGAGCAAAATGAACATGCCGCAAGCTATAAAATAAAGAATAAACAAACATAAAAACAAAGAAGTCACTTACATCACTCGGTAACATGCCAAAACTCAGAGTAATGGTTAAATCTCTTCATTTCCTGTCATGTCTGGTATAAGAATCACCAAAGGACAAACTACCTGTAGTTTTTTTAAGTGCACTTAATGATTACATGTATTCCAGAACAGTACAAGTATCCCTTGAAAATTGTCTTAAATAATTTCCAAATTAAAACAACTCACTCTGCTAAATCTTTTTGCCACAAAGGAATGGCCATTCACAATGTGAATTTTTCTCCATCTCTTTGCTCCTCTTCTGTAGATATTTCCTGTTAACAAGAAATAAGTAATACATTAATTTTGTCAAAAATTCAAAAGCAATAAATAATAATTTCATAGAGCAAGAGAAAATTGTACAAAAAAAATTGGAGTGGAAGAATAGAGTTGACTAATCACAAAGTCATATTTAAATCATAACTACTTATGTGCTATGGTTAAGGAACACTGTCACAAACAAAAACTTTTGAGATGTCTCTAGTGACAGAAAAGATCTAGTTTAAGCACTCCTTTTCCCTCGAGGTGAAAGAGAAACTTAAAACAAGTAGTTTTCTCATTTTATTTTACATAATGATGGAATATCATTTTAAAAAGCAAAGAAAATAAGGTTCAAAATACATGTAAGATGAAAAAATATTTCACAGAAATGGAACAAGAGTAACCATTCATATACATGTACTAACCAACTAGAAAGGACAACATGATTCCTTTGAAGAGATGAAACCTACTGTTTTAATTTAGTAAAACTTAGACATAGACGAGAATATTATTTTATCTTAAATGATTAAAGATGAAAAAGAAATTGAAGATTAAAAAAATTCATTTTTATTTTATTATTAAGATAAGACATGCAGCATACCACATTGTTAGAAAGAATTTGAACATGAAATAAATTCCAAGAACAGAACCTTTGAAGAGATGAAATCTACTGTTTTAATTTAGTAAAACTTAGACAAGAGAATATTATTTTACAAAGATGCAGATGAAAATTAAAAAACAGTTTATACTGAACAGGAAAAATTTAACGTTAAATAAAAGAACAGAAAGATCTTTGGTTGAAAAATAAAAAAAACTTTGTGAAATAATCTTATTATACATGTAATTTGTAATCTCCTCAGTTTTCAATTTTATTTAAGGGCCTCATAATAATTTCATAACACAATGCTCACTGGCAGGTTCCATCTATTAGCACTTTACATAACAAAATAAAAGCAACTTGGGCATTCAACAAATTAAATAAAAAAAGCATTCGTGTCAAGAGAAAAAAATCATTATAAAATTCTCACAATAGTCAAGTTTAAGCAGGCATACACACTGAAAATATTACACATACCTTTTTCTCCCCTTTTTTTTACAAATAAAGATCTATCACAGTATGGCAATTTGATTTAACCAGATTCATTCAAACAATTTGGTACCTTATATGAAATAAGTTTACTAATAATTATTGTATTAGATCATTAAGACCTATTAGAAAGTATCAGTCTATAGTGTTATACACTGCTTAGTACATTTGAATCAGCGGGCAAAGAAAGTAGTGTCCGATAGCCCGGGGCTAGTGGATTTTGCTATCTGGCTAGTGAATATTCTGTTATTAACTTGCCCGACGGGCAAGTGAAGTTTTTTGAGGAATTCAAATTACAGAAGAACTGTGAAATCAATCTGCTCATCAAAAACGTTTTTGGGACTAATTGAAATGATATTTGGACTAGCAAATGTTAGCTTCAGCTTGCCCAAATGGCAAGCTGTAAGAATGACTTTCTTTGCACCCTGTGAATGGTCTTGTTTAGAATACTCAAAGGTTTGATTCACTTAAAATGATGATGTAAGACACACATAGTACATGTGATGTAATAAGCCATGCAAAAAAGAACTTCTCATCTGCGGCTTTCACTTAAGGTTACACATTAGTCTGCTATACATACTTCAGATTAAAATGTTTAAAAGGTCGGAGCCCTGTATAGAATAAAATAAAACAGTACCAACGGAAAGTACTGCTTACATTAAAATACTCTCATTGACAGATGGTAAAGAAGAAAACATTGACATACCAAAAATTAATTAGCTCCAGCAACAAAAAACTTAACTTGGTGCACATGTAAAATAGAAATACTTGATTCACCTTTATCTGTAGGAATGCTTAACACACTAAATTCTTCCCCAAAAGCGAAGGATCGAGGACGTCTACCTTTGGTGTTGTTTGATTTTTTAGATGGGCATTCCTTTTCTACCTTTTCTGCATTGATGTTTTGTCGGGAAAGCACAGAAGTAAGACTTCCAGAAATACTGCGACGAGCTCTTTTAATGGAACCAAAAAAACGTGCAGATGCCCGACGAATCAAGCCATAATTACGACCACTTTTCTCTGCGTCTTCTACAATGCCCTCTCCAAATATACCAGAAATTGACCAAACATCTTCCTCCATCTTAAAAGGTCTACTGATGTTGCATTGTTAGATAGCAAACTACACAATCAACTGAGGGCTTCTACGCTGTTCAGTACTAAACAGAAACTTACTCTTGACGGTGCTAGCATGAAATTGCACACTTATGTACGAAGCAATTTTTCACGATATTATCAACACTCTCTACTTATCTTGGCACCAGTACAATGCAAATTTTGACTGCATATTGCAAAATTAAAGCATAAGTAAGAAATGCTTCAAGACTGAAATCAAGTAACTCACATGCAAGGCAAACAGAATAAATTAACTTTGGAAAGTATAACTTATGGATGAAAGGCCCTGCATACCAACCATAATAGGTCATTTAAATACCACAGAAAATAACATACCTGCAGTTAATTTTAAGAAAACAAAACATTCACTCAAGAATCTCTTCTTGTGAGTTACAATGTATGCATTGCTAACTAAATATTTAAAATCTACCAGCACACAATAATTAATGCAACCTGCTGGTAATAAAACCAGAAGTTGACCACAACCAATTGCTGCTCAAAATATACAAATTTGTTAAAACTGCATCAATAAAATAAAATCCACAGCAAACTATAATAATTATAGAGAAAATTATATAATTTACCATCAAAATGCTCTCATGCAAGAAAAAATAACTGACAGGCTGAGTTTCTTGGAATTAAACCAAAAAACATTTTCTAGCAGCTGACTTGAAGTTACGCATCTTGTTGCTTTAACCCATATAATTACAGGGACGAAGCCTAGGAAAAAAAAGTTTTTTCCACGAAACTAAAACTGTCATTAAGGCTGCATCAGGACTTGAAAAATGTCCTGTCAGGTCATCTGGGGTAAGTAGATTTTCTTGATGGGCAAGTAACTTTTAAAGCTCGCTTGCCCATTGGGCAAGATTCCAGGCAAGACATCCTTCAACTAAAGTATGTAGATCAGTAATCTCACTCGCAGCCATTATTTGGATGTTATGCAATGTCCCCGGGGAATAATAATAATTTATCCTTGGTTTAAATTTATTTTCCTTTGTTTCAAACTCGTTATCATTCTGCCATTACCATACCCCCAAAACAAAGGGAAATAAAATTTAAACCAAAGATAAAATTAAACCACAACACATACGTTCCAGAACCACAAGCTGAAATGACATCCTCATCAAAAATTATACGTTGTGTTAAGAGATTATTTCTTGGTCTAGCTCTGTTTTCCAGCATTAAAATTTCTCGACAACACATACCACTTAAAGATAACAAAAAGCACACCTTCTTTATTAATATTAAGCACTACGCAAAAGGCCTCGATGTACCAAAAATAGATCATAGATGACAAACTACTTTCAGTTGACCAGCACTCTAAGAGAATGACAGATACATGTAGAGAACTTGATAAGTTTATCCAAAGCTATAAAAGGTTTTAACTCATGTTTAAGGAATATTTCACTGCTTTTGATGCGTTATACCAAAATGGCTCCAAAATTTGTGACACGACATATTTTAGAGAGACAACAGAGTGCATATTGACTGTACTTGTAAGAAAAGAGATCGGTTTAATTCTAATAAATTGTGTTAAATATGCAAAGGGAATAGCTCCCATCACTGCAGATGTGAATTTGCTAAGTCTATAAAGATAGTAGCCTCAGGTTACTGCATTTCAGTATTTTATTGACTTACTTGTCTCTCCATCACACAACCGTCCTGCTTCATCTGGAATACCTTTAAACACTAAAAATAAAAAAAATGTAAAATTATCTTAATAAAATACATATTTTTGCAGATACGAAGCTACAGAGTGACCAGCAATAACTACATTTGCTTGTCCTAAATTCGGATTTTTTTTTACTCACCTATTTTGAGTGTGTGGACAAAATGGCGTGACCATTCAACTCAAACCTCATTAGCTGCACTTTCTCATGTTACTATAATATATTTGTTTTCTAGCAGTTGAATTTTGACATTGTCCACTTTTGAGAGTGGAAAGGATAAGTCCTGGCTCTTAATGATGACACCAAGAGGGATTTCCCCTGACTTCTTCCGTTGATACCTAATGAAGTCCTGTCTGACTTATATCTTGTTATGATTACCTCCTGGACACAAAGTCATTTTCTGATTTCAAAACCACTATCACCTTATGGTAAAATTTTACGATTTGACTACATTTCATTCCCACTTAGTGGCAGCGTGCAAAGAAAGTCGTGTCCGATAGCCCGGGGCTAGTGGATTTTGCTATCGGGCTAGTGAATTCTGTTTTTAACTTGCCCAACGTGCAAGTGATGTTTTTTGAGGAATTCGAATAACAGAAGAACTGTGAAACCAATTATTCTGCTCGTCAAAAAGCTTTTGGGGCTAGTTGAAAATTAATGAAGTCTGGGCCAGTCAATGCTAGCTTCAGCTTGCCCAAATGGCAAGCTATAAAAATGAGTTTGTTTGCACCCTGCACTTAGTGGCCACTTTATTAAGGGGGTTTTTACAGTAGTAGCTACTTACAATGTACGACCAGCTCTGAGTCTCTATTTAATTCGTATAATCTTATGGCCTCATTCAGTTCTTCTTGACAAGATATGGTACATGGGTCACCTGAGATGAACAAACAAGCAAATAAACAACATTTTTCTATTTGTCAGTCACAAAGCATGTAGAAGGAAATATGCTCAGTGAAAATGCAGCTCAGGAATCTGACCCTGGTTGTTCAAATCTATATCCAGCGGATCGATGAGCATTAGGGAAACCACTATCCACTGGATGGATATTTATCCGGTGAATAACCTTACCACCTTTTAAACAGCTCGGCGCTGGTTAAAAAATAATAAATCAAAGCCATTGTTTAACTGAGACACATTTTTTAGCTATTTGTAAGTTTTTTCAACCTAATTAACGAAGGTGATTGTGAACAAAGTTAAAGACATACAGTACAAGGGAACAGACAAGCAAAATAGTTATGTAATTTAACTAAGCCGCTTATAAACCTACCTGGAGGTCCATGTACTGTTTTATTATCAGACCCTTAGGTGGACTTTGTTTACGTAACAGGTCTGAAGTGTCTAACATAATATGACAGCTTGCAGGGTATTCTGGCTTTGATATATACTTTTGAAGCATTTTTGCCCAAAAATTCATCCTAAAGTTCCTGCTTGGGCCTTATCATGCAAGACTTACTGCATGTCTGCTGACCACTTCAGGAAATATCCAAAACAAAGCTTGAAAGCATTTATGACCTTGGCATTAATTTTTGATCCTCTGTAAATGAAGTTCACTTTAATTCAAGCCATAATTAGGCAACAACGAAAAGACAAAACTCCCAAAACACTCAAAATTTCCTCAGTATATGCCCAAAACTGAAAGGAGCGTAGTACATATATTACAGGGAAGGGTATCATACTTTTCTAAAGAATTGACTGATGCATAAAAATCCAGTATCTTATCTTTTGTTTATAGGTCCTTATTTGCTAATTATACTGTTTTACAAGACACAGTTAAGCTTGAGATTACTTCGAGAATAAAATGAAAGCTTGCGTGCTGTCACTTTCATAACCATTATCAATCAACTAGAAATTTGCAAGGCTTTTATCACTGAAATGTATCCCTATCCTCGCAGATCCTCGCATCTAATAAGCTTATCATCATAAACAACTCCACTAAAGGAAACCACAGAAATCAAACTCATCGATTGAAACTTATTTTTAGCTTCAGAAAACTACTCAGGCCAACTAAAACTTGTTACTTTAATTGAATTATGAAAATGTCAGCCCTAATTCATCGCAAGAGAGATGAACTAAAGCTTGTTTATTTACAAAATATTAGTTATGCTGAAAACGAATGATTTCGCATCGACTCGAAAAGCTCAGCATGACTCAATATAAATGGCTTTACAATAACCAAGAGTAGCAGGATCAATAGCGTATCAAAATTCTACAAATGCAGAGTTGGGAAAAAGCTAACCTCAATGAGCGGTACATCGCTCGCCGCCGGACTCACCTTCTTCGTCTAGCCACTTCATCGTGAATTCATCGTCCTCGTCAAATTTGAATATACCTCGCATATCAGCGCAGAATTTTTCCAGAGTAATCCGACTCTGCATTGATAACACCATGATAGTGCTGAAATGATGAGAAAATAATTTCATCAATGATCGAATGGCGTTGTGACAAAAATCATGCTTCAAATTATACGGTAACTTCAACGCCGCATATGAACAGTGCTCACCCATTGTAAGCCGCTTTCACCGCGACAGAGTCGATTGAATTCATCGCTGGCATAGATCAGGGTCGTGGAAATAATAAAATATGGACATAAATTACTCGATGTTCGAAAATTTAAAGCTGAACTAAAAAAATTACTATCCTTTTCATTTACAACTACCGCTTACTGGTTTCCAAACACAACTCCTTGGAATTTTTAGGAAGCGTCACGTGACATTTTAAGACCGCGAAGTAATTAGAGGTGATACGTCGCGGATTCTAACATAACATACTAGTAACAAGTGGCATGACAAGAGTGTCCGCAAAATTCCACGCAAGTAACGTAATGGTTCCCGCCCTCCTATAATAACATAAGGGCCTTTCTACGTGACGTTCATGTTTTCAATTATTTCCAAACTATCCTTCGATCGTACAAGGGTGTATTATCATTCTTGAATTAAAAGTAGGCACGCGAGAGTTTTGCCTCGAAACTGCAAAAAAAAAACACACACACACACACACAAACAAAAACATAACAAGACCGGCTCCATCACACTTTTTGCGAAGCGATAAAACACAGGTCGGTCAATCTCGAATATGAGCGTCGGGCACTACACTGGTCTCAGAGGTAGCCTCAGCCTCAAGTTGCTCCAAATTTTCTTAAAAGTTGCCCAAAGTTGCCAGAATTTTCTCAGTGAAAAGTTTCTTAAAAGTTGCTCCTCATAAAAGGCATTTTTACAAAGCGACAGTCCCTTTTTGCCAAATGCCACTCGTGTGTACAATCAAAGCAATCTAAAACTACTGCCTTTTTTGCATTTTGTTATTTACTTTTAGTAACGCATCTACAGCGGGTGTCGTTAAATGTACAACAACTGTGCAATATCATTCGTTTTCCTAAAAAATCAGAGTACTATACCTTTTTACACAGAGGCAAACTAAAAATTTAAGTCTTCGCTATAACAATGTCTTTCTCATAGTCAGTTCTTTTGCGTTTTTAGCAGGTACCCTAAATCAGTCAGTATCATTTGCGTCAACAGAACGTTGTGAGACGAAAACCCTTTCAGATCAAGATCTTACTCTTTGCGAATTGGTTTTCAATGTACAAGTGCATTCTTCTGTTCTGCTAGAGTCGTTTTCATTCAAGGCAGAGACGTCAGTGTTGAACTGAGACTGAACTGACTTTTTTCCCCTCTGGACTACTATTTTTCGATATTTGACGCCATTTTGAAAAACTAACTTGCGAACCATTTACCTCAAACCGCAAGTAGTCCACTTGAGGGGGAGGGGGAGGGGGGGGCACGGGTTGAATTCAAACGTTGTTATGTTATCTATAACTTCAAAGAATTGAAACGTTCTCTTAAGGATGGTGGCTGGTGGTTAAAAGGGCCACAAAATATATTTGACACTTGGTAACCGGGTTGGATCACATCATGGCTCTTGATGGGGCTTTTCATTTTCTCACTTTATTTAGTATTAGTTTATTTGTTCGTGAAAAGTTACTCCGAATTCGCATCTTTTTTTTCCACGTGCACGATAACACAATTTTTGCAAACTCAGAATTAATACGAGACTATCAGTCAGTAGGGGAGATGTCCATTTCTGGATATAGGTATCGTGCGTTGTGATTGGTTGAGATCAAAACCAAAACAAATTAAATTTGGCCGAGAGCTACTGGAGATGAGTAGAAGTGAAACAAATTTTTATTGCGGCCACTTGTAATGCGGCTATCGGCCGAAACAAAATTAATAATACGAAATCACTGCACGGATATATGATCTCCAGGAGCCCTGTCGCTGGTCTATAACTATAAGCTCTTGAAACGCCCGTCATTAGTCTTACCAACAGCTAACCCGACGGCATAAGAGAGACCCTGAAAACGAAGTTGAAGCAACAGTGTTTTGACTTTCGACAGGCCACTTGCACTAAGAGGTCGCGTGACCAATGCTCTCTTTAAACAATGACTTGGAATCTTGCTGATGCCAAAAATAGTCAAAGCACATAAAAATAATCTTACGCCCGAAATTTGAGAGGAAACGCATTTAAGGGAAACATTTTATGGCACTTTGATTTTTCAAGAAAGCAGTATGAATTCTATTGGCCGCCATGTTGGAGGGGATCCCTTTTTTTTTTTTGGAGGGAATCCAACATGGCGGTCCAAACTACTTTTTGCTTGTATCTTGTTAAAGTTTGATAGTTACACTCAGATGTGCCGGAAACGTTAGTACATCATCTTTTCAACAATTTCCTTGAAGTTTAAGTGCCAAATTTCTGTTCAGAAAGAGGTAATTCGTAGTTTTAAAAATCACACTTTGGTCACGTGACCAGCTACGAACTTACTCATTTTAGGAAGATAGTGCGGGTTTGCAAAACAAAATCACTATTATTTTGTTTAAGATATGCCCCACTAATCGTTTTTCGAGGGCAAAATCATAAAACTGTTATTTTCATTAAAATGATGTCACATGACCTCTTAGTGCAAATGGCCTATCCCACCGATCTGTGAAGTTTGCTCTCATTGGCTACTTCGGGTTCACTTGACATCCAAGTTAACAATGACACAAGAAACTGTTTCCCGCCAGAAGTTTCTGAACGAGCAACATTGCAAAAGCTATGACGTCAGAGGGCCGAACAGTGCAAATCTTGACCCTGCTCAAAGCTGTTTTTATTTTGGATCGCGACACTATCGTCGATGGTGTTTTAAAAGAGTACACTGTTTAGTTAATGACTGGTTAAAAGGGACCGGTAAAATTACGCATTAACTATTACCCTTCAAAAATTGCAGTCAAGTTGATGGGTGGGTACCAGTTCATCCCTTCATATTCGAATGCTTCAGGAAAGAAATTTTCCCCATACCCCTCCTCTGGGGTGTCGTGTTCTTGCTTGCCACGATAGCCAGTCAGGATACACGGATCAGCTCCTGATAATTAAATGGTCTTGAATGAGACGATTAGATTACATATTAAGTAAGATTTTTAACCCTTATTAGATTTTCAATACAGTAACATCATCATCTTCTTAACACCCAAATCAATTCAACGAACTGAGGATCAGATTTTGCGATGTCGTCATCAGTTTAATCATTGGTGTTTTCACCAACATTATCACCATCACCAGCCGATCATATGCAGTAAAAACCTATGAATAAGAACCTGTTAGGCTAAAATTTACCAGTATCGTCCCCCTCTACACAAGAACCTGTTTAACCTAAAATTTGACGTAGGTTCCAAGGTGGTAGTAGATTCTTGGGCAGCACTGGGAAGGGACTTAGTGCTGGCCGCCAGCTTGGATCTTACTGCAGTGATCTTATGAAAAAAGTAGTCCCCCATATCATTGGCGAGCTTAACAGCGTTCGTGTGAGGCGGGAGAGTTTTATCAGCCTGAATATTCAATAGACGCTTACTCGATCTCCCGAAATAGCCTTGACTGATTTGAGCTGTTTTCTTCAATAAATTGACTTTTACTCCAACTGCAATTGTTGCGGTATACCGGTTTTACCAAGAGAGAGTGGTCTCTTGGTTTTACCTAAGGAGTAAGCTGAATACCGCTAAATACTCTTTAACTACCATGTATTTTTTTCTTCACAAAATAAGAACCTATTAAGAACCTCAATAGCCTAAATTTGTGCTAAAAAAACCTGTTGAGGCTAACTTGGAAGAATGCAGGTTCTTAGTCGCGGGTTTTTACTGTATTGACATCACGATACAGCCCCCACTCCCTGATATAAGCAGAGTTTTGGCAAGTTGTCTTCTCGGGAAATTTTTTTATTTTTTTATCATTTTTTTATTTTTATGTAGACCGATACAACGTACGACTCACCTTCAAAATTTTCCGGTATGACATCAGCAGCATCGGGTTCGGCGGACGAGGTGGAGACTGGGTAAACATTCTTCCCCAATGACGCCACCCCAACTGGTAAACAATTCAATCCGAGTTCAGTCATTCTGAAAATACCTGACTTGAAAAAGTAGGTAAATTAGACAAACTTAATCTTAGTTAGACCGGGTCAACCATATGCAACAAAAAGTCAGCTAACCTCGAAACATTATCCCCAATAAAACAAATTCCCAGAAATTTATTTTGAAGCAATATCACTGAGTATAAATTATCACGGAAGTCACGTTTCTACTTTTTAGCCAGAAAGCAATTTTCCTTAGCTTTAAATTTCAATAAAATTTGAGTGATTATCTCTGAGAAACAGATATTTTTTTATAACTTGTAGGCCCATTTTCAAGGAGGGATTGTTTTTCGTTTATAGTCCTTGGTTGCACGTGCAGATAAAATTACACACAAACTTGAGTGCTTTGTTTTAGGTTTATGGAAAAGTTGAAAATATAGCTGTTTGTTCAGTGAAGCTTTGATATGAAAGTCTAACATACTGAGGTACTGAGAAATAATCCGCAAAATTAAAATTAAGTTAGACTAATTTAATTTGGCAAATCTTCTCCGGAACTAAAACATGTATTATCAGACGGGCTAAATCAGGATTATGGAACATTTTTACAAGTCGGTGCGTAAATGCTTAAAAATATTTGTCAAGAAGACAGGTGGTTAATATTGTGTTTTGCATGCTTTAAAAAAAACTTTCATTTCTCATGAAAACATATTCGTTTTATAATATTACATTAGAAGAAACTTAAGTACGTACCTGAATATTAGATATAAGCCATCAGTGACCAAGGCAGCGTTTTCTGTATTTTCTGTCCGCAAGTGTCGTGTCAAATTTTGAACAATTAAAAGACAGTTGAAGCATAATAAACCAAAATAATTATTACATCACATGGTGCGACTATATGATTTGACTTTCAAATTAGAGAGTCGTTTAGGTCATTTCTGTATACAAGTATTAATAAGACTTGAATAGAAATTTGAGGCCGGACGAATTCCGAATATAAAAAAACAACTACTTTTCCGATCAAGGAAGGAAGAGAGTTGAAACTCGACCGAAGAAAACTCAGTGTAATCTTCTCACTGAATTTCAACACTAGTTTTTGTTTCAAATCTAGTAATACAGCGAATCAGACAGTTGAAATTAAAACTTGATCAATCAAATCAAAATGGTGAGAAAAATAATTGATTACACTATTAAATTACTACCTCTGAGATCCGGTTTGATCTAGAGAAAAACTGGAGAGTAGAGTTTTAGAAATGTAGGGATCGAAAGTGTTGCAAAAAATATGAAAAAGTTTAAGTGTTCTTAACATAGTCTTTTTCTCCTTATTCAATGGCTGAATAATAAGTTCTGAGGTGTATACTGCAAATTATTTCCTTGTTTGATAACAACTTTTTATAGTCATTGACGAACTTCTTGTTGGTATAAGCCTTATTTGGTAGTTGACGCTGATTGGTTGATTAGCTGGTGTGGTACATAGAGGCGGCCATCTTGTCGTGAAAGCGGCGTTTCCGGCTAAATTTCTTGGAGTTTATCTGCCGCTTCGGGAATTTTTCTTGCGTTTAAGATACGCTAACTATTTAGGACTTTCGACTCAGTTTATATTCACCATGGTAAGTGCTATTGTGAACGTTGTCTTAGCTGAGAGAAAAGAGCAGTTTTCTCCGTACGATCAGTGCACTCAGCTGTATGCAATCTCATTGAGTTCCTTCCACAATTATTCTGCACATCTAAATGTAATTATCTCCCATATAGTCGTAGCCTTTTATTTTGAACTGCAAATGTTTTGGCTGCCTTTGCCATACCTTCACCAAATCAGGTGTTGCTGTTATATGAGAGCTTTTTGAAGCAACCAAATGTCACTCGTAAACGCTCCACATGCATGAATTCTGATGGTCAGTGAAATTTGTGATGTTAATTTAACTAACCAGCAATTTATTCGACTCCTTGTTTAGACGGAGAGGCAACTTGACTGTGCGTTGGATTTGATGCGTCGGCTACCTCCTCAACAAATTGAGAAGAATCTTAGTGATCTAATCGATTTGGTGAGTACTCAAATCAGTCACTGTTATGTTTGGTAAGGTCATATATAGAGAGCATAATTTTTGCGATTATGCTAAACATTAAAGCTCGCGATCCTACAACCAAAAGTTAACGAGTGTGTGCTTAAAAGTTTTTTCTTGCCAAACGCGGTTATAAGTTTTAATCGGGGCTAATTATTGAAAATTTAATGCATTGTTAACCGTGATCATTACCTTTCACGGCAATTACGTTCTTATTTTTCTGTTATGACAAGACTTCTGAGTGGAGCATCGATCATCTTGATTATATGCCATTGTGTTTGACAGTTTATATTGATTACAATATTCTAACCAACACATATTGTTTAATATTTGGCTTCCCACAGAATGTGTTTTTGTCAAGATTCCATCCCGAATTTGCCAGTGATACTTTAGTCAAAGCAATTTAAAGAAGGAAAAGAAACCGTTTCCTTTTGCTTTAGCTTCCAGGTGAAAGCCTGGCATCCTTTACACTGTGATGTCATTTTACCATAAAAGGGCAGGAAAAACAATCGATGCAAACTGCTGCCAGGCAGTAATAAACTAGTTTGACAGGTTTGAGGGCCTGTCACAATCTTGAGCAAATGTGTGGTGATTTGATGTTTGCTCTATTAATTCAAAAGTCTTTCAAAGTTATTTTTTTCAATCCATTTTGTTTTTATGGTTTCATGGTAATTATGATTGATGGATTTGTAAGCGTTGGTTGAATATTGTTGACAAGTTCACATTTAACTGAAAACTGTAGTCAGCAAAAGGGAAAGCTAGGTGATTGACGCAAAGGCCAAGGGCCAAGTAGTCTGCTACACAGCCGTTTTTAGTGTCATCACGCAATGCTCCTCCCCACAAATGGCTGCTGAGAATCGAACCACACTCCTTTCCCATGGTTAGCTACCATTTTCTGGATGGTGTTTACACCAATCACAGCTTTGCTTTTATTGGTGCCCTATGTGTAAATGACAGAACGATTAAAATCGTCATGTGAAAAGGGTAGTGTTTTGTTGTCGCGCTCTATTCCAAATTTATGAGGTAAGCAACAGCAGCAAGCGAGTTGAGCAAATGTGATGCACAACATGGATGTGCTTATAAAGTTGCCAGGTATAGTTTCAGGAAATCGCTCATCGGTGATTTAAAAGATTGCTTTTGTTTGAATCAGTTAAATTAACCCTTGAGAGTTTACATGTACAGCAACACAATGAGCACATCCAGCACATGAAATTCATCATACATTTGCACGTTAAAAAGAACCAACCAACCTGGTAAGAGTCTTGTAGGCCTATCAATCTTTTTTTCACATGGAAATTTGTTAACTGCTTAACAAAGTTTTATGTAAATTAACCTTTTTTCATTGCTTGAAGACATAGAGCCTGTCCAAATTCAGCAACAGTTTATTAATTTGTCGAAAATTGAGAAGTGTGTTCTGTTCCTAATGCCCTGTGGCTCATGTATTGTCTAGTTTCATATACATGATTGGTCTGTTCGTTAGACTGCAAACACAAAGGGAAAGGAATGTGGTTTGATTCTCAGCAGCTATTTGTGGGGAGGAGCTTTGGATGACGACGCCAAAACTGGCTGCGTAGCAGAGTAAGGGTCAAGGAAACTCTGAGGTGGATGTCAAGAATTGAAAAAAACTCTGTTTTGATGATCTCTGCAGGCAGGGGCAAAGGGGAAAAGTTTCACCAGCCACATTGTAGCAAAGTTTGCACAACTGTACTCTTACTATACAAGTTCCAGAAGCTTGGAAATTCCCTGCTTCCAGATGGGGAGAAATTTTTTCCCCATTTATCTGCCCCTAAGATTCTTCTGCTTTTATAATGGATCTCAGGGTGTTCATTGGTCATTGGAGATCTGAGAATTCACCGTTTACTAAACAGAATTCTCTGACTAATGATCGGTAGCCTATGACTATTTTTTACTCAAACGTGGAGCCTCATTCAAAATATTCTCCAGTAATGTTACACCTTCCTCCTGCTACTAGGATTCTTAATGAAAACCCTGGTAACTTGACAAGAAACACCCCCACAAGGGCTGTCACCAAGAGCCGGGGGCTGGGGATTTTCCCTGGCTACTATGAGCGTGAGTCTTGGCTACCCTTATAGGAAACAAAAGGAAAATAGACCCATAAAGAGAACTCCCTAGCTGTACAATTCCCCTCCTGCTAATTGTATATACCCAGCAACCTGAAATTTTAGCAGTAGCCCTGCCCTGTCCCACCCCACCCCTTAACTAAAAGAACACTTCGAGCTGATGGAAAAAGTAATAATGTTGTGACCATCTCTCGTAAAGCCACACTTACATAATTAATCTCTATTTCACGGCAAGGCAAAGAAGATGTTTGCCAGCATTACATTGGTTTTCAGCAGAAAAGAACTGACACAGGCCAAGATCAGTAATATTATTATTATAATGAAGATCAGTGGATGTGTCCTGTACAGGGCTCCATCACTGTAAATTGTAAAATATGTTTTGCAAGTTCTACATTTCCTCTTTGTAGGTTCCACCCCTTTGTGAGGACTTATTATCATCTGTTGATCAACCACTTAAGATTGCTAGGGATAAAAGTACAGGAAAAGATTACCTTCTCTGTGACTACAATAGAGATGGTGACTCCTACAGGTAAATAGTACTCTGTTTTCAAAAATGATAATATTGTTATTATTAACCCATTTGCCTCTAAACCATAATTTTTTGCCAAAAAGGGGCAAATAGTTTAAGATGAAATCCATTAGGAAATTGAGTAATTTTAATTTTCAGTGGACAAAACCTTTTACCAGAATAATTTCAAGCATATTGCATTCTTTTTCACACTTTTCAAGGGCTATAATGTAATAAGTTGTATAAAATTAATAACTCTGAAGAAAAGGTTATTATTGGAACCCGCGAAAACAAACTCCAAAAGCCTCAAATTTCACAAAATGAAGTCTTGCACATGATGATTGTACATGTGTTTTCTCAATTCCTGTGAAATTTGAAATTTATTTCCTCAGGTTCCCGTAAGAAATTGTCTTTGGTGTTATTACTGATAACTAATTACATCTATAACCCTTGAAAAGTGTGAAAAAGAATGGGATATGGCTTAAAATATTCTGGTACAAGGTTTTTGTCTACTCAAAATTGAAATCACTCAATTTCTTAATGGATTCCTTCTTAAATATATAACATTGCACAATCTTGCAGTATAAATCCCTGGAGGCTTTTCGGTTGTAGACTGAACAGTCAAGCTACAATCTTTGTTAGAAGTGGTCAACTAGCCTAACCCTACGAATGCAGACATATTTCCAGCTTTTGTCACCCTTCTCACCAAGCCACAAGTGCTTGCAGCCATTCCTTTTCAGGAGAGATGTGACAGGTGGAAATGTTCTGCTCTCTCAGGCTCAGCTACCCTTGTCCCTGTAGCTTTCCTCATCAGGGCAAAAAAATTCAAATAGTTTAATGTTTTTTTGGTTTCTTCTTAGATCACCATGGAGTAATACATATGATCCTCCTTTGGACGATGGAGCAGTGCCCTCTGACAGATTAAGGAAGTTAGAAATTGATGCCAACACTGCCTTTGATCAATACAGGGAAATGTAAGTCAAGCTTGTCACAAGTTTGCAGAGCTCGAAAAAACTTGAATTTAAGCCTGTCCTTTGGGCAAGCAGCTTTCATGTTTACTTACCCAGGGTCACTTCTTGCTTGTCTTAGTTAATGATTTTGTTAGAGGATAACTTGCCTGCAGGACCCTTGGCCATTGACCACTATTAGTAAGCCATTGTTCGTACAATCTTGAAAAGGTCTTGAATTTTAGCAGTCATCTTGAAAAGACCTTGAATTCAGTTTAGGTCCTTGAAAAGTACTTCCCCAAGGTTTCTTTATTAGGTCTTGAAAAGTCCTTGAAATTCACAACCTTGTCTAAGCCAGAGACCTTTTTCTGTAAAATTTGATTATTTTGCCAAGGAAAATTTGGCTCATCCTCCCCCTTTAGCCAATAGGGTGATCATAGGGGCTTAAAGAATGCGAATTTATTAAATAAATCTTAGTCCTCAAAGACTGTAATTTGTCCTTGAAAAATCCTTGAAAAGTCCTCGAAATTTGTTTGTCTGAAGTTGTATGTACCATGTAAGATTTAAAAGTGACCTGCCCCGCTTGAAAATCTACTTGTCCAGACCACTGGATGGGACTTTTTTCGAGCCCTGGTTTGTTGTCATGTTGCATCATAATAGAGCAATTTCGTTTTTGAAGCAGGTGTTTAAATAGCCTTTGAATGTAAAGTATGTTGTGGCCGTTCTTTCTTTATAGGACTCAATTTTGGGAGTTGGCTTTGTAAACTCTTAGTTACTTTAACACCCTTCACTTATCTTTTAGCTTCTGTTGTCTATATTCATGTCTAATGAAATATAAATACTCATTGTTTTCATTAACTTCTGTATCTTCCATTGAAGAGTGAAATAAACCTGACTTGACTCGATGTTTTATTTGTGTCGTATACATAGGTATTTTGAAGGTGGTGTATCATCAGTTTACCTCTGGGATTTAGATCATGGGTTTGCTGGCGTGATCCTCATCAAGAAAGGTTAAACTTGTCAGCCTTTTGGCTAGCTATTACACCTCTGTGGAACTAGTTAAAAAAAAACTATGTGAAGGGAAAAAATATTAGAATAAACCAGTCACATCACAGTGCAAGAAGACTACATGTAGGGGATCTTCATGTAGACAGTAACATTCATTTCATGTGGTGTACCAAAGTTAGTTAGGACATTAAGTGATATCAAAATGCACTGACAGCAGACATCCAGTCTAACAGGAAAAATAGCGTACACGTAAAATGTATGTATAGACTTGTTTTCCTCATTCCTTAAGTGTTGTATTTACGTGCTTTGTTGTAAGCTAACAAAAAGTAACCTCAAGAAGAGTCAAATGTAAAATTCCGTCCTGTGCTGACATTTCCTTATGTAGGATTTATTCTAGGGCTCCTAATTAAATGTGGCTTATTTCTTTAACGAGATAGTTCTTTTATTTTATATTTTGTTAAAGAAATAAGATTTTTGTCTACCGGTATAAAATGTTAAAATGCTAATAATGATAATAATAATTTGTATTGTATTGTTGTCATGCTAAAGGCAACCATGGACTCATCATCTTTGGAGCATTACTATTGTTAGTAATATTGTGTCAAAGTGAAACTGCATTTAGAAGGAGTGAATTGCCAAACAGGAAAGAATTCCTTTAATTCCTTTTAAGTAAGAGGAAGTACTCTTTTCTTTGTGGTCAAAAGGTTTTTGCTTATGCATGTACTTTTATTTTAGCTGGTGATGGATCAAAAAAGATCAAAGGCTGCTGGGATTCTATCCATGTTGTGGAGGTTCAGGTATTTGTGGTTTGGTTGCCTTTAATGAGCTAGATAAACAATAAGAATAATGGATTTTTTGACACCTTGCATTACTGATTTTGCATTCTCAAAGATTTACTTGACAGGTTAGTGTTAATTGTGTTTGTGCTGTTACCTTTCAGGAGAAAAGTGGTGGCCGACAAGCCCATTATAAGCTTACTTCAACTGCTATGCTTTGGCTGCAGGTATAATCCATCATTGAACAGTTCTCTCTAATTTACGACAGTTCAAGGTTGCCACAGGTCAGGAAATGGTCAGGGAAAAAAAATTCCTTAAAGTCAGGGGAAAGTCAGGGAATTTCACTTTGAGTCAGGGAAAATTTATACCTTTGAACGAAATCAATGAAAAATGAAATGATAAGAGTATTTATTCTTTTCCCTCTACTTTTATTGACATTTTCTAACATTTAAAATTCTTTTCTACATTTTCCAGACATGAATTATATTGTTGTTCATTGTGGATTATTGTTTATTATTGTTCATAAAATTGAATGACAAGTTATATTAAGGAAGTATCAATTCATATAGACTGCTTGTGACTTGCTGAAAGCATAAATAAATGGGTGGAGAGGATGGCTGTTTGAGGGAATGGTTGAGTCATTATCAGGATTGATATTATTTGTGAAATTTTTTGTTAATTCAGTTGGCCAGGGAAATTTTACACATGTCAGGAAAAAGTCAGGGAATTTCAGAAACCTCTGGTTGTGGCAACCTAACCTGTGATCAGGCAGTCCTTGTTTCCTTTTTGTTTTAAAAGGCGAGGGGAAAAGGATTACCTTTTCCCGTCCACTGACTTTCTCACTTTCCGCAAAAAAAAGAATGCCTGATCGCAGGTTAGTGGCAACCATGCTATATAATTTATCTTAATTTTAGTTGTTTTGCCAGTTGTTGACAAGATAACTGCGGGCAGCTTTAACCTTTTTACTGTGGGCCTACGATAGTGTCCCCACCTGATTTGTAAAAAAAGACTACCACACTGACTCTGTTGTCTGAATAAAGGGGACACTTAGTGTCCCCTTTATTCAGACAACAGTGTGCCGAGAACATCTCTACCCATTGATGTAATCATCTGAATTGAGATAGGTGAACATGATCTTTTCACATTTCTTAACCCTTTAAGTCCTAAGGGTGATCAGCATAAAATTTCTCCTTATCATATCCATGCTTTTCCAAGCAAATTTAAGAAACATGATCACACAAGATAAAGATATCTGACATCAAATTCTCCCCACTTCTTATAGGGACAAAAGATAAGAACTTAAACTTTGATTCTAGGGCTCAAAGGGTTAAGATCCTAGTTGGATGGAAAGTCAAGATCAAGCAGTCTCATTTGCCTGTTTTTTTGTTTGTATTTTTTCTTTAGACTAATAAGGCAGGATCAGGAATGATGAATTTAGGAGGGAGTTTGACAAGACAGGTAATAGTTGTTCTTGTCACTTTTTGATTGACAGGATAAGGCACTGTTCTGTAACTTGAAAATAAAGAAAACGGTCAAGGTTGACACTGTCCTTGTAACAAGGCAGGAAAAACCCAGGTGCCATTGCCCAGGGCAAGTAAGTTTTGATTGTGGGCATGTAAGAATAGAAGTTTGGTGCCCCAGTGGGCAAGTGAAATAATAGCCTCAGTGGTCCTGTGAGTCTGCCTAAAAGTGTCAAATTTCCAGACAGAAACTACCGTAAAATTCCAAAAATAGGCCCTGGGGCTTATATTTTTCAAAGGCCCTTTTTGAGGGGCTTATTTTTGGAGGGGCTTATATTCAGAGGAGCTTATGTACGGAGGGAAATTTGCGTTTCAAAATTGATTGGGCTAGCTTGTAGTGGGAAGGAAATTTACCATTTTTGCTTTGTTTTACTTTGTATGCAAGGGCCAATTCCAAGTACAAGCCCCCCGGGGGGCTTTTTTTCGGAGGGGCAATTTAACAGAGGGTTTTTTGCATTACGATTTTGGGGGGCTTATATTTGGAGGGGCTTAAACATGGAGGGGCTTAGTTTCGGAATTTTACGGTATTTCAAAACTGAAGACTGCAAGGTGACTGACACAATTAGTTGAAAGCATGAATATATCTGTATAAAATCCAAGTGTACGTTTGCTTGCTCATGTTACTTCTCTAGGCCCAATATTGGTCAAATACAATAGTTACTCTGTATCTGGCTCCACATTTAGTACTAGTAATATCATGCACTTTGTTTTAATTTATAACTTATTATAGTCAGTACCTTAGAACTGTAGCTGATGACCTGTGCACTGGGCAATTGGATTTCAATTTTTTTCCAGCCCTTTTATAATATTGCACTAAAACGAAGTTTACTTTTAGGTTGAAGCAGACAGTGCTGTGAGTGATGCTAGTCCCCATATTGCTAACATTGGAAGGCAGGTTGAGGTATTGTCTAATTTGAAAAGTATTTTTCCCCAGGTGTTATTTCATGTCATAGAAGTGTACTCAGCATTGCAAATTTTATTCTGTCGTGTTTTTTTCTTTTTCTTTTTTAAGGAAATGGAAAACAAGATGAGAAATACTCTGAATGATATATACTTTGGCAAAACAAAGGATATTGTAAATGCCTTGAGGTAAGTGCATCATAAAAGATGTGTGTATTTTGACATCACATGTGCAGTTTTTTTTAACATCACTAAGCTTGATAAATAACATATATAGTGTTGATAGATCTAAGCAGAGTGTGCAACATTGAACGAAAAAAAAGAAAGAGGCTGTTGCCTGTTCAGACAGCATAATTATATCATTGAGTAAAAAGTGCTGAGAAGCAGTCTTTCTCTGTCGTTTTTTTTCTTTTGGAGGGTGGGGGTGGGGTGGGGGAGGAGTTCTTGAACAGAGATAAAAGATGAACAAGAACTGTTTAATGAGCAAATGTAGTTAAGAAAGACAATATTAAACTTTCCTTTTCCCAGATATTATTGCTAAGGTGTTCTTGGCTAGAGGTTTTCTTTATGTATGATAAGATGCCAACATATGTACCACATTTTTTGCCTTTTCTAAAAGAAACGGAAGGTTACATGACCAAACAGGGTGCTCAGGTTCGTCACGTAAGGTATAGAAAAGTCCAAATGAAAATGTGCCTTTTTTCAGGGTGTTAACAGTTTAGTGATTAGGATATTAAATTGCTCTGGGCTAAACCCCACCTGGGTATTAAAGCACTGAGGGAAAAGTGAACTTTTTTAACAAAGGGTGTTAAAACAGTTTAGTGATTAGGATATTAAAATTGCTCTGGCAAAACCCCTGTAACCTGAAGGTTTACTAAAATTAAATAACTTATTAAAGATCTGATCTGATCAAGGTAATGAACGAATAAAAGTATACTAAAGTATACACAACTTTTTAGAGATTGAAACAAATTGAATCAAACGTTTTTTAGTGGTCTAAAAAATAAAAATTTGTAAAATAGGTCTTAAATGAGGGAATGACATTTCCCTCCTTTCACAGCAAGGTCAAAGCCATGTATAATTTTGTTTTTTTTTAATCTGAACAAAAGTTTACTTTTTGCAAGCCTTAGTTAAATTGTAACACAATGCGTTTGTCTTGCAGGAGTGTAAACAGCCTTGCAGATCAAGGAAAACAGAAACAAATGCAACAGGAACTCTTCAGTGTTCTAAAGAATCGTCAGAAGTAATTTTATGAAGTTAGGCATTGCTCTTATTATACTTGACAATCAAATAGGTTAAAGGAGATTTCTAGAATCCCCAGAACTTTTGTATAATTTTATGGTATTTTTCAGAGATTGAAACCATACTCATTGAAAGCCATTCCAAAAAGAACATTTTTGCCCACTTGGTGGGGATATGTACTGTTTTAATGGCTGGTAAAAGGTTTTTCTAGAAGCCATGATCTTGAGAGCTGCTGATCCTTTCAAATCTCCAAGGTTTGGCTTTGTTGTAAAATGAATGCTATTTGATTCAGTGTAGAAAAAAGCATTTATAATGTTGTTGCTTGGCCTTGATTTGTTCATATACTAGTCATGGAAAATTTCAATTGTGTGTTTTACAGTGCCAGTAGAATGCTTTAGTTTTGCACTGACAGGCTGTGAAATGTTTGAATAAAAGCTGTTTGATGCAGAAAGACATTTGCATGATAAGGTCATTTGACTGCTATTACAATATTTAATTATGTTTTCTTGTGCAAACTAGAAACTTTCAACACTTTTGTCACTTGTTGATCATTTCCTTTTTCTCATAACATTTATGTTTGATTGAGCATTAGCACTGTAAAGAGAAATGAAATGTTGAACTCTCTTAGTGATTAAAGGGTTAGTGTGAATGAAAAAGGAAATCAAACATGTATGCTCATAGTTGCAGTCAAATGATGTTATTATGAAAAATTGGCCACAAAGCTGAGCAAAATAATATTAAAACAAAAATGTCTTAAAACAGTGAAGTTACAAAAAGTTTTTTAACACCAGGCTCATTATCAAGGTGTTAAATGCTGAGTTCATTTTTTTCTTCAGCTTAAAGTTCCCCGCTTGGTGTAGTTTGATAGTCAATTATTTCATTGACCTTACTATGCAGTTTATTCGTGCTCATCAGCAACACACATCTATTTGTAATTTTAATAAAATGTAATTACTTATACAGCAAAGTGTATGAATTCTTAAGATCATTATCTCTTGCTGTTATTTCTATTGTAACTCAAGGTCAATCAAAACAAATAAAAAGTTCTTACAAAATGTACCTTTTATGAGTGGTAATCATATTTTAAAGGAAAGTGAAAGCAAAGGGGAACAGAGGGTAGAGCAAGTTCTGAAAGAGAGACTTGCACGCAGGCTCATTCTTGGTGGCCGTGAATATGGACCTTTACTAGAAAGTACTTCCTAGTTGTTCTTGAGTCAAAAGAATTCCTTAACCCTTTAAGCCCCAGTATCCACATACAAATTCTCCAAACTGTTCTCCATACATTTCCTTTAAGAATTAGTTGAGAGAATTTGATAAAACATCAAGGCGTTTTCTCATTTGTGATCATTTTTTATATTCTCACAACCTTATCTCTTGACATTGTATGGAGATTGTTAGGAGAAAATTGCTGTTGGTCACTATTGGGACTTAAAGGGTTAATGGAGAGATTAAGAGTCACGTTTACAGCAAATGGTAAACGTCAGTTTCAAGTTGAGAATTTCTCAGAATAAAAGGTAAGCAGAGAAAAACTGCCCAGAACAATTCTTATGGATAAAACTGCCCTGGAAGTACTCATTTTTGAGTAAAATTAATGAACAGTAAACAACAATAAAGGAGAAAATTTGGTCACATGGGACAGATTCACGTTTGCCGTTTGGCGGAAACGTGAATCAGGGGTTTCAATAAAAATTGAATAGAAGTTTGAATAGAGTATCAACAAGGGGCCAGTAGTCCACATTTTCAAGGGTTATCTACGGGCGAGTTTTCCATTCAAGAAGATTTGGGTTTAAGTCAAATTTTGATTTACTAGCCACACAATTAACTCCTACAAGCAATGAACAAATGGTAATTTATTACTAAGTTACGTACACTTTTGCGTGAACAAAGTCTATATTTGTCCATGACATTATTCAAACTAGTTGCTTCTTCTTTGGGGGAAAAAAGTAGCCGACTTCTCTGAGCAATGTAGCCAACGCGTTTTGTGAGTCGTCGGTGCTTATTGAAACCCCTGGTGAATGTTAATCTCTCTAACATAAATACATTGTTGATAATTATTGCTACAGCCTTAAAAAGGGTGTTTTGGAGTATAATTTCTTTCAATGAGCACCCCCATCACTTTTGTTGTAGAGTATCAGTCCCTAGTTTGAGTGACAGGCTTTCACTAAAATGTTATTAGTGCCTTTGTTGACCAGGCAAAGGTAACTTAGTTGAAAGGTTGACAAATTCAATGAAGAAATAATATCACATCTGGTGCAATAACTGGGCAGGAAGGTTCCTACTGACTCTGTCAGACAGAGACCTCTTACACTTTGTTCTTCTTATTTGAGCTTTGCCTAGCCTGTGAACCCAGACTTTTTTCTGATCCTTACTTCTCTCCAGTGACAACTGGGAATACCTCTGTTCGCAGGCTCATTGGACTGTAAAAATATCCCACAGTTAGTCACTTCATTCCTAATGACTGTCACAGCTGTAACTTGTTATTCCGTCTCCATAGAGTACTTTATTCACCTGACGGAGTGGTATATCATAGAGTGGGGGTACTGAGCCAGGCAGCACTGGTTTTGTGTCTTCACCTTCATACCGGGCATGTGTATCTGCAAAGGAAAAAAATGAAGAACACAAGAAAATAAATTCAGATTCACTTGTTTACTACATGATGGACTTTGGATAAGAAAGTAGTAGGAGTGATATTTTTGGGAATACCTTTTTAGGTATGTTTCTGGGCTTTGTAGGTGCCTAAGAATTTTCTAACTTGTGCATGAATCAAGAAGTCGTATCAGTCCATTAAAGGCCAACAAGCAAAAAATGGTTTAAGGTTACTTGAAAATCTACGACTAACATAAGTATGGCAAATATTTCTGCCTACTTACTGTCAGTAATATTTTTCATTAATAACATTGTTCTTTCAATTTCTCTACACATACATGACAATAGAAATACTGCTCATTTTCCAGCTAAACAGAGCCAGTTGCCAAATTAAAGGGGAAAGGGCTGATTCATCCTACAGACTATGAGCAGGGCTGCATGCTCCTAATAAACAAGGGGGTAAGCCCGCTGGTCAGGATACCAGCAGTTACAATCTTTTTTCAGTCACGTTTGAGCATTATGGAACATTTTAGGGTGTAACACATGGCAGCCTTCATACATCTACCTTCAAGTCATGACAAGACAGTATGAGTTAGTAACCCCACAGAGTCCAAAGTATTGAATTGAATGCTTTACAAACCTGTGATTGTATTGATTGAATCCACTGGTAGGGTGATAGTAAAATTGTAGGCCACATAAAATATCACAGCAAAAACAAAAGCAACACAAAGATAGATTGGTGCTGCTAACACCCAGTACCTAGTGAATGAAAAAGTAAAGATAAACAAATAAGCCCCTATTTAGTTCCCTTAGCAGTATAGCAAGGCTAAAACCTTTTGGTACAAAAACTGCGTTCTATTAAAGGGAACCTCCACTTCAACAAAAAGATAACTTTAAATCACAGGAAATAACTGTTACAGTCAAGTCAATCTAAAATATTTTTAAAGAAAGTGTTAGTATCCGAAAGAAATAACTTTTAGATTCGCCTATTTTTGTTTTCAAATTTTGCGGGCGTCACCATCTTGAATAATTGTGACGTGTAATGGTTGCCCTAGTATTGTTATTAAACAAAAGCTCTTTGTGTCAGAACAATAGAGCAACCGTAACACGTCACAATTATTCAAGATGGCGGCGCCCGCGAAATTTGAAAGTGAAAATAAGCGATTTTAAAATTCACTTTTCCTGATTTAAACACTTTTTTTAAGACAAATTTCAAACAAAATTGTTTATCAACATAATTTTGTTCGATTTAAACTTATTCTGTAGTAAGAGTGGAGGTTCCCTTTAACAGTGGATCAGCCACCTTACTCTGAGGATGGGTAAACAGTGGGTCTCTTAAAATTCTATTTGAATTTTTACAAATGATGCAGTAAAACTGTCATCATTTCTCATTTATCAGTTAGCAAACATGTTTTCTTCCTGGGCTAAGAACTAGCCTCCTAGTTGGGAATAGACAAAAATTCCAAACAGAGCAATGAAGTGGAGAGGAAGTGGCCTTTTGCCTTTCTCTTTCCCTTCCTATCCTCCTCTTTCTTTTACAAGCCCATCCATGACCCCTTACCCACCCCCTTATAATCAAGTGTTGATTGGCATGGGGGATTGGGGTGGGGGTACTCACCAAAAATACCTATGTGGGTATTGTGCAACTCAACAAGGGTCATGACTCAGGAACTTCCAATCTAGCATAGGGTATTGAAGGCAGAGGCTGCACATCCCCACTCATCCCCACCTGAGTACCTTCCCACCCCATCCCCCTCCTACTACCAAGAGCCCTACCCAGGATTTTGGTCAGATTGCAGTGTGTGTAAAGTACATGATTTTGCTTCCTCATACCTCTGTGGGAGATATGTTATTCCAATACTATGAAGCCATTCTTCAGGAACACATGCCCAGATTAAATAAAGACCTGACAACATAAAAAGCAAAGAAAATACGTTGTGAGTTATACAAATCAACTGTCCCTGTCCCTGGCTTTCTTCTAGAGGGATATCGCGATAAATGGACAATATAATTTCCAGTGATCAAACCGTAGCCATTATTTTAATTAAGTTAAATAAAAAATGAACTGTGATTTTCAAAAATTTAAGACTGCTGGTGTTCATCGTCTTCTTATACATGAATTACATGTTTCATTTCCTCTCTAAACTCTCACCAAATCCAAAGTAAGTCCCTAAGTACAGTACAAATCCATAAATTGCTCGTTCAGGTGAGGGAGAAGGAGAATTTTCTGCCATCGATTATAGACGTATGATACATTAGTAATATTTTCAACACGATCCACCCTCTGTTAGAGGACATTTAGTGAAGGCGTACACGACCCTCATTGAATACCGCTGACAAAAACGTTGAAGCGAAAATCAAAATGGAGGGCGAAAACTCTGAGGTTTTGACGCCAAACATGATCCCGGTCTCGCCTACAGAAAGCGAAGAGGGTACGTAGCCAAAACCCTAATAATTTTATTGATGTTATATTGAGAGTGATTTCCTATCCTATTGTAGAGCCTGGTGATGTCCAAATACGGAACGTTGAGGCCGATGCAGAGGTAAGCTTACGATTGTTTGGAAAACTTTGTTGGTACAGTTGGAAAATGTTGGAAACTGCAAAAGTTGAATAAATTCCCCGAAAGAGGAGGATTTCCTAATGTTCTGCAGCTACTGAAAACCCGACCGAAAGACTGATCATTTACTTGAATTGTGCTTGAGTACAAGGGACGTTGTACATACTCGGCCACAAGCTGAGTGTCAAATGCCAGGCCCCTGTCACACGTTTGCGCACGTTTTCTGTTAGTTCTGGAAGGCAAATCCATTGCTTTGGAAGCACACCCATAACTCATTGCTAGTCCAAAATTGAAAATGCTTGGGCCTTTTATATAACCAGACAGTTAATCTGAAGACAGACTCCAGGTCACTTCAACACTCTGTATTACAGTATACCAAAATTAAAATATAATCCTTCTATTTTAAAGCACAACAAAGGCGAAAAGAAATATGAACTGCCACAGAAATTATGCAAACAGGATATTTCTACAAAAACACATATTCAGATCGATCGATCGATCTTTGCTCCCATTGGACGGATGCCATGAATAATTACTTTGCATCTTTGGGAATTGTTATGCATCAAGGATGCAGTATGCAGAAGTAACAAAATAACTGAGGGAGGCTCTGTCCTAAAGAGGTACCTTTCCCAGGCTTCAGGTATATGAAAGGGTGGGGATTTCACCAGTTGATATATATATGAAAGGATAGGAAAATATGTCATTTCAGTTGGTATAAAAACCCAAAAGGGCTGACAGGTGCATTTTATGCCTGTGAAGAAGTGGAAAAAATGTTCTGGTTTTGTGGTTTATTCATATCTTAAAAACAGTACATTTACAGCTGTTTAAATGTATACACAGTTCAAAACTAGGTATGTGAAAGAGGTACCATTTGTCAAAAGAAGTTATTTGCAAGGGGTACCGGTACCTTTTTTGGCTAAAATGGTGTATAAAAGGGTAAGGGGTTAGACCTCTGGGTGGAGCCTCCCCATATAAAACTTTGTTCGTGGGGAGTGAACACAGCACCATTTTCATTTTTGTGCAAGTAGCCAAACACTAGGGCTCTGGCTCTAATTGTGAACAATCCTTAAGTGCTATTATAGAAGTATACTTGTTCCTGACCAACTGCAATTTCTCTGAATGTTTTATGTAGGAAGTTGACCTTACCCATGCAAAGATCCAGAAGCTAGACAACTTAGAACGATTGACTTGCGTCAAGGTATGTTATTATTTATTGTTTTTTAAAGTTTAATAAGGAAATTTGTATTTAAACAAACAGTGTGTTTAATATTGGATTGATTGCATGGCTTTATTTTCCTGTTGCCTTTTTGGTTTTTATGTAGCCATTTCTGTTTTAATCTTTAGTCCCTTTGCCTTCGGAGAAATAACATCTCTAAACTGGAAGGACTGAGCACATTAACAACATTGGAAGAGCTGGACCTGTATGATAATCAGATCAACCTGATAGAGGGCCTAGCGAATTTGACCAATCTCACGTAAGAAAATTTTTTCACGAAAAAAGCACTATAATTTAAACAATGTTGTTAGGCTTTAAGAAATACAATCAAATCTATCAACATTGGCCATCAGTGCATGGGGACAGTCTCAGGGATGTAGCTAAGGAAACTCTTTTATTAGTCAAGCTAGCTGCTTTACTCAACTCCTCTTTGAAAATTCCCTGATATCATTCTTTTCCAGAGCAATCTAAGGCACTGGTAAGCTATTTTTCAGCTGGTAAAATTAGCCGGCTGCCGGCTCTTAGCAACATCCCTGCAAACTGAAGCGAGAATTGTTTGTTAGTAGCTGAGGATCAACTGAACTCCCAGGGAACAGCTCTTATTTCCTGGGTTCTTTTCAGTCAAATGCCAGTTGCTCATAAATCATTTTAATGTGGTGGACTAGAATTGAAGGAAATGAAAGTGTGGTTGAGATGAGAGTGCAAAGTAAATGACTCGTCAGTTGTCAGATGAATAAACTATTGGTCTTACCAAATCATGCAGAACAGTTTCACCTCATGAAACTTTATTTTATTCTTGATGTTTCCCTTGAGCTTTATCGGTTAATGAAAGTTTTAACACCTGATTTAGACAAGGTAGCAAAGAAAACTTTTACCATAGACCATTTCCAATCATTGTATTTAATATCAAAATCTTACAAAGAATATGAATTTGTATTGTTTTAGGAGTTTGGACTTGTCATTCAATCTAATCAAAGTAGTAGAAAACTTGGGATGCTTGACAAAACTCAAAAAGCTTTACCTTGTTCAAAACAAGGTCTCCAAGATAGAGGGACTTCAGAATCTTTCACAGCTTGAGATGTTGGAACTTGGTGCAAACAAAATTAGGGTGAGTACAAAGTTAGTTGTGATTCAGCATACGGCTTGACGGTAGCTATACAAACCTTTTGAGAAGAGCATAAAACATCGGCTGGACAGACCATGCCATGCTTGAGAGGATCCATGGGGGACTAACACCTTTATCTTTGAGCCTCCAGCAAGAATGTCTCCAGTTCGCTGGTCATTTCTATTGGGCAGATGAAGAAATATTTTTATCTCTCATTCTCTAGTGCCCAGTGGGTAGAGTGCAGTCACATAAGCTAACATGTCTGCCCTGGCCAAAGTGATTGCCAGGGATTCAGGACTTGATACCAGGGACCTGAGGACAGCGACGGTGAATCGTGTTGCTTGGGAAGAAATGTCCATGGATGTCCTGTCCACTTCAGCAGTTGAAGGATGATGATGATGATGACTATACTTTGTAACTTATCTATTAATACGCTCATTTTGAGTCAGTTCCCCATGCAATGAACGACCAAACTCCCCAGACAGGGTTCTATCTAGGATTTATAGTTTGGGAGAGAAGTCGCAAGTGGCTGAAGGTGACAAGCTTCCTAGGGGGTCCGGGGGCATGCCCCCCCTAAAACTTTTTTGAAATGAATATGCGCTGAGATGCAATCTGCTGCATTTTGAGACACAATTGTGACAAATGTTACTGCGTGTGCATTGACCTCATCGCGAACCTAAACAGCAGCTTGTGACAAAGTCTATTGAAACTTGAATGTAATCAAAATTTTTATCTATCATGTTTGTCTTTTCAAGGTTCTGGAAGGATTGGAAGGTCTAACACAACTACACAGTTTATTTGTGGGGAAAAACAAAATTACAAAACTTGATGTAAGTGTTTACTAGTTGAGAGTAAGTATGAAGCAATACTCTTTCTTGAACGTTTTAAAAACACTTTATTTAGGTTTTAATTTAGTAAGCATTTCTGTTGACTTTTTTTGTTGCTAGAATCTCAGTTGTCTTACCAATCTGAAGTTACTCAGTATTCAGGTGAGTCACTTCCGTTTTTGTCACTGTCTAACAAACAATATATTTACATGTACCTAATGCGAATCTCAATTTGTTTATACAGGCAAACCTCTCCACTACAGCCACCTTGGGGACAGAATAAAGTTGCCGTGTTGTGGAGAGGTGGCCGTTATGGAGAGGTAGTGGTGTAATATGGCAAATTTTTTTAGGGGAGTACAACATGATTATTTTGCCAAGTTCATGCCTACTGTATCCCATAATGATAATCCAATCATAATGATGATACATAAAACTAAAATGCACAAAAAACTTAGATAATTTTTTGAATCAAAACGTTAACACGAACAACCGCGAGCAAGGCTCTCAACATTCGCTGTAAGTATTGTAGACAATCTAGTATGTTTGCTGCAGGAGTATTAAATGGAACACAATTAAAACGATTGATTGCCGCGATCATCAATGCTCCATATGGGTCAAATTCCATGTCCATTCCTGACTTCACTCGTTAGTCGCTGAAAAACTGGCTGTTTTCGAGAGGTCACTTTGGCAGTCGGGGACGCGCTGTAAGGACAAGAAAGTGGCCGTTGTAGAGAGGTGGCCGTTATTGGAGGTTTTGTGGAAAGCAAGGACTTACATTAGTAGCTAATAAAGTTAGTGACCAGTTTTATTTTCATTCCAGAGCAATCGCATTGTCAAGCTGGAAGGTTTTGATGGTTTAGTTAATCTAGAAGAACTCTACATTAGCGACAATGGCATTGAAGAAATCGAAGGCCTTGACAACTTGGTAAGTAAAGACTTTAATAGGAGAGTGATAACGGTCATCAGAAAATAGTGGTCAAAATACGGAAATTATCATAAGAAAAGGTTTCCTGAAGATTTCTGTATCAAGAAAAAAATAATCCCCCAAAATTACGCCTATTACAGTGCGCCTACCCAAACGCTTGAACTTTCGACCCAGCACATCAGGGTAGATAACAGTTTCGGATGAGATGAAAAAGCCACGTAAAATTTTTGTGGCGACGGAAGGTCCCCTTAGAAATCCGAAAAGATTAAAAGTTTCTAGGGCAGCTCCAAATTAACCAAACAGGCTTCTAAAGCATAGAGAAAACCATGTAACACACTTCTGACGTATGGGTATCGCTTTCATCCCCTCCCGTCTGGTTCACTCTTACCTTGATCTTCATCATAACGTCAGCTTTGTCTGGAATATTCAAACGCCCGGTATAGAATTCCTGGAGAGGCCTGAAGTGTGGAGTTGTTGTACTTGCCAGAGTTTTTTCATACGGTTCCCCATCCTAGACTCAAGAGAGCTCATTCAGAACCAAACCTGGAGGGGTAAAAGAGTTCAGGGTTCACCGGTACAGAAAAGTCCTTTGAAGGATTAGTTTCTTGTCTTTTTTGGCACATTTTGATCTTGACGCTACAGAGCATTGTTTTCTACTCTGTGTACACAGATCAACCTCAAAACACTGGATTTAGCATCTAATAGGATAAAAAGAATCAGGAATGTCTCTCAGCTTGTCAACTTAGAAGAATTTTGGGTGAGTACGATTTGTCGTATGAAATAATAACATACAGAAGAGCTTAACTATTTTACAGTGTTCTATTTATTCATAATGCGAGGAAAATGTTGTGTTTTTATACTTTATACGTCCTGGATTCAAGCTTCGCCCGTCGCGTTGTTTCCTTAGACAAGGAACTTTACTCCACTTTGTCTCTCTTCACCCAGGAGTATAAATGGGTACCGGCGACATACTGCTGGGGTAACCCTGCTATGGACTAGCATTCCGTCTAGGGGGGAGTAGAAGTACTCCTAGGCATTCATCATGCTACGGAAGTTACCGTTAAAAGCTCCGGCCGTGTGGGCCTTTGGCTGTGTGCTCCTTTACCTACTTGTGTTTTTTTTATCTCTTCAGTTCAACGACAATCAACTCGATTCCTGGGAAGATTTGGACCAGTTTAAGACCTGCACCAAGCTACAAACAGTCTATCTGGAGAGGAATCCAATATGGAAAGACACGGCTTACAGGCGGAAAGTTAAACTTTATCTGCCAAATGTTACACAGATAGATGCCACATTATGTGGCTAAAACATCTCAAGCCCCATTAATTATGACGGGCCATCCTGGATCTCACGTAAGTCGCGACGAGAGTCACCGGTCGTTTTTATACAAAGTCGTTTCGATACAAGTTTATTCAGTCGACGTGTAAACAGTTTCACGAACTGGGCTTAACGAAAGAAGAATATTCCATCCCAAATGTTTTTTTGTTCACGCGCAAACTATACTTGAAGTGGTCAAAATTTGTTTGCAATTTCACTTCTTGACTTCGTATCGGAAAGACGAGCGAAAAGACAGAAAATGCTAAACGAAGAATGCTTCCGTTTTGGATACCTCTCCCTCGTCGAGACTTACTGAAAACATGGAAAAAAGTACTTATGGTGATACATACTTGAGCATTCTTAGTCGGAGAGGAAAATGTATCATAAACGGATTTTTTTATTTCTGTACCGAATGTCGTTAAACTTTGTTAGTAACAGAGCGTCGACCAACACTGGGTTTTTTTGTAACCTGTCTTTAAAATTGTCCATAGAGACTAACGTGAAACTTTTATGTTGGAAGTTGCTTGTGGTTTTGTTGTTTTATGGTCCTTAGAGCGTGGAAAAAAGTCGATACTTCAAATCGATGTAAGAATGCAGCAAGGTTTTACCGTAAACTTACAGTAGCGTCTTTGTGAATTTGTTGATTGAAGTGGCTGTTGTTGGCAATAGTAATTACTGATAAGTTTTTCCAGGAATTGCACGCTCGCTTCTTAAAACTCTGTTGTTCCTCAGTGTTGGGTCAGCCCTTTACTTCCATAAAAAGGAACCTAAGAACCGGACACGAAGCTATAGCTTGTGGAAGAGATCTATATCGTCATCATTATCATCATCATCGTCATCATCATTATCCGAATCATCACCATTATTATTATTATTATTATTATAAATATTATTGTTAATATTATTACTATCTTTATTACAGTTGAACTGCCATTAAGCGTCCACCCTCGGGGGACTGGGTACTGGCAAGTGGCCGCTCAATAGATGATAGTCATAAATTAGCATAATCTTTAGCGGAAACATCGCTATATTTTAAAACAAACAGGCAACAGGAGAAACGTTACTGGTCCACAATCGGTCGTCACCTTCTATCTCGGACTGAATTATTTTTCCTTCATCATATTCTTGAAATAAAGCCAAACTAAGTGTATAAAGCGCTTGATGGCGCTTGAGAGGCGACAAGAGTGGGAAAACTCTCGTTGGGAAGGCCAAAATTATTTCCGGACTTTGGTAACCGGCCTCTTAATAGAGGGTGACCGTTTAATAGGTTGCTGCTCAGTGGAGGTTCACCTGTGTTATTATTATTATTATTATTATTATTATTATTATTATTATTATTATTATTATTATTATTATTATTATTATTATTATTATTATTATTATCATCATCATTATTACTATTATTATTACTATTGTAAGAAAAACATAAAATTTGAAAAACTTTTGAAAAGAAATTCACGTTAAGCACATACTTTGTAACCTTCATTTTTGTACAGAAAGAGAGTTTTGAATAAATGTTCTTTGTTTTCGAGTGAGGTTAGGACATTGTTTTGTCTTTTGCTTTGATCAGTTGATGTCTTTCTTTCTCATTGGGTTTCTCCTGAGAAGTCGCCGGAAAACGCTGGAAAACAGCCAGTTAACTTCATCGCCGTCTTATTAACGCTTCTTTGCGAGAATCGAGCAGGCGCAGGCGCTTGGAATGGACCGTGCAACAAAGAAATGAGCGCGCGAGGGAGACACGCGTGGGGTAAGGAGCTCCCTCACCCCTCTGCGCCTGTCTACGTTGCGCTCCCCGTTGTTTTTCGCATATTACGCGCAGATGTTCTGTGACAACTTTAGCGATGCTAGTTGTTCAGGATTTCATCAAAAGAGTGGAAATTAACCAAGAACCCACAGAATGAACACTGACCAAGGTAGGGGTGGGTTTGACCTAATGAACAGTACAAATTACCGTTCAGTTTGTTTTCATTTGAAAAGTCAGTTTAAACGATTGATGTCTTCGTCGGGTTCACGAAATACAACAGACCAAGTTATGTTTGGTGCTTAAGCAACATCAATAAAAGACTTCACACTAACTCGAAAATTGTAACTTATTAAATCACGCGACTTTTAGAATTAGCTTATTGTAGTAGTGTGCTTCAAAACAATATGAGTTGATCGGTAATGTTCGTTCCTCACTGCACCCTCTCAGCAGATTTAATTACAACTGAGGGCTCTTTTAATTGTAAACAATAGGCATTTTGGGCGAAAAAGACATTTTCTCACTTATCACTGTCAAGCAATTGTTTCCCACACAAAGGGAGTAAATTAAATTTTCATCCACTGCTGTGTCACTTGATTAACAGAAATTTTTATTAAATTCTGATTAGGCGAGACAAGAAATTAATTTTGCTACAAAGATAACAAACATGAAAACAAACTAACTATGCCCCGAATTCAGCTCGTTTTTTTAGAAAAGTGAAAATGCGACAGGCTGGAACTTGTGCCTGGATAATAAAGGACAGTTAGTATTTTCGGTATTTTTCTGTCAGTCTAGCGTCATTTTCCCTTTGTTTGTCTGGTTTTTTTTTCAGCTTTCCGTGTAATATAAAAGACTGAGAATGTTAAATGGCCTTTTAACCATTCAAATGACAAGATAAGCTCTATCTATATGAAAATTGTTGACTAACACTGACTCGAAGTCTTCTGAACTGAAACATTGGCATAGTTGTCATTCTGTTCAAGAATTGATAGAAGTGAAGTGGCAACATCGTTTGATCATAGCTTCGTTAAAAGGAAATGGCCGGGATTACCTTTAAGTCATTTGTTTTGCAGTTTCTGTACACCACATATCATAAATGAGAAAAAAATACATTTGCTGCCTCCCAGAATTCGGAGTTCAATTCACACAGAAGCAATCCAAATGTAAAGTGTATCTTTTCTCGTATGAACTGTTTTGTAACGAATCTGTGTATGCTGGGCTTCATCTCGACCATTTTTAATATTTTCTAACTCTTTCCCCGTCTCAAAAGCAGCACTTGTATGAGAACTACCTGAGTCCATCACCATATGCTTATTAAAGAAAGCTTCCAAGTCCATGGCCACTTTATCGTACGGAAGATGCCTGCTCGATCGTCGAACTTCTCTGTCCCGTAGTTTTGATGTTTTCTGTCCCTCAGTTCTCTGGATGACAGGTGTTTCATGATCTCGTTCACTTACTTGAATCTTCCTGTAGCTGTTAATCGCTTCAGGGATCACTTCTTGTTTGCCTGAGAGTTCTTGCTCCCTTCTAGCCTCGTATAGTTTTTCTTTCTCTGTGAAAGATTGCCTTACTGAAAGTGGATGTTCGTCGCTTAAACGCCGTTTCTTTGCGGCTTTTATCTCAGCGATGTTACTAAATATTTTTCCATACTCTTCTCGAAGCTCTTCTTCAAAAGAATTAATTGAAAGCATGGCAGTCACTGAGAAATATATAAAGACCACGCTATTTAGAACTTTGAAACCTTGCGGTTTTCCAGCGTAAACTTGGAACAATAACTTCATTATTATGCAACAATTTTGACATAAAAAAGGATTGTGTTAACAGACCATGAAATAAGACTCGGTATCACAGGCCGAAATTCAGTTAGGTGGGCAGAATTCACATAACATAGAGAACTTTTTTTAAAATCGTCTAAAAAGTTAAAAGTGAAACTTAAAAACCAGAACTTCAAAAACAGTTTTATTACTGATTTATTAAAAAAGGCCGCAAACGAATATACCGCAGAACGCAGGAGATGTAGGATCTAAAGAAGACCTGATCAGCAAAAACATACTCAGTATTAAAAACATGTGTTAAATGTATTGCCAGTTTATGACGCTGCTGTTCTGCAGACGGAAGGTTTTTTCTTCAAGACCTCATCATTTCCAGTCCCCAGTTACTATCACCCGGCCCTTGTTGGTGCCATTTTGTGTCTCTGTCAGGAGCCCATCAAATTTGATGGGCCCTTGTCTTTGTAGAATAAGCTCATTTTGAGGATAGGCCGAGGTGAAGGGGAACTGATCGTCCGGCCTTCCTCGTACCCCCGCCCCTCGCCCCACCCTACCCGAGAGCTCTCTTCGTATGGAAGCCTGGGTACAAAAACAATATGGCGGCTGAGTTTCCAGAAAGGCGGCGTTGTGTGCAATAATACACTTCCTTCATAAACACATCGAGAGTTCGTCAGATCTTATCGCAAAATCTGTTTGCAGTCTATTTTTATGTTTAATGATGGATCTTCTGGGCTCAATCCTGAAGAGTATGGACGCACCTCCGACAACCGAGGTTGACAAAAAGGCAAAAGGTAAGCTTATTTTTATTCCATAGCCGATTAATGTTTTATTTAAGCTTATTGTCTAGGTCGTAACGAGATACTTTTGATTCCAAATCGTTGTAAAATACAATATAAGACTAAGTTAAGGTATATCAAGCGGACGTCCAAACGTTGTATTAAAATTATTTCGATCTAGGTAATTAAGCTGCAGAATACCCTGCCGCTTCAAAGCTGTATCCCTGAAAGAGCTGGATACGTGGTTACGCAGTTATCCCTTTTATGCGCTTTTCTACCTTCTGTGACTTTAAGAGCGACAAACAGACATACTGTATACTTTTTATCCTGTCTTAAGTGTATATTGAAGTGGATACGCAGATACGTAGTGACCGAGTTTCCGCGTATCCACCCATTTTTGCTTTAAAGTGGCATGGTATTCTGCAGTTAAGCCCAGTTATAGATTTCCTAACTAACTTTACATGAGTCGACCTGATAGCAACGTTAACTATTGACTAAACGTATGCTTATTACACATTATTTAAGTAATATAAATTTTGTGGTTGATTAATTCATGTCCTGTTCCGCATGTAGAGGAAAAAGCCAAACTCAAGAAACTCCAAATGGAAGAAAAAAAGAAAAATGCTGCTTTTCGTGCAAAGGTAAGCTTATAGAGCCTCGATCTAGCTCTTGGTGGTTCGTGAATGGTAAATTTGAGATCTAGACTTGGGGTGCATTTTATTTCCTCTGGATAATCCAAGATGGGATTCTTTGGATTCTTTGGATTTTTTTGAAGAGAGAAACTAAAAATCCAAAAATGGATTGTATAGCATGCCAAAAATGCATTTAAATGCAGTTTAAAGGGGTTAACAACTAAGAGCACCTTAAGTGCCTGAGGTCAGCTGTCTTTGGCATGTGCATGGCCAGTAGCTGGTTACATCGATCATGTGATTCTTTTGCACATTCAGTTTTCTTTTGTGCTAGGTTCTGTCAGCCATTTTCTCCCTCCCCGCCCCCCCTCCCTGTAGGCTTTGTTGGTTTTTCTCCACTGATGTTTTCAGTGTGATGGGTGGCTGTGTTGCATTGTTGTGCCAGTCATGGGGGCGTTATTTCAATTTAGGGCCTAGCTGCCAATAGTGGAAGCCCCTGGATACTCCATTTCAGCAATGTAGTTGTTAATGCAATAATATGCAGGTCTCAGGGAAAAAGGTTTATTAACCAATCAGGTTTACCACAGAGATGCCAACCTCTGAAGATCTAAAATCTGGAGACTCTCTTTTTTTCACTACTTCCCCCTGGAATTTCAACAGACCCCCTCCCCCCCCTGTCCCTGACAAATTGACTCAGCCCCCAATGTCAATGGGAATGACTTAGGCCATTATATGAACTCTTACATTAAGTACATTAATCAAAATTCGCAATCATGGTTTTGATGCCAGAAATAATCTTTGTCAGGGACTAAATACATGCAAAAATATCCCTGAAACCATACTGCCAATAAGAAAAATTTAAGTTTTGAGCTAAAAATGGGCTAAATCTCAGAAAAGCTCAGAAGATAATTTTAATATGGAGATATGGTGACCCATACGGGAGAGCGGGAGATCGGTGCTGTATCCGGGACAGTTGGCGTGTATGTTACCATGGTCTGGCAAATAATTTGCACATCATAATGGAGTACAGAATTACAAAAAGAATAATTTCTTTGACTGCATTTTCCTTAGACTGAGAAAGAAGTGACAGAATTCATCAAAGATACAAAACAAACAAGAGTGAAGTACCCGCCAATGACAAGAATTCAAAGAAGTATTGTGTATGTATTTGCCAATTATTACACTTCTTTCAGAGAAGAGGCTGCAGTGGTATTCTCCATTATCTAATTTACTCTCTGGTTTTTCTTCTCACATCATCAAGAATCAAAATCAAAATCCCTCCTAGTCTCAGTTTTTTTCCATGTTGTTGGTTTGTTTTAGTTTAGGCAGCAAATTTATCTTTATTGACAACTGTTTTGAAATAAATGAAATGAATCATATTTTGAACTGCGGACATAAGATGTGAAAGTGAACATGATTCACGCAGTTGAATGAACAACCTAAGTAGCCTCCCATCAGACGTCCTGGGGAAGAAATGAATGTGTGACAAATGAACCCCACAGTACGTCTTCGGGGAGGCTACAACCTAAGCAGTTGAGAAAGAACCTGAAAAATTCAGGCTTGATTAGGCAATAAACCCTTACCTTTGCGATGACCGGACTCAACTCACAATGAACCTCTCTCCAGTTGGCTTGGTTAGCTCAAGATAATTTAATGTAATTTCAAAACTTATAAGGCCCAAATATCTATATAAATATATTCAAATGTGCCATAGGGAAAAAAAAACAATAACAATAATAGTAATAATAATAATGAATAATTATGATAATAAAAATGATAAAATAAAGCGATAATATATATATATATATAGAATAGAAAAACTAATGGCTAAAAGTTAAAAAGATAAAATTTATTAGTATAATCTTAAAAATTATAAGCTAAAATTATTATTTATAGCCTAAGCTAAAAATACAATCTTATAATCTAACAGGTACAAAATGCTTTTTTAAGAAGGCGAGTCTTCAACTTTCTCGTAAAAGAGTCAAAAGAAATGGATTCCCTGATATATCTTGGCAGAACATTCCATAACTTGGGTGCGGCAAACAGAAAGGCCTGTTCACCAAGAGTTGCCTTGGGCTTAACATGCGGATAACTAGGGAGGATACTGTATAAGGTATAGATTGTTGCATCCAGCTGTCGCAAAGGTTATGGCTCGCTGCCCAGTCAAGCCTGAATTTTTTCAGGCTTTTTTTCATCCGCTTGGGTTGTTCATTCTACTGGAAAGATCATGTTAACTTTCATGACAACTGTTTGTTGCCATCTTCTCGTTTTGTTGTTTAAAAGTCTGAACACTTCAGGTCTAAAGTAAGGTTATTATTGCCTTTAGTTATTAACCTTAAGAATACAATGTATGGTTAATATTTTTCTTGTGTTACTTGCAGTCATGACGTTGCAGAGATTGCTGGTCTCACAACTTTTTCTTTTGGAGAAGAGGAAGTTGACAGATATGTTATGCTGTTTAAAAAGGTGAAAACCATTTATCTGTGTAAAGAGGCAAAACAAGTAGCCTCAGGTGTAGTCTCATTAGCTAGGGTGAAGATTTCAAACTGGCTCGAAGCTGTCTTCTTGGTTTCTGGTTGCCTAATTCAATTTTCTTTTGCATTTTCAACCCAACCTAATAGACAGGGCTTCCGTTAGGTCGCCGGGAAAAAAAGGATTTTCAGAGACAGATTAGAAAAAGCAGAAAAATCGGTGGATTTTGCGGGACTTTCATGGAAAACTTTTGAGGCTCACTTTGCCGAAAAACAATCGGTAGAAAAAGGCTGATTTCATGGGAATTTTTTCGGCAAATTTCACTAGAAATCAATTGATTTTGCGCTGATTTCATGAGTGTGTTCAATGTTTTTTTAACAGAAATAATCATTTGCTATTTTATCCACAAAGTGCTCGAAAAATGAGCAAATGGCAAAGCTTTTAACATCATGACTTCTGCCCAGTTTTTCACAACATAAGTTACACCTGGTAGTTTTGGGACATTGTGCGCTCATTGTAGTGACGAGGTGTCGAGATAAATTTGCAAGTGTACGTCAATTAAACAGCCCCATTAGCCGAGATAAGTTTCAAATATGTTGAATTTGATAAGATTTCTAGTGAATTTCGCGGTATTTTGAATGTACTTGTGAGTTTCGCGGCTCCGCGACCGCGCGAAAGACCAGAAACCGTGAATAGATGGTCTTTTTCGAATGTTATTGTGAAATTCATACTGGGTTTCAAGGCAGACAGGAGTAAAGGAAAAGAAAGGGCATTGAGATTCCAAAATTCATTTCTTTTGTGTTGTTCCCCTCAGCCTGAGAGCCAAGTATGAATTTTGATATTTTGAAACTGGTCTATTTGCCACTTGCACATCTCCCATAATGCACCTTAAATTGCCCCCCAAAATTTTGCATAACCTTTGCTTTTCATTTTTCCTGGGTATTACAGCCGTCCCATGAGAAATTGAAAACCATGCTGATGCTAAATTTTGGGGGGCAAATAAGGTGCATTATGGGAGATGTATAATTTATGGGAATACACTGTAGACACACTCACCTATCTAAGAGGGTCATTTCTTCAGGACAATTTTTAAACTTAAGAGAACATTATTTTACCTTTCACTGCACTGCTCATTGTTTCCTTTTGTTTTTAAGGAATTTCCCCCTTCAGATGAAGAACTTGATGCTTACAGAAATGGAGAGGTTTGTTGACAAACCTTTAGATTGTGGATAAGAACAATTATATTAAAACCAATTGGGATTTATTAAATACATGTAGTATGACAAGTAGTTCCATGAGTCTGACAACAAACCGACAGTGTATATTTTGTAGGTTTTTTCGTATTCTCATTTTCCTTTGTTTTCTAACCCTAATATATATTCTTGATCAAGAATAATTAAGGACATGACACAAAGAAGACTAAATTGAAACCATTTTAACCTAACATTGTTTCATTTTGACCTACAATGCGCACACTAATCATCATGTAAAAAATTACGCACAATAAAGAGGTGCAGGTCAACTTAATAGAATCGCATTAAGCATGCACGATGATGGTGAACTTAAAATCTTTTAAAACTTTGAGGAACCTTTTTTGTACTTTCATGAGTGTATTCTGGAATTAAAGTAACATTTTGCTGTTTATTTTATCCAGGAGTTTGATCCTGAAAATGTAAGCAAATCTAAGGAACAAGCTAAGGTAAGGAAGGCCACGTAATAGTTGTTCATAAATGCTGATGCCTTCAGATCACACGCGAAAAAATATAAAAAATATATATTTGATAGTATCTTTTTTTTTTCGAGAATAGTTACTCTGTGATGGTCTCTCTTAGGGATCAAAAAGGTGAAACCCAGATCGGTCTCCTTTAGGGGTTTTGAAGTTCAACCCTATTCAGAAATCACACAACAGGAGGAGACATCCTCGTTGAAAAACTTGATAATATGCTACAGTGTGTGACTCTAACAAATTATTGTAGACAATTGGCTTTGTTCTGAATTGAGTTGGGGATAGTTAATTTCAAAATGTCACTAACTGGGATGAGGTTGCCTTTGTGGTGAGCCTCCCACACAGACATTCGAAGGATTTTGTCACACAATCCTTCCCCAGGAGGAAGGATTGCGTGACAAGCCAACGAATGTCTGTGTGGGAGGCTACTTCTTGTGGCAACCAAAGTAGTGTATGCTTTCTAAATAACAGTATAATTTCTTGCAGAGCACAGATGATAATGCCAGCACTGTTAGCAAAGCACAAAAGACTTCAAGAGTATCTCATTCACAACCGCCTGCCACATATTACAAAGACAAGTATAAACACTTACTAGGAGTTGACAGTGGAAAAGACGCTGCAAGAGCTACCAAAAGTAACTCTGCCTATGGCTACGGTGAGTTCACATCCAAAGATATTAACCACTGTTTTTTTTTTAATGGGTAGAATGCCATATTTACTCGAATGAGCGACGCATCCTATTAAGCGCTGCCCTCAGATAAGTGCCATATTTGGGACAAAAGAGATAATAAGCGCCACCCCCGAGTAAGCACTGCGGCCCTGATATAATCTTCAAAGTCACGTCCAACTTTCAAATAAATGCTTCCCTCAAATAAACGTTGCATTTGAGGCATACAAATTTAATAAGCAACACTTCTTGGGGTAAATACAGTATGATCCTTCGGGTGAATGCACCCCTGATTAGGACTGTTGTTGACAGTTAGTTACCTGTGCATTTCAATCCATCACAGTTATAACAGCCGTTTACTGTACGTCATCGGTTGTCCAGTCATTTTGTGTTCGTAAATAACTGCTTCACGGGCATTTCTGTCTTCAATAACCATACGTGATAGAAGCCTTACTACAAAGCTGGGTTTTTGCTAGTTTTCTTTCCCTTTAATTTTTTTTATTTCTTCATTTTTCCAGTTCCCAGTGAAAACAAAAGAGATCTTCGGTCAATAGAAGAGACTTTAAATGACATTCGCAAAAGAAAGAAGCTTAAACCTGACGACATTGATGAAGCAAGTGAACCACACGATTCCAAGGATGAACAGTAATTTGTTACTGGGATAACTCATTTATTTGCTCTAACTGCAGTAACAGTGCAGAATGTAGGGTGGAAGACGATATCTTGCAGTGGGCACTTTTGTTTCTTTGCAATGCTTTCCTTGACTCGAATTCAGTATGAGCAGAAGTTGCAATTTTTCGTGGACTGGAATTCAGGCACAGAGTTGACAATCATATCGCGGCGTGAATCAAGTGGATGGGCAGTCTCTTTGTTTGATTTTAGAACACTCAGAACCGAATTTTGTTCGGATTTAAGAAAGCAACAAAGTTTAAAAGGTTACAAACATTACATAGGATTTTCAAGTAGCCTGAAAGTTCCTCGAATTACATATAATCCCTGAAAAGTTATTTTTCTCCATGGAATTAGACTACGAGCAGGCTCTATTTTATTTTAAAGTTACTCCACATGTAACCCATGCACGCGAGCGGCGAAACCGCGCCAACGAGTTAATTGTAACGTCGTTGTTTGCATTCGCGCTGGCTGAGAAAAGAACTGGTCCCCGGATTTTAAGAGAAAATGCGGACTTTAAGCAGTTTACCATGGGATGTTCAATGTATTTTCCTGGTGAGATGTGGCAGACTAAGAGCAACGCTACGTAGTTTATTTCCCACAGTATTCCTTTTTTCTAGCGTTAGCCAGGTCACGAATAAGTGTAAAAATAATCGATACATTTTACAACAAGTAACATGAGTTCAATATGACAGCATTTTGAAATGATCCTCAAAAGTGCAAAACTTGTTCAAATTATTAAAGCTAAATAGAAAGAAATCGAAAGCGGAAATATTTAGAAATTTTCGTAATGTTAATAACAAGCCTAAAGAAATTTCCGCGACCTTTGCAGAAAGTTCAGATGCTTTTGTTAGCCTTTTAAGTTTTTATTTCTCTTTCTCTTGTTGATCTGGAAGCTCCAGGGTAAGATCATTTTTCTTCATGTAATAACAATTAATGGTAGACTGTAAATTGTACAAGTATCCAGCCTAAAATGTTTTTTCTTCTTTAATTTTGGGAAAAAATAAACTTGAATATCGCCTATGTACAATTTGTCAACTTGAGAAGTTCTTCTGCCCTCAGTTAAAGAAATTGAACTAGAATTTTGTGTCCTTAAGTTACCTTTTTTCATGAACGTGTATACAGCTATTTCGAGAAAGGTTGTCGGAGAAAAATGTGTACGCGACAATCCCGAAAGGTAATATGGGATATGATCAATACACTGTTCCTGAAACTGTAGCTGTCGAACTTAGTTTTGTTGCTTTCCTTTGGCACTTTCAAACATGGTCCATGGCCTCTCGTACCATTTTTTCAAATTTCTTTGGAACAGGACGGGATTGTCCGTTTAGTAGAAATGCCGTAAAAACAGGACGCCTAGTAGATGAAAACAAAAGGAAAAACAAGCAGGAACGAAAGAAAGGTAAATCTATGCATTTCAATATTAGTTAATTGTGCGCATGCTTGAAACGAAAATGATACGAATTCCATCACGTGACCAAGAGCTGCGAGAGAAATTCTGAGGACAATCTTAAGACGTTTCACGCCCTTTTTGCTCTCTTCTCTTTTTACTTAGCTCCAAATAAATGACTTTTTTATAATTCCAATATTTTTGTTTTTGTTTTCGCTTTTGTCCACGGGTAGCCGCATTTTAGTTACCGACAACCAACTGGGAACAAGAGAAACCGCTCTTAAATTTATTTAAAAAATATTAATTTTGCTGCCACCAATATGCATGTGCTTTAACAGTATGAGGCCATTTTGCAATTGAACGTAAATAAAAAAACAGGCAAATGCCAGCTGTTTAGAATGGTTAACATGGCAACATCGTTCCATTCCTTTCTCCAAAAGTAGTGTTTTTTTTTTTTGGAGAAACTGACTGTTAAGAAGTCAAAGATAATGTTTTATTATAGAAGAAAAGTGGATGAACAAAGGAATACCTTTTTGGATCACAAAGGTTACAAAGTAAAAAAAAACATGAGACTTAAACGGACATAAGCTTTTACGTGCTTGATATGTTTGAATGATTTGCGTATGAATACAGGCTATCACTTAGCATGATTTGACAAATTATAAATCTTTTGACGTCCAGTCTATTAAGTTGCGGTTTTGAACAGTAATTTTATGGAAAAATGAAATATGATTTAATCCAACGAATCGCCGAGTACCCTATTAAATAAGACTAAACGTTTCGTCCGAAAAATGTGCTAACGAGATATCCCATCGTTGTTTAAGCGTTTTGTTGTTCCGTTTGGTTTCAAGAATAAATTATGAGATGAAAGTATGTGACGTGCAGGGAAAGTTTTTCTGTTTGGTGCCAGACTCAATTTAAAATAACAAACTTTACAATCACGCTGACCTTGTTTTTCCATTCTCAAGTCTTAAACAGTGACAATTGTACAAGGGCTGGCTCTACAAATACTCCTAAACCCTTTGTCTGCTCGGTCGCGTTTTTAACGAAGCATTCTTCAAATTAAAAACAGCTTTTCGAAAACCTCGCATACATTAGTACAGTCTAGCAGCTGCTAATAATTAAAAAAAAAACCCTCATGAAAAATGAAGTTTTTTTTCCTGTCTCTGCACGAAGCCTGTCGTGGTTGACTTTCGTACAGTTTAATGTCCATTTCTTAGCACAAGAAAAACAATAATTTAACTTTTCATTTTAAAAGGCACTGAGAGAAAAATAGAAATGTTCCTAACTTTTATTACAAGTAATTCATGATGTTGGAGTAGATGATATAATTGTATTATGGCAAGATATGGTATCAAACCGTAGTAAATTTGCATTATTTTACAATAGCAATGTTTTTTCCAGCCGCAAGAACTTGGTAGATCTATAATTTGCAGTTATTATAACGTTGAAAAACGTTTGCTTGTTTAAATCTATTTTTATGATATTTAGTTTAACTGCGATCGTCATTGATTCATACCATACCGAGTCTCGAGCCAAGATAAACATTTTTCTTCAATTTCTCTTGTTAAATTTTCGACGCTTTTCCAGCGCCTGGTATTGACTATTTGGGGTTCGTTTTTAACACTTTCATCTGTAGATCTCGAAATAGCGCTGCCTGTTATCCAAGCATTGTTCTTATTTTGCCTTGTCGTGGGAAAATAGTGTTGCCCATTAAAAGAAACTCTTAAGTCGGGAAAAGCATTGTTAATTGGCCATGTTCCTTGACTTCTAGTTCGTCTTACCGCTCTTGTTGATAATCTGGGTCCTAGATCACTGTAGCCAGACAAGCACAATG